CATATTATAACTTAAACATTAATAACTGTGGACAAGTAAAATCAAACTAGTATAATAAAGATGCATAACAACAAATAAATTATCAAATCGTTTTAGCCAGCGAAACTTTTATTGGCTGCTATACATGATCGAGAAAATTCATTTTTTTTCTAGCCATGTATTATTAAAAAGTCGAATACTAAAATAAATAAATTAATCAACGCTTTGATGATAAATAAAATTTATGCCACTCATTAACTTTATTTTTAACCGAGAAAAAACAACGTCTAATAAAAAAGAATGAACAACTCAAGTCTCTGCGTAAAACCAGAAAAACAAAACAAAACAAAAACAACTATAAGCAACCCTAGAGATGTCTTCATGGCCTTTCGTAAAGGACGAAATATCACTCTGGAAAAATACAAATCTGAAATCATTTTCTTGATCGCATATCCTCTCCACAAGAATCTATCATGCAACCTCTTCTCTTTTTCTTCTTTTTTCTTTTCTTTTAAAACGTCAAGACGGCGCACTAGAGATCGAAAAACAGAAGAACTGTGTGCGATAAAGCATTTCTCCGCATCAAATGGTATTTTAAGGAGCACCTGGAGGGTTCTTGTGTCCGATACCTTGACTAGGACCTTGGTGGGTTGGTCGGAATGCATCTTGTTCTATGTTCTTGAAGCGGTTGATCTTGTGGTACCACACAAAATCATCCTTAGGCGGCTCAGGTGGTGACCAGGAAACAACGGGCGCATGTCGAGCTGCTGTTGTAGTCTCAAAGTGTACTTGTATCACCAACAGAACTATAAGAAAGCTAAACAAAACTGTGATTGAATAACCACGAGACACCATCACTGACAACTTTGTGTTTTTGTGAGGATCTTAAACCTTTAAGCCTTTAAACCTTTTAAAGCGTATGTCTTTCTTCTCTTAAAAACAAGAGAGAAGTGTGCAATTTAAGAAGGATCGAATGGTAGAGGACCCCACAAAGCCATATCACACGATTCTGAAGACTAATGTTAGAATATCGACACTAGGTAGTTTTTTTTTCTTATAACTAGCTTTTTCTTTTTATGGGTGGGTGTAGCATTCGAGTAGCTCATTCACTGGATTTTTTTACGGGATTAAAACATAGTATCATTTCAAAAGGAAGCAACTAAATAATTTTGTGCTTAAAATTTATCGATTTTTTACCTTAATCAACACATGACAATTCTACTTCAAATAAAAACCACTAAATTTCTACTATTTGATTTCGACACTAAGTTTTTTTTTTTTTGATCAAAAATTCGACACTAAGTAATTCATAAAATAACAGTACGCTTATGACTTGACCCTCAAATTTATTGTCTAGCTAGTGTCTACATAGGGACTAGGGTTAATTAGGACAGTTACAAAAAGAGACATGCATCGATTGTTAACAAAGAAAAGAAGCGTAAATCGTAATACACTTGAAATTTATATGTATATATATATATGTAGAACAAATATAATTTTATGTTATATGTCATTTAAGATTGAGCTAGGTGAAGAGCCTCTAATATTTAACAAAGTAAATAGCCCCTGATATATATAATTAAACTAAGCTGATCCCCTGTATTTTTTACACATGGAACGTTGTCCGTCGTATTATACTTTGTTTGCTTTAGTTTTTGGCTTGAAATATAAAGTGTATTTGCCCTCGAATATCTACCAAAAATGGAAGATTCTATGCTCCTCGATCGCATCTTTTCTTAGCCATTCACTGAAAGAAACGCAGGCATTGTTCTTGATAAGACAGCCCTATAATATCTTTTCCTATATTAGGTTTTTGTGTTATCTATATTTGTTTATATTCTTTAATCAATTAAATGCTTTATTTCAAAAAAAAAAAAAAAAAAAAAAAATGCTTTATTTCTCCGCTAAACATATCAACAATTAAGCTTTTAACCAAAAAAACCCTATCGATTAAGTATTTTGTTATCGTCTCGTGTATTCCTTATCAATCTCAAACTATGGCTTCGAATGGTGACAGTGGTTTGGGCGGTACGGGACAAGCGGTTATAGAGATATGATGCGGTTTTACTGCGGTGCGGTTGATAGAAACGCATCATGCGGAATAAGTGTGATTTGTATGAAAAAACGGTACTGGATAATGTTTGAATGGTGACTATATTATAAGTGCGGTATGATATATTATATATTAAAACTTTGATTAATAATTTTTCAATTTCAAGTTTCTGAATTATTTTTTTTTTAATAAAGAAAAATGTGTAAACTGGTAATATTTAATTGTATCAAAATTTTCAGAATTTTTTGAACTGAAAAAAATAAAATTAAAATAGTACCGCAGCAAACCACACCATATTACAAAATTCTTAACCGCACTATGCGTTCTTCAAAACTAAGCTAAAAAAGTACACTTTTATTTTTTTATTTTTTTATTACGTAAGTGTGTTTTTTGTCCCACACTTACAATTAATGTCATGAATGGAGACATGATATAGAAACGCATCTCGTGTATCAAAGTTCCGCTCTAAACATTCAAGACAAATATCTTATATAAAAAATTGCAATCTCATATTGAATAAATTTGTTGGTTTGCTCAAAGTTACAAATGTGTTAATTCACTTTTATTCATTTGGACTTTTAATTATATTGCGGACACATGCATGTATCATATATGTTGTATATATGCATGCAGATACTTGTGAAATTCGGCGTTGAAACATATTTATCTAATATAAACTCGATCGCCATCGAATAAAACTTTGGATTGCATAAGAGACCAAGCGCATGTTATAGTAAATTAGTGATCACCACAAATATTCGAACAGATAGTTTTCAAATAATTACATATTTTTGTCAAAGATGCATAGAGTTGTACATAGGCTATAGCTTTTTTTTTTTTTTTTTGGTGCAAAGTCATAGGCTATAGCTAAGTAGCTATTATATACTTTATAAAGAATCGAAAAAGGCAAATAAATTAAAGGCAGATTAATTATAAAAAAATGGAGAACATCATGCGAACTTTGAATTCCAACCAGTCAGAATATAAAGGAGTTCCACCAGTCACCATCACTAAGATTAATTCTTTTTCGTTTAAGGAAACCCTTACCTCAAATGGGTCTATTCAAGGAATCCTCAACATTAAAAGCTAAAAACTTAGTCGCAATACATATCGACCATTTATTCGATTTCATGTACTTTTTATTCCATGAAAAGACTAATATATTTATTTCGAATCTTACATAATCACACCGTAATTTTATTCTCTTTCATCCTTTGCAATCAAACCTTAATTTTATTTCACACGTTATGGAAAACACAGTAATATTCTTACCTATCTTGTTTGAACATTTTCTACATTCAAACAAAATAATATATTATTGGATTGCTGATTCATTATTCGTTTTATAATGTCTAAATGTTATTTATAGTTATTTGTTAATTTTATTTTGAATTTTCATATAATTTTGATTTACGCTAGCTTACACCAATTTTTGATTTTTTTTTTGTTTTGTTTAAATAGGCCAAATTTTGAATTTTCATACTATTAGGTTTTCGTTTGAATACTAATATTCATAAACTGAAAATCCTAAAAGATTTCAACTGAAACCGAATTGATAACTGGATTAAACACTCATTCGTGTTACGTTTCATATACTTACATAAATCGATCTATTTTTTTACCCTGGCAATTTAAGTTACAAAAACGGTACGGTGCTCCGAGGAAATCAGCCAATCAGGGAAATAAAAAAAAAGAGAGAAAAGTGAGACTATACCAACCCAAATCATTCATGTAATAAATAAGGTCCTAAGTCTACATAATGGGCCAATTGTTATGGGTAAATGATAGTCATGAAAGCCCATTTTTATTATCAGAGCAAATTTGAGTTTAGAAATCTAGCAGTAGCAGCCTTGTTGTTCAGTTTATAATGAGACTTTTCAGGTATAGTATCTAATCTATACAGAAAAAAGTAGCGCCTTTTTGTCTTTTGTGTTTGTAATTTGAGACTATACCAACCCAAATCATTCATATATTAAACAAGGTCCCTATAAGGGCATATTTATCGGGGCAACTGATGTAGTGATCTTAGGTATTAAAAAATTGAAAATATTCAAACAGTAGAAGAACAAGCTGAATTGTGGTCTTCATCAAAATCTGTTCTAATACTAGTTCTAGGGTCATTTGTTGGTTAATGATTAATTTTTGTTAGAAAAAAGAAAAAAGAACATTATTTTAATAATTTTTATATTCTAAGATCTATCAGTTATTGCGTTGCATATGGTCTAAGTCTGCTGCATTCCACTTGACATGTCTCCCTTCAATGTGATTTAAAGAAGCATTTTGTGATGCAATGTCAAAATGTCAAATCCAAATCAGTCTTTTAGTTTAAAGATTGCCATGTAACTGAGATCAAAACTCGATAACTCAACTGATAATTTTTTTACAATATCCGTATGTTTTGACTTTCTTCTAGGAGTCAAATCTTTCTCCTAAAAGGAGATGCTGGTACTTGAACAATAAATAAACAATGTCATATGTTTGAGCAAAATGTGGACAAGTCTTATGGTGGGTCCGAAATGAAGTTCCACCACATGGAGCGGCTATCTATCTCATTTTTTTAAACATTTCCTTTTGTAATTTTTCGTGAAAAGAAGTATTTTTGAGCAAATATCTTGGCTTTATTAATGGAAAATTCAAAGATTCCTTGGAACACTGGGACTTTTGTTGGTTTCTGTCATTATTTTTATGGTAGGTACCTTAATCTGCATTAGAAAAAAAAATCATTTTGATAAGTCTCTTTCTTTATTCTCCCACTTGGTAAGGAAGACAAGAAGAGGATTGTGTGCTAGGTGGAGTTCTTTTTAATCACTGTCTGAAATGGGTCCTCTTAGACGATGCCTAATTCTAGAATGATATCTTTTTCTATTTGTGGTCCACTTTCTGATATTGTAAAAAAGCTACAAAACACCACAGGGTTTATGGTATATAGTAGAACAAGCTTATATACTTAATTGACATTTGTTCATGTCTGCAATCATAATTTAAGGGCTCATAGTAGGTGTGAGCTTAGTTCTGATCATTAGTATTTATATGTTTTTGATATGTGAAGAGCATACACCTTAAATTGTAACATTTTATTTTTGTGTTATTTTCAGGAATAATGACTAATGATGGCTTAGAAACTTGTATCATCAACAATCAATCTTTAGAAGAAGAAAGTGGAACAAGCCGCGGAGATGAGTACCCGACTGATTCATTGGATGATGATGCATTTTCAAGCTGTTCATCAAGCAAAGATGTGCTCGAGTCATTTTCCTCAAAATTGTTACCTAGGAAGATTTGTTCTGATGATTGGGATTTTAAGACAAGTTCTATACATTTATATGGTAAGGAGAAACCTGGTTATGCACTCTGCTTTTCTGACGTTGAAGCCATGAAGGAGAGATTTTCAAAGCTATTTCTTGGTGAAGATGTTACGGGAGGATGCAATGGTGTGCAAACCGCTTTGGCTTTATCAAACGCTATAACACATCTTGCCAGTATGTTTTCAAGTTTACAAAGTGAATGGTATTTGAATTCATCATTTGATACAATATGAAGATTTTGGTATCATTACTTGGATATGCAGCCTCGGTTTTTGGCGAGCTCTGGAAGTTGGAACCGTTGTGTGAAGACAAAAGCAGAGATGGAGAAGGGAAATGGTTTGGTTACTCTCTCCAACTAGCTACATGATTGAGTTAGTCCCATCTAAGCAAGATGGCGAAAACGGAAGATTACTTGAGGTACCAGCTTTAACTAAGATGATTTTGAAATCATATACACTCCACATTTCACTAAACTGGAGTTCATGTTTGATCAGATAATGACGCCGAAAGCCCGTGCTGACATTCATGTGAATCTCCCAGCTCTCCGGAAATTGGACTCCATGCTAATTGTATGTGATCCTTTTTTTTCTTTTATCTTAACTTCTTTTTTTCTTTCTCTGATATCTGATGATCCAAAAATGTATAGGAGACACTGGACTCTGTGGTAAACACAGAGTTTTGGTATTCAGAAGTGGGTCACAAGGCAGAGGGAAAGAACAAGATTACAAGAGAGAGCAAAAGATGGTGGCTTCCTTCGCCTAAGGTTCCCGAACCGGGGCTCTCTAGTTCAGGAAGAAAGAAATTGGTTGAGAAAGGCAATGTTGTTTATCAAATCTTCAAAGCTGCGAAATCCATAAACCGGAATGTGTTTCTTGAAATGCCAGTACCTACCATTGTTAAGGATGCATTACCAAAGGTAACCTTAGCTTTCGTCAAATACATAATTCCATAAGCTGCCATCTAAAGAGTTTTAATGTATTTTGTTTTCCATTGGTTTTTAACAGTCTGGTAAGACAAGCCTTGGGGATGACTTGTACAAGATGTTGTTGGCTTCACAGTCTGCTTCGGTAGATGAAATCTTTATGTCTCTTAGTCTTGTAACCGAACGTGCTGCTCTCGAGATAGTTAATAGGCTAGAAGCAGCTATCTATGCATGGAAAGAGAGGAGAGCAGAACAAGCAAGCAGTGGTAAATCCCCAGTGCGAGCATCTTGGTCACTAGTTAAAGATTCGATATCTGAGATTAGTCGCTTTGAGTTGCTCATAAACCGCGCAGAAAGGCTTAATGATCAGATTAAATACAAATTCTCTAATCTCCCTCAGTCATTTGTTGATGCCACAAAGATTCAATATGGCAAGGTGAGGGGAATTTCTCATGAACATAGCCTCATACTTTGCAAATTTTTGGTTTCATGTAAGAAAATGTTTTTCCTCTGTTTTCAGGATATTGGCCATGCAATTCTTGAGGCATATTCTCGGATCCTTGCAAACTTGGCGTTCCGCATTTTGTCCAGGATTGAAGAAATCTTGCAAGAAGATGCTCTGAGCAACCCCAATATTTCTGGCTCCAACGAAGTCGTCAGAACTCCGGAGTCCGGACAGGCTCATATACACCATGAACAAAGCCGATGATGGTACAAGGGCTGGTCCTGCCAGATCCTAAAGTTAGCAGTTTCTCTTTGGGGTTCCATAGTACGATGCGTGCCACCTGAAGCTTCTCCTTTGTTCGAAGGGTTTTCGCGTCGATCCTGCTATCTTGTACGTGTATATCAGTATATTAACTTAGACACCATTTTGAAATCAGCAGGCAATTTTGTTCATAGTCTAATTCACCATCATGAATATATAGATTATACACTAACAGTTTCTCATTGAGAGCCGTTGTGTTACATGTTTTACAACAGCGAATGATTTAAACTTTTCACCATCACATTCAACATATCAAATCTTCTGGACCATATGACTTCCATTGCTTGTGTGGTGTATAACATTAACATATAATCATAACAAAATTTGCTCTAAGATCATAGTAAGTCCCAATTTAAAAACCGTTGATATTAATTCCCCCACACCCCACTAGTCTCATATTAAATTATCAGCCTTAGTGAGAAATTAAAAGCAAGCTAATGAATTACATTTCAGACTTTCACCTCCCACTCACGTAGCTATAACTCCTTACCGTTTCGAATCTCTTCACTTCCCCAATTTTGTTGTGTATAAAAAACTCTTCTGCACTTCACTCTTTCCACCACAACTTTCTAAATCAATCAACAATGACAACCCAAATTCTTCTCTGTTTCTTCCTCTTCTTCTCGGCGACTCTCTCTTCATCGTCTCACCCTAAAAACTTGAGTGTTGAGCTGATCCACCGTGACTCTCCCCTTTCCCCATTACAACCCAAAAACACTGTCTCCGACCGCCTTAACGCCGCTTTCCTCCGCTCCATCTCTCGTTCCCGCCGCCTCAACAACATTTTATCTCAAACGATCTCCAATCCGGTTTAATCGGAGATGGCGAGTTCTTCATGAGTATCACCATTGGTACTCCACCAGTGAAGGTCTTTGCGATCGCTGACACAGGAAGTGACCTAACCTGGGTCCAATGCAAACCATGTCAACAATGTTACAAAGAAAACGGTCCAATCTTCGACAAGAAGAAATCCTCTACTTACAAAGCGAGCCTTGTGACTCACGTAACTGCCAGGCCTTGTCGAGTAGCGAACGTGGATGCGACGAATCCAAAATGTATGCAAGTACCGTTACTCGTACGGTGACCAGTCGTTCAGCAAAGGTGACGTTGCCACGGAAACCATCTCTATTGACTCTGCTTCAGGGTCCCCTGTTTCTTTTCCTGGTACTGTTTTCGGTTGCGGCTACAATAACGGTGGTACCTTCGACGAGACTGGTTCCGGATCATCGGTCTCGGTGGCGGCCATTATCTCTAATCTCCCAGCTCGGTTCGTCGATTTCGAAGAAATTCTCTTATTGCTTGTCTCACAAGTCAGCTACCACGAATGGCACAAGCGTCATAAACCTAGGCACCAACTCGATTCCTTCAAGTCTAAGTAAAGACTCCGGCGTGATATCAACTCCGTTAGTCGATAAAGAGCCCTTACTTACTACTACTTGACGCTCGAAGCCATCTCCGTCGGGAAGAAAAAGATCCGTACACCGGAAGCTCGTATAACCCAAACAACGGCGGAATCTTCTCGGAGACGTCAGGAAACATCATCATCGACTCTGGAACAACGCTAACACTCCTCGACTCAGGTTTCTTTGACAGGTTTGGCGTGGCGGTTGAGGAATCAGTGACCGGAGCTAAGCGCGTGAGTGATCCACAAGGGCTTTTGTCACACTGTTTCAAATCCGGAAGTGCAGAGATTGGTTTGCCGGAGATAACGTGCATTTCACGGGCGCCGATGTGAGACTGAGTCCGATCAACGTGGTTTGTGAAGTGAGTGAAGATATTGGTTTGCTTGAGTATGATTCCGACCACCGAGGTTGCCATCTATGGGAACTTTGCTCAGATGGATTTTCTTGTTGGGTATGACTTGGAGACGAGAACGGTGTCGTTTCAACGCATGGATTGCTCTGCAAATTTGTGATTTAAGACGGCGTCGTATCGTACTTAATTTTATATTATCCATGATGTACCATATGATTGTTATGGAGATATAAAATCAGATGAAAGTTTAAAAGTTATCCTTGCTATATAAATAAATACCATCTTTTCTACAATGACTTCCTCTCATTGATATTATATGATTGGTTTCATTTTCAAATATCTAAGAAAGCAAACAAGAAGGCCAAAGTATGGCAGATAAATTAATTTAGAGGAACATTGTTTCTACAATGGATGGTCATATACATTTTAATTTCATGTTCAGATCAAATGAGGGCTTTCACCAATCTCGGAACATCTAACAATCAAAGCCAAAAAAAGAAAAAAAAAAAAAAAGAGATACCGAAAATGAATGGCTCGAGAACTTTGTACTGTAAAACTGGAATGGAACTCTGAAAGAGAAGACTTTGTGGAAGTGAGATCATCGAGCTAGAATCGTAGAAGTCGCTGGGGCAAGGAGTCATAACTTCGGATTCAAGTAACTGGACGACTCTGTGCATTGTTGGCCGCTCATCTGGACTTGACGACACACACTTCGTTGCTATTGATAGAAGAGCATCAAGACTCTCTCTCTCCACTCCTTCACAGCTTTGATCAACAATCTCCTTTGCACGGTTTTCGCTGATTAAGAAGTTTAGCTGCAAGATTATAAAAAACGAAATTATAAGCTTTTACTAGTCAATATTATTATCAAAGCAGGATCTCGTTATACTTACCCAACCAACAATGTTAAAGCCTTTCTCGATGAAGGAGGCATCCGTGGGAAGTTTACCACTCAAGACTTCAAGAACCAAAACCCCGAAACTGTAAACATCGGTTTTCTCAGTCGCTCTACCGCTTTGCATATACTCTGCAACCAACACTCATCATTTCACGGATTTAGGTCCTATGACAGAGAGTAACTAAAAGTAAAAAGCATTGTTATTACTGTGCAATTGAGTACCTGGAGCCAAGTAACCGAATGTGCCTGCAACAATGGTTGTAATATGAGATTCTTTCGTCCTCTAACAACTTGGCAAGACCAAAGTCTGATACCCGAGCCTCGAGATTTCCATCCAGTAAAATGTTGCTTGATTTTATATCACGGTGTATAATCCTAGGAGAACAATCATGATGCAAGTATGCTAAACCTTTTGCCGCTCCTATTATGATATTTACGCGCGAATCCCAATCCAGCTGCTCGCCTCTCTCTACAACATTCAAAGATTTCACTCAATAGAATCATAATTCTCGGTTTAAGGAAACCCGTAAATATGAAGTTGAGGATTTACTATGTAGAGCTTCATCAAGGCTACCACCAGGAAGGTAATCATATAGCAAGAAGCTTTGATGTGGGTGAATTGCAGTATCCACGTAGATTCACAAGGTAACGATGTTTGATGCTCACAAGAATCTCAAGCTCCCTTTCAAAAAACCGATCAAAACCTTCATTTAACTTTACAATTCTTTTCAGTGCAAAAACATTGCCATCATCCATCGACAACTTGTACACTGTTCCAAAGCCTCCACAGCCTATTATGTGCTCTTCATTAAGAGATTCCAGTTTCTTGATAATATCTTTGGAAGCGTAGGGCAAATCTCCATGGAACATCACTATAGAAGCACCTGGATAGATAAAATCGTCTCTCATGGTGTCAAGTTTTGAGAGAAATACATAATTTTTAAAGATGATATCTACAAATAAGAGTCAGTATGGCTCACCTCCACCGACATCTATCACAAGGCTTTTACTCTCAACTCTACCAAGCTTTTTATAGAGAAAGCATCCCCAGAAACACATGAGCGCCACTAGGAGCAGCCCACCCACAGTTGCTGAAGCACTTATAAGCAGCCTTTTAGGGTTATTACCTCCTTGGCCTATAATACGGGAGAAACCAAAAAGCAAACTCATTTCACGCCAAATACTACAGATTTTTCAAAAACTAAGCTATAATCCATATCTCCTGACCAGAAAATTGATGAAGACACAGTTGCTTTACCTGTTGGAGACCCAGAAGCTGTAGAATTTCCACTGTCATTGCACACAACATCGATTTGTTTTCACACAAATTAAGATTTCCGTTGAAGCTGCAAGAGTGATGCATCAGTTTAAGACTTTGTTATTTTCAGCTACACTGGTGTAAAGTTAGCAACAGGGTGCTATAGTGCACAACGTCGCAAATATTTTATAACTGCTTTGCCAGATTAACCGTAGAAAGATTTATCTAATTTACAAAAATTTGGTTGGGGAAAAGGGTAAGATGTATTATACTTACGAGTCCCTCGAAAGTCGAGCGAGTAGGCCGTCAGAAGGTATTTGTCCCTCCAGGAAATTGTTTGAGACATTGCTTCAAAAGAAGATCAACATAGTTAGCAACATTGACACTCCGATATACATAGGACTGCAAAATAAAACACGCAAGTTAGAGATTAGCAACTCACAATTTAGTAAGCTTTTTCAACTGCCCAAGTGAAGCAGGGATAGCTCCCTGGAGATTGTTGTTTGAGATGTCCCTTCATAAATGAGAGTCAAAAATCAACTTAGTAGTTCAGAAGAATCTAGATGATATGCCCATTTGATATGAAAGAAGCCCTAGCATAGATTTACAATTCTCATCATCATATTTGAGAGTTTTTCACCAGCAAAAAGAACACAATACGTCTGTTGGATATAAGTTATGTCAAACTCCCTATACTTTTTTAAGGGTTCACCACGACAAAAGAAATATACTTTCGAAAAACATTATGTTGTTGCTGCATGGAAGATCAGAAGAACCTCTTGTAGTTCACTATATAATATAGAGGATAGTAAATGGTGAGAGTAGCTAGCAGAACAACAAATAGCAGATCCTACAGAGGCTACGAAAACAAATCCACTTGGAAGAACGAGGAGAAATACCACGTACAGGTTTTTCAGCCCGGACAGGTTTCCTATTTCATTTGGGATTGCCCCACTGATATAATTATTCTGCAAGTATCTGCAAGGAATAGAAGTTCCGTAAATTAAAAAACTACACAACGATTCTTGTCAACAAGCTAAACTTGTGACTGAAAAACCATTGGTTTATCATCACTCACAAGACACATCAATATTATGCACCAAATATATAGAAGCCAACGTAGAAAAACATTAGTAATTGTCAGGAAAATATTATAAGATTTGGAAGAAAAAAAAACGTAAATTCGATCAGCAATGAAGTGTAATCACTACTCAGCATTAGTATTTGGGAAAGCTCTTACATTCCCTCTAATGCCGTGCAATTCCCCAATGAGGCAGGTATTGGTTGATATAACGCATTGTTGTGAAGCATTCTGCGATGACATGGGAATACACATACAGTGAGCAGTAGAGCATATGCTAGACATCAATGATATTAATTAAAAGGTTAGGAGCACATACAAAAGCCTTAACTGATCCAGCTTTCCAAGCTCAGGGGCTAAAGGTCCCCTTAATTTGTGATATGTAAGACTCCTGCACACAAGAAACTTCAGGAACCGACAGAAGATGCACCACATACTGTAGAAAAAACAAGATTTTACTTTAAACAAAAGAAATTTCAAACTTACAAGGCTATAACTCTTTTTGTTTTCGCATCACAGGTCACTCCCTTCCAGTTACATGGATCAGGATCCTCTGGTCTCCACTGACCAATGACACCATCAGAAGCCTCAACTCCACTTCTAAAACTCAAAAGCGCCTCACCTGGAGAAAAAAGAATTTAAGACCTTCCGCAATCTGGACGCAGTAAATGGAGATCATAACTTGTCAAAAGACAAATTATAGAAGAGATTAAGGACACATATCGTTGTACCATCAGGACTAATTGCTTCAATTTCATTCGTTAGTGCTGAAAGCAATGAGATCAAAAGAAGCCATGAGCAGCAGCGCTTCATCAGACAGATGCCCATTATGGCACCGTTCAAGCATAATATAGCTACTGCCAATCATCTGAAAGAACAGCCTCCGGAATGCAACACTCGTAGCATATACTCAGCTGCTCCGTGACGCCCAGTCTATCTTCAAGAAACAAAAAGAGACTCCTGAAGATAAAGGAAATAATGTCATTAGACCATATAACAAAAACCAGCAGACCCACCAATAACCAGACTACCAAATCTTCAATTACAAATCAAGCTTTCCACAACATCGATGCACAATCTTTGCATGGTCTCATTTACATTTAGACCACCCAGAAAAGTGAGATTGTCTAAAACGGATCAAATCCACCTTCCCAAATTTGCAAAATCAGAAATCGAAATTGAAATCCCCTCACAATAAAACCCCAACTCATTATTTAACGAGGACTCAGGCAGCTGAAATCGAACTTTAATCACGAAATTCGGAGGAAATCATTGGAAACACAGCACAAGAAGAACTGAAGAGTCAAAACCATTCGATAATCTAAAAAAAAACGAAATCGATTCGCCGATAAATCAGACCAAAATCACACTTCCCCCAAAAATGGAGAAAGAAAGGGAATTACACGAACCTCGAAATGGATCCGAGAGGAGGAAGATGAAGAAGAAGAAGCAAGAATAGGACAGAGGAAGAAGACGCAATTGAGCTGTAAAGCAATGTCTTAACTAACCAAAAAAACTTTTTTGTTTTGATGAGAGAGTGAAGAAAGAGAAAGTAGAGTGTGCAGTAACCAAAATGTGAGATACTTTGGAGAAGGAATCGGCTAATTACGAGTTTACGACCAATGAGAGGAGAAGTGGAGGCCACACGTGCCGATCATGACTTCTTACGTGTCGACCGACGCAATATATAATGCCAGAACTGGACAAGGGCTTGTTGGGTCAGTTAAACATCGTTGTGGTGTGGGCCTACTAAAGCCCATTATTATTGATTTCGAAGCGTACTGTACTTACCACTATCTTTAGGGACACCTTGTATTATCAGCTTTAGAGGATCTTATCACCTAATCAAACAAGTGTACTTTAGAATCAAACAATTGGATTGATAATCATGTGCTTTTATAATAGAACTGGAAATTTTAATATAAGATTCAATCTTTCCTACTTGTTTTGTTAATCTCATCTATGATTCTTATAACTATTGTACCATTGTAAAAAATGTGTATAAACCTGCAACATAACCCAAAGTAAATTGATCAAAATTATGGTTTCTTGTGGATTCTAGTTGAAGATTTATAAACATTTGCTTATTTTTTTTATGAGAAACTGTTTATAAGATAGGTATAATTGTCTTTTTTTATACAAATCAGTCGGAGTATTAAATTTTAACATTAAGCATAGTGGAAAGTGGAAAGGATATTGTAGAGAAAGAAGCTTGGAGGTAATATACATATTATTGTTTTGTATGTGAAGGGATCATGTGTTTGATGGCTTAAATTTAAGTTGTTGTTTCATGTGTTAGCAATGGAAAAGATATCTGGAGATGGAGAGTTACATCACGTAAGACATGAGGATGGAGATGGAAAAAGTGTAATTAAGTGTGTTTTTTTTTTTTTTTTGGTTTTTTTTCTCACCCATCTTGGCACAATAAATACAACTTAGGATCATAATATCGAAACGAAAGAGATTCTTTCGATATTCTATCCGCCACTCCATTGCCTTCACGATAAAAGAACTTGAACTTGACCGTCTCAAACTGTTGACACAGACTCTTTATCTTGGAAGTTTGGATTAATATTTGGTATGCTCACTTGCTCCCTAACAATTGATATGAGTTGATGTGAGTCTGATTCGAATGTGACCTTGTTATAGTTGAATCTAGACAATGTCAACATGGTCCATCGTAGTGCTTCAATATCAGTCGCCAAGACACATTAAGGTGCTGTTTGGGGTGTGGCTAACTAGCCCATAAATATTCTAAGTTTTTTTTTGAAATTTGAGCATTTGTATTATAAATTTTGAAAATTTTGAAATATAAAATCAAATGCGAGATCAGATCCTCTCATAAATCTTTAAGATAATAAAAACATTTTATTTTAACTAGTATTTAAAAATCCCAAAATAAATTATACATGACTAAATTCAAATTTAAAATCAATAACAAATTACTTTTTTGAACTTTCAAATAAAAAAATCCAAAAACTAATAAATCCATTTTAGTTTGTGTCTAATGGAAAATGATTATTTTTGTATTTTATTAGGAAAAATAATAATTCAATACCTCATGATTTTTTTTGGATTTCTAAAAAAATTAGTTTTTCACAAAAACTAAAAATAGGGTATTAATGTCAATATTTAATTTTTTGTCTTTGAAATAGATTATTAAATGTAAATATATTTAAAGAACCAACAAGGAAAACATTGTGAATCATTTCCTAAAATAGTTTGAAAATGCCGATCTCTACACGTGGAAAAGCAAAAGAAAAACGCTCGTTTTAAGATTTGAAATAATCGCGCGTGTATACACTTCCAATCAAAACGCGCGTGAAGGATTTTAACAAAAAATTACACCACCGATTTAAACGTAGAAACCAAAATTCCCCCACTCTCTCTCTCTCTGATTACGCTCCACCCTACTCTTCTTTTTTGTCCTTCTCTCTCTCTCTTGCCGGCACTTACAACACGAAGAAATTTTTTTGAAAAGAGAGAGAAAGTTTCCAAGAGACCCGTACGAAGAAAAAAAAAACTTGTATAGATCGATAAATCGATAACGTCGGAGAGATAATTTCGTGGCGTAATGTCGGCGGAGGACGAGAAGTTATTGAAGGAGGCGAAGAAACTTCCATGGGAGGATCGGCTTGGGCATAAGAATTGGAAAGTTAGGAACGAGGCTAACGTCGATTTAGCTTCTGTTTTCGATTCGATTACTGATCCTAAGACCCCTCGTCTTCGCGATTTTGGTGAGTTTCTCTACCTCGTGGTTTTTTTTTGTTAGGGTTTTGTATTTGAGCTCAGATCTGATTGGGGTGGGTTTTTTCGTGTGGATCGCTTTGATTTGGATTGTTGAGTGGGAATGTGATTTTTCCTAAGGTTATACTTTGCTTTACTTTTGACTGAATTTCTGATTTTTTTTTGGTTTCGCAGGTCACTTGTTTAGGAAGACGGTGGCGGATTCTAATGCGCCGGTGCAAGAGAAAGCGCTTGATGGCATTGATTGCGTTTTTGCGAGCAGCCGATTCAGATGCTGGAAGGTATGATGTTGTTTAGTTTTATTGCTTTAAAAATAGGGCAGAGCGAGTGTTCGTTTGCATGTGAATAATTAGCTTGTTTCTGCTTTTTGACGGTATGCAAGGAAGTTTGCGATGCTATTGCTGCTAAATGTCTCACGGTCGGAAGAATACTGTCGATAAGGCGCAAGCTGCTTTCTTACTTGGGTAGAATTAGAGGCCGTCGATGTTTTTTCTGGTATGCCATTCATTCATACGGTTAACCCTTGCACTCTGATCTATAGGTTCACCATCTAGTCATAGAGTTACTTGCTAGATTGCTGATATTGGTGTATCTAAAACTAGATAGGCGAGCTGACATATAAATGAAAGTGCTTTATAACCCAGAATGCAACCATATACTGATCTTAGAAGGAGTGACGGTAAAATATAGCTTGTGGCTCTTTGCCCAGTTCTGTGTTATGCTAGGTATCTAATGTGATATAGGAAAAGACAATTTAAATAACGATGAACTGACATATGTCCTGAGCATCTGTGTTTAAGGTTAAGAATGGAATCTTCTGTGGTCTGTTCCAGTTAATCAACCTCTCAGTTTTGAGTTGTTGTCACCGTGTCTTGATCTGTTGGACTTCTGCTATGAATAATACTTATTTCTGAAGAAGAAAGGAATCTAGATACCTTCTTTATTGTTGTTTGGAAGATATCTACTATAGTGTTTTGTTAAAACATCCTTTCCTTCAAAAGTTTTTTATTCACTTCCCAAGTATAAAGTCTCCAGTTTAAGGCGATAACTCTACTTGATATGCATTGTTTCAGTCATTTAAATTTCAATTGTCAACAAGATATATATTGGGAGTTGTATAGTTTATAGGAGAACATCGTTTTTATACATGTTAACAGATTTGGCATGATTGTAGGATACAATGGAGAAAGCTATAAAGAATAAAGTTGCAAAGGCTGTGTACCTGCAGTAGACGTTATGTTTCAAGCTCTAAGGTCTGTTTTCAAGTCCTTGTTAGTTTTCTCCATTGGTTCATGAAATCTTTTATCTGAAATAACGACACTAGTTTGTTTCTACCTTAGTGAATTTGGATCAAAGGTTATTCCACCCAAAGGATTTTAAAGATGCTTCCTGAACTTTTCGACCATCAAGATCAGAATGTCCGTGCATCTGCTAAAGGGGTGACTCTTGAGCTATGCCGTTGGATTGGAAAAGACCCTGTAAAGTCTATATTGTTTGAGAAAATGAGGGATACGATGGTAAGATTTATGTTGATCTGCACATTTGCAACTTAGCTATGCTGCCAAGATGATATGAATTGGATTAAATCCTCTTGATTTTTTCTTGGTGTTGGAAAACTTAAATAGGGGGTTTCTAGTCATAACAGATAGAAGATAAATCCCATTGCCAATAAGAACCACACCCTTGCCTGTAAATTCTTCCCATGATATGAGATTTTCTTAAATCAGTGGAAGAAGTTCTATTTATACTCGAATTTTTTATTTATTCTCTTCTGCTCTTTTGCGAACACTAATATTCCATTTCGTTGTTACTATGTAAGAAAAAGAGCTGGAGGCTGAGCTTGCCAATGTTTCAGGGGGTGCCAAGCCTACTCGAAAGATAAGGTAACTACCACATACTAGAAGACATGGTTTATTTTCCTAATTATTCATTGGCACATACATCCAATATTTTTGACAGTTATTGGTAAAGGTAAAACCAGATCCAGTTTCACCGTAATCCAGCTTATGCTTTGTGAATACTCAATGTGCCTCTGTCAAGTTTCTGAATAATTGAATTGATATGCATGAATATTTCTTTTTGGTTTCAAGACCTTTTTCTAGCCTGCGTGAATTTTAAAGTTGAAAAAGTAAATCTGCAATGAGATTATTTCTGTATATGGCTTTCAAGATCTGAGCAAGACAAGGAGCCAGAGGCAGAAGCTAGTTCTGATGTTGTGGGTGATGGGCCCAGTGAAGAAGCTGTTGCTGATGGTAAGTAGCTTGTACCTCAATGAATTGTTTCTTCATCAAGTAATAATGAGAAGTCTGCTTACTTTGTTTTTTCTTTATCTACCTGTTACTATCAGCGCCTCAGGAAATAGATGAGTATGATCTTATGGATCCTGTGGACATTTTGACTCCTTTGGAGAAGTCTGGGTTCTGGGACGGAGTGGTGAGTTTTGGATGCTTAATGCCACATTTTAATATTTTTTGTTTTATTTCTTGTGCTTAATGCTTAATGTCACATTTTAATATTTTACACCACTTACTTCACATGTCGATTGCATGTGACACATTACACTAACTAACGATGTATCCCTTTTAGAAAGCTACAAAGTGGTCAGAGCGTAAAGAAGCTGTTGCAGAGCTAACAAAGCTTGCTTCGACTAAAAAGATAGCTCCTGGTGATTTTTCAGAAATTTGTCGGACTTTAAAGAAGGTAGTTAATTTTCCATGATAAGAAGTTTAGGCAGCATTGCTTATATCTATATGTTACAATCCTTTGTATGTTTTAGCCCCGTAAGTGCAATATCATCTAATTGGTGATGATGCAGCCTGCAAACATCTGTGCTTATTGATTAATCTGAAGTTCGAAGTTCATGTATTTCAAAATGTTTTCTGGTTGCAATCATAGTGTGTGGATGCTGCTGTTGTTCAGGATTCAATACTGCATAACTATTTTTACTTTCGTTTTGATAATTTTTCCAATTGCAGCTTATCACGGATGTGAACTTGGCCGTTGCAGTTGAAGCTATTCAAGCTATTGGAAATCTTGCATGTGGTTTAAGAACACATTTCTCTGCTAGTTCACGGTTTATGCTGCCTGTTTTACTTGTGAGTCATGTAGCATCTTTGATCCAAAATTATTATTACAGGAAGACGCTTCCAGTCTTATGAGGGTTAATACTATTTTCTTAGATATTGATGGGCTTAAGTAGCTGACATGGTTTTAGTCCAGGAACTGATACAAAACTTGGTGTCTGTTTATTCCTTGAACAGGAAAAATTGAAAGAGAAAAAGCCATCAGTCACAGAACCACTTACACAAACGCTACAAACAATGTACAAAGCTGGGTGTTTGAATCTTGTTGATGTTATAGAAGGCAAGATTCAGTTTATCTTGGATTATTTTTATGAAGCTCTACTGATTTGCTTATGATTATCTTGTTTAGATGGCGACCAATTTTGTTTAAACATCTGTCTTTCATCAGTTTTCCAACCAACTTTGCTCTCTTTTGCAGATGTGAAGACAGCAGTGAAAAACAAAGTTCCACTTGTGCGTTCTTCAACTTTGACCTGGTTGACATTCTGCCTTGAAACAAGTAACAAGGCTCTTATTCTAAAGGCGCACAAAGAATATGTCCCTCTATGTATGGAGGTTAGTATTTTTGTGCCCAATGGCTCCTTATTATACTTTGATTGAACTTGAAAGCATGTCACTGTTAGAGATAGTAGCAAGTAGTTGCTTAATCATGCAAGATTAGCTATATGCAACAAGTTAGTACTAAAAAGACAGACAACGTATGTAATGTTGCAGTATTATGATTAGTTGGTGTAGCGATAGCCTGGAGTTTGGATCGCAGTTACCCCTTCTAAGTTTGAAATTAATCAATGGTTTGAACTTATAACTTAATTGGATGCCTGAAATTTGTAATGATGTAGTGTCTCAACGATGGAACTCCTGATGTGAGGGATGCAGCATTTTCGGCTTTGGCTGCAATAGCTAAGGTAATAATTTTATATTGTGCATTTGTGCTTTGTAACAGCAACCTATTTGCGTTGTCGTCTGTGGTACCTTAATGCTGTACACATGTTAGAATATGTGGATAAATGAGACTCTTTTACTTCTTTCTTTCCTATTCCCGTTTGTTTATTATCTTTTGGTTATTTTAGTCTGTAGGTATGAGACCTTTGGAAAGGTCGTTGGAAAAACTTGATGATGTTAGAAAAAGAAACTTTCAGAAATGATTGCAGGCTCTGGTGGTGATGACCAAGCTGGTACAAGCTCAGGTTTGTGGACTTTATTTCACACAGTCATTAGCTGAACATCAAGTTTTGTTTGCGGGGTTTTTCCCATTCTAATTGGATGCTCTTTTCACATAAAAGTGACAGTTCAGTCTTCAGTTGGGAGCACGGCCACAGGGGTACGCTTCTATCCATATCTTCAGTGTCAAATAACATTCAGTTCTGTAAAACTTTTTTTCTTACCCTTTTGATGGGAGAAGGGTAGGGCATCTGGGATGTAGAGATATAGCTGGTATTAGATGCCTTGTCTTTTCACATCTTGTTGTCTAAGAGTTTGAATGGGTTTTATGTCTTGTATCTGTTCGACTAGTAGTTCTTATAACATTAGTGTCTACACAATAGTTATACCACTTCAAAATTTATGCAGAACTCAGAAGCTTCCTTTGTGAGGAAATCAGCAGCAAGCATGTTGAGCGGCAAAAGACCCGCTCCTTCTGCTGTGAGTTTTCTCATACTTTTTCTTCTGTAACTGTTGAATCCTGCAATCATTTGGGGTGTCAAGATACTTGCACGTCTTTTCCCTCTTTTTTTTTCCTCAATTCCACCATGACTTGAACGTCACATTGAATGCTAACATTTTATAGCCTGCGAGCAAGAAGGTTGGGACTGGCAAACCGGGTGGAGGCAAAAAAGATGGATCTGTAAGGAATGAAGGTCCAAAATCTGTTGAACCACCTGAAGATGTCGAGGTACATATATGTATAATTATTATTGGTTATGTGATTGACTCTGTCCTTCTTTCAGACTTTTATGGTATTAATATCTTATTCTTCTTTTCATTTTAGCCTGCCGAGATGGGTCTTGAAGAGATTGAAAACAGATTAGGTTCTCTTGTGAAACCAGAAACTATATCTCAGTTAAAGAGCTCTGTTTGGAAAGAAAGACTTGAAGGTTTGTTGAAGGCCTTGAGGACTCTTTATTCTCAAATACTGTTATCTTCATCATTAGTTCTTATTTCTTTCTATGTTTGTTCATTTCTTTTTGCGTTTTGCTTGGTTGGTTCATCATCAAATTTTACTACACATAGGATAAATCTGTTGTGCAAGGTTCCTGAATTGATATTGAAGATCTATTTCATGTTGCCTCTTATTGCTTCAGATCAAAGCTGCATTAGCACATGTCACAAAATCTCTTTGCTAGCTCATTTTTAAAAAAGTATTTATGAGTTTGGTGAATTTTGCATTATATTGCCGTGCAGCAACTTTGGCTTTGAAAGAAGAGATAGAAGGTCTACAAGAACTAGACAAGTCGGTGGAAATCTTGGTCCGGTTGTTGTGTGCAGTTCCTGGTTGGAATGAGAAAAATGTGCAGGTATGCTTCTAATTCTATCTAAAATCTTCTTATTTGTAGTTTTAAGAATTATTCCCCCCCATAATATTTAAAGAAGTACATGAGCATATTACATGGAAATGCAGGTTCAGCAACAGGTCATTGAAATCATTACTTACATATCTTCGACTGCAGCGAAGTTTCCTAAGAAATGTGTCGTACTTTGTATTACGGGTTAGTATCATATGAAGAAAAACCTACCTTCAGTTGATGAATGCTATATTCTGACGCCAGTTCTATTTTCTATTAATTCACTAGGCACTAGTGAACGAGTTGCAGATATAAAAACAAGAGCCTCTGCTATGAAGTGCCTTACTGCTTTCTGTGAAGCAGTTGGTCCTGGATTCGTTTTCGAGAGGGTATGAGCTGGTTCAGTCAACTTTCTTTGAATTTCATTTTATTCTGATCATAATGACGATATATGGCTTTTGTTTGTAGCTTTTCAAAATCATGAAAGAGCACAAGAATCCCAAGGTTCTTAGTGAAGGCTTGTTATGGATGGTTTCGGCAGTTGATGACTTTGGTGTCTCACTTTTGAAACTTAAGGTTTTGAATATTTTTCTACTTGGAAATTCCCATATCCTGATTTCCCTGGTTATGTAACTGCAGTATCTAGGTTATTAACATTATGACGGAGGAGATTTTTGTGTTCATTTGGCAGGATTTGATAGATTTTTGTAAGGATGTTGGGCTGCAATCTAGTACAGCTGCCACCAGAAATGCTACAATTAAACTCTTGGGTGCTTTACACAAGTTTGTTGGTCCAGGTGGCTACGAATTCCTTTAAGCTGCTTCAGTTTTGTCTAAATTCTGTTTGGTAGAATAACATATCTTAACTCTGAATCAAACTATGTTTTTCTGTTTGCAGACATTAAAGGGTTTCTTAATGATGTCAAACCTGCACTACTAAGTGCACTTGACACCGAATATGAGAAAAACCCTTTCGAGGTACATGTGTGTGGATTGCCTTGATTTTTCTATTTCTTGTTTTTCTTGCTGTACTTATATTATGTTCATCAGGGGACTGCGGCTCCAAAGAGAGTTGTTAAGACGTCAGTTTCAACATCAACATCTTCTGGAGGGTTGGATAGCTTACCTAGAGAAGATATCAGTAGCAAGATTACACCGAATCTCCTTAAGGGCTTTGAGAGTCCTGATTGGAAGGTGCTCTTGTAATTGGAAGTCTTCTTTTGTTGTCTAAACCTAACAATTCTTTTGCGGAAATTTATTTAAAGCTGTAGAGTTAAAATTGAGTTTTTTAAACTTTTGTAGATGCGTTTGGAGTCAATTGAAGCTGTCAATAAAATTCTGGAAGAGGCTAATAAACGTATCCAACCAACTGGAACTGGTATGGAGTCAGAAAATTTCCCCATAATTCTCTGTTATTTTAGAATTGTCAGACCAAAATTAAGTCACGATTCCTTATTGTTTATATGTACCCTTCCCGTTCGATAGGAGAATTATTTGGTGGTCTACGAGGACGTCTGTTGGATAGTAACAAAAATCTTGTCATGCAAACATTGACTACTATTGGAGGTGTTGCAGCAGCTATGGGACCAGCTGTCGAGAAGGCGAGCAAGGTTGGTTATACATGTCATGCATTGAAAATAATATGTTCACCGTAATAATAATATCACTGCCTGCCAGTTTTACCAAGTACTTGAGTTATCTACCTCAGGGAATTCTATCTGATGTTGTGAAATGTCTCGGTGACAACAAGAAGCACATGAGAGAATGCACCTTGGCTGCTCTTGATTTGTGGCTTGGTGCTGTGCATCTTGACAAAATGGTTGGTGATATTCTTTCTGAGGCATGTCTTCTGCTTGTTAATATAATTTCGTCAACTTAAAATATTTTTTATTCTGTTAATGCAGATTCCTTACATTATAATAGCCCTAACAGATGGGAAAATGGGAGCAGAAGGGCGTAAAGATCTTTTTGATTGGTTGACAAAACAGCTTACTGGATTAAGTGACTTTGTGGATGCCATACATTTACTAAAACCTGCAAGCACTGCAATGACGGTGACTCATCTTAAATTGTTATACCGCCTTATCAGTTTTCAACAGTGATTACGACTGTTTGTAATGATTTCAATTTGTTATGCTTCGATGAATCTTTCCAGGATAAATCAGCAGATGTGCGAAAAGCAGCCGAAGGATGCATTTCTGAGATCTTGAGAGTCAGTGGACAAGAAACGGTAGATATCCTTGAGTTAGTTTGTTCTATTAAGGGCTAGAACTCAATATCTGATTAGATGTCTGTATTTTTCTCAGATTGAAAAGAATCTTAAAGATATCCATGGCCCAGCATTAGCTCTTGTGCTTGAAAAAGTAAGACCAGGATTTGTTCAAGGTACCTCTCCATGATCTGGTTGTCTGATTAGCATGTTTTCTCCTATTTGTTCGCTTTTTGTGTTCATGCTAATGATGTTGTTTTCAGAACCATTTGAATCATCAAAAGCTTTGGCGGGGCCAGTGTCAAAAGGTGTTTCAAAGATTTCAAAATCAACTTCTAATGGTACCTTGAAGCAAGGAAACAGATCAGTAAGTTTCTGTCTCCTAACATATTTTTTCTGTATTCAATTTCTAATATCTGACTTGTTTTGTGTTTCTGAAGAGAGCCGTACCAACAAAGGGCTCAAGTCAAATTACGTCTGTCCATGATATAGCTATCCAGTCACAGGCTTTGCTAAATACTAAGGACTCCAATAAGGTGGGATGAGTTTTCCAAAGGGTTTATTAAATATTTCCACAGGTATTGTATAGGATGATATAAGGTTGATTTTTGTGTGTTTAATCTGCAGGAGGACAGGGAGAGGGTGGTGGTTCGTAGAATTAAATTTGAGGAGCTGCGACCAGAACAGATTCAGGATCTTGAGGTTTGTTTTCTAGATGATTTAACTGAGTTCTACCTTAGGAATAGGATCATGTTATAACCAATGTTGGGTGGTTGGTGCAGAATGATATGATGAAATTTTTTAGGGAAGACTTGCAAAAACGATTGTTGAGTCCCGACTTCAAGAAACAAGTAGATGGGCTGGAAATCCTACAGAAGGTAGCAGCTATCTTATGTTAGAATGCGGATATCTTGTGTTGGAATCTTATTCATCTGCTAGATCTTCTTATTTTTTTATTTTTCTTTAAAGTATTCTTCTTTCCTTCTCACCACAGGCACTTCCATCTGTTTCGAAGGAAATTATAGAAGTATTAGATATACTTCTCAGGTGGTTTGTGTTGCAATTCTGTAAATCCAACACAACCTGTCTGCTAAAGGTAATTTGTAATGTTTCTTCTGCTATTGAAGTTCATGTTTGACACTGCTTTTCATGCAAGAATAATGAAATTTTATTTGCTCTGGGTAAGAATAGGTGCTTGAGTTTCTTCCAGAACTTTTCAACACATTGAGGGATGAGGAATACTGCATGACGGAAGCAGAAGCTGCAATATTTCTGCCTTGTTTAGCGGAGAAGGTTAGGCATCTGATATTAATCCAATTTCCTGTGGTGTTGGCCTCTTTATAATAATTCCCGTTTATCTTTCTCTTTTAGAAAAAGATTGGTGCTTCAGTGTCTTTTTTTGCTTCAGTGTCTTTATATTTAACTCCCTGTCCTTGGTGCAGTTGGGGCATAACATTGAAAAAGTAAGAGAAAAAATGCGGGAGCTGATGAAGCAGATTATCCAAGCTTATTCTGTAGCAAAGACGTATCCCTATATTTTGGAAGGTTTACGTTCCAAAAACAACCGGACGAGGATAGAGTGTACTGATCTCATAGGATATCTACTCGAGACTTGTGGAACTGAGGTAGTAGCAAGACTTGACAAATTATCTGATATTCCTGTTCTGTTTGAATTCTAATATGCCTTTCTAAGCAGATAGGTGGACTACTGAAATACTTGAATATGGTTGCAAGCTTGACGGCAGAAAGAGATGGTGAACTCAGGAAAGCTGCTTTGAACACCATGGCTACTGGTTATAAGATTCTTGGTAGGACATGAAATTCATGAGCTTTTGTGAAGTTATTGTGGATTTTTTTTTAAACATGCTCGCCATGTCTCGCAGTTATTAGTGCACAATTTTGGCTTGCCAGCGTTTCATAAAAACCTGGAACCTAATCATGATTCTGAAACGAATTTCGCACTTGGTTATCCATTCCCTTGAGAGAACTATTTACGCTCGTTTCTTATTGTTTGGCTTGTTATTGCAGGTGATGACATCTGGAAATATGTTGGGAAGCTTACAGATGCTCAAAAGAGTATGATTGATGATAGATTTAAGTGGAAAGTAAGCTCAAAATATGAACGATTTTCTGCTTCAGTCTTGTATTTGTGAGTTTTGTTTTCATCATTTTGCCTGCATCAGGTCAAGGAAATGGAGAAAAGAAGAGAAGGGAAACCTGGGGAGGCACGAGCAGCATTAAGGCGTTCTGTTAGAGATAATGGGTGCGTAGGTTACAGCTTTAAGACTTTTTGGTAGCTGACTTATTTGTACATAGCATTAGCAATTAGCTGAAAGTGGAAGCCAAAAAGATAATCACATAAAATCCAAGGCCTAATACATTTTAGAATCACAAAATTATTTTAATGTTGGTTTTTTAGTAATCAGGAACAGAAAGGATTCCATGATGTGTTTAGTGTCTATAATTTATGACTTTTTGTTTGTTTCCAGACCTGAAGTGGCAGAGCAAAGTGGTGATCTTTCTCAAATAGTCCCTGGACCTTTATTTCCAAGGTAAAACATATATATAAGTTTCTAGTGTTCACGTGGCTTCTATACACAACTCAATCTTTTTGCCCTCCCAGGCAAAGCTATGGTATTTCCGAACAAATTCTGGAGAGGAACCCGGTACCTCGGACAATTGCTGGAGTTAATGGCCCTACAGACTGGAATGAGGCTTTGGACATCATTATGTTTGGTTCTCCAGAGCAGGTATCTGGCTTATGTGGCCTGATCTTGATATTATTTGTTTTGTTTGTTATGGAATAGTTTTTCTGTTTTAGGGTAATAGCAAAGAAATTTACTTGATATTATTATAGTAACTCAGTTATCTAGTTAGTAACAAAGACTTATTTAAGGTCCTTAGAATATATGATATGTTTGATTTGGTTGTGATGGGACGTTGACCGATATTTATCACTTACAGTTTTGTCATTTGGAAACTTAGGTGATGCATATTTGAAGATCCTGCAAGTCTTGGTTTGGTTTTTATTTTCTTCTTGTTTTTAATGTGTTGCAGTCGGTTGAAGGGATGAAAGTTGTGTGTCATGAGTTGGCACAGGCTTCTAATGATCCTGAAGAGAGTGCAATTGATGAACTTGTGAAGGATGCAGATGGGCTTGTTTCATGCTTAGCAAATAAGGTTTGCCTGAGAAACTTTCTTTGTCCATTTCTCATGAAGAACTACTTCCAATAATAGTTTTTGCTGACCACCGCTTAATTATTTTTGTTTTCTGTTAGGTTGCCAAAACATTTGATGTTAGCTTAATGGGAGCTTCATCGAGGTCGTGTAAATATGTTTTGAACACACTTATGCAGGTAACTTTGTGTGAATTAGTGATGCTGCTCTTCTTCATTAGCTGGCTAGCCCACTTAGGTTTGTTTGTTAAGCTCACCACTCACAACTCACAAGTATGTATTGTTGCAGACATTCCAAAATAAAAAGCTTGCCCATGCAGTCAAAGAAGGGACTCTTGAAAGCCTTATAACAGAGCTCTTGCTTTGGCTTCTGGATGAAAGAGTTCCACGCATGGAAGATGGGAGCCAACTGCTGAAAGCTCTGAATGTTTTGATGCTTAAGATCCTGGTCAGATATTCCTCCCATGCTAAAGGTTTTCATCATATGTGGCTATGAAGTTCTCTGACTTCGTTACTTTTTTTTCTTGTTTTATTAAATTCAGGATAATGCAGATCGGACATCTTCGTTTGTGGTCCTTATTAGCTTGCTACGTCCCCTGGATCCATCTAGATGGCCTTCACCTGCTACGGCTGAAGTTTATGCTGTCCGGAATCAAAAATTCTCTGATTTGGTAGTTAAATGCCTTATTAAACTTACAAAGGTATTTTAGGACAATCAATCATTATTCACATAACTTAAGTAGTTTACGTACCAGCCCTGCTGCCTATTATGCAACACTTGCCTTTCCTACTTGCTACAATCACAGTGTCAAATTATTTGGTATTGTATATCTGATAATTGCTTGTCCATGTTAAGCTCCTCCAAAGCACCATATATGAAGTTGATCTTGATAGACTTCTTCAGAGTATCCATGTATATCTGCAAGAGCTGGGAATGGAAGAGATACGTAGGAGGTACATCTCCTTAAATGCAAAATCTTATATATTTTGCAAATCTTAGTCTGTATATTATGTGGAGATTTTTTCGTACTTGACAATACTAATTCATTCTCGGTTGGTATTTTTTCCAATGAGAAGAGCTGGGGCAGATGATAAACCTCTGAGAATGGTGAAAACTGTTCTACATGAACTTGTTAAGCTCCGGGGAGCTGCAATTAAGGGCCACTTGTCTCTTGTCCCTATTGACATGAGGCCACAACCCATCATTCTCGCTTACATCGATCTAAACCTTGAGGTGAGACCTCCTTAGTCTTCTAACTTCATGTCCAGAAATTTTGACAAATTTGCTGAAGATGAGGGTTTGGTCAAAGAGCGCATCCAAACTATTTGCTGTACTACCTCTCATGATGGTGAACTTGAAAGATCATATGTACTAAATTGCTTAATCGAATAAAACATCTGAAAAAGTACTTCCATTTTGCAAGTGAATTTTACTGGGTTTTGAGAAATTCAAACGTCATTGGTAGTAACTATTTAAATACTTGCAGACTTTAGCTGCAGCAAGAATGTTAACTGCAACAGGTCCTGTGGGCCAAACCCATTGGACAGATTCAACAGCCAACAATCCTTCACCTCCCGCAAATTCTGCTGATGTTCAGTTGAAGCAAGAGCTAGGGGCAATTTTTAAGAAAATAGGTGACAAACAAACTTCCACAATAGGTCTTTACGACCTCTACCACATCACTAAGTCCTATCCAAAGGTAATAGGTCTTGTCTCTGTGTCTCCTGTTCTTCATGAACACATGACCATTCGAGCCAAATTGTATGTACTTACAAACTCATTTTGATGCTTGTAGGTTGATATTTTTTCCCAACTTCAAAATGCTAGCGAAGCGTTTCGTACTTACATCAGAGACGGTCTGGCCCAGGTCTGTAACAAATCTCCTAGCTTTTACTATGATTTCCATAAAGCTTAAGTTCTTTTGTGTTTTGAAGTTTTGCAATCGGTTTTGTAGGTTGAGAAGAATGCAGCTGCGGGAAGAACGCCTTCAAGCCTACCGTTGTCAACTCCTCCCCCTTCTTCCTTAGCTCTTCCATCTCCTGATATTCCTTCCTTGTCCTCTTTAGATGTGAAGCCTCTGATGAACCCTAGATCTGATTTATATACCGATGATATCCGAGCCAGTAACATGAATCCTGGAGGTAGTTTCCTAGATCCTTATCCTTCTTTGTTCTTCCTTGCGGTGTTTATTCATATCTGTTATCTTTGGCAGTGATGACAGGGACGCTAGATGCAATCAGAGAAAGGATGAAGAACATGCAACTGGCTTCATCAGGAACCCTAGAGCCAGTAAGCAAACCGCTGATGCCAACAAACGATAACTTATCAATGAACCAACAGAGCGTTCCCCAGAGCCAAATGGGACAAGAGACACCCCACACACACCCGGTGGTTCTCCCAATGGATGAGAAAGCATTGTCCGGTCTTCAAGCCCGAATGGAGAGGCTCAAAGGTGGATCACTGGAACATATGTAGAACTAGAGACCCCAAGCTTTGGAGTCTAAAGCTACAAAGCAAATTCGCCATTTTTGTTACTTCTCTCCAATTAATGTAGTGGTAGTAGTAAAATACTTTTTTTTTATATACAAACATGTAAGAGGGAGAGAGATATTTATGGTGAAGATGGTACTGCAGGTAGATTTCCATGGAGTTAGTGTGTATAGTGGTGGAAGATGATGATGAGTGTGTGCCAGATTCTTTTTAATATGAGACAAAATATTATTCTTTCTATGTTTACAGGTTATTTAATTTGGAGTGATTGTTTACATCTTTTTTGAAACCACCCGTAAAATATTGCAATAACTAGTAGAACCTGAATATTCTCTCGACTCTGTTTAGATACGATTCTGATGTAGTTGGCATATCTCGTGTAATCCTCCACTCTCGAATATATTCTCACATTTCTTAGTTTTTGGGTTCAAAGGGGAACAATACTGTATTTTGTTCTTCCATCTAACAGAAGGTCATTTATATGCAGACCAATTAAACTAGAAATTGACTTAAACCGGGAATTGGTTTGGTTTAAGAGATTTTATAATATGACCGAAGACATTGGGCTTACGAAGTCAGAATATTGGCGTAGTCTAAACGCCGACCCAGAGACCCTCTTATACCTTTACCAGTGCGTATATATAAACACAGACAATTATACCCATCGCACAGACCCGCCTAAGAATCCGAGAGAGAAGAAGATTTTAACTCATCGCGAAAAGAGAGATAATGCAGATCTTCGTCAAAACCCTCACCGGCAAAACTATAACCCTAGAGGTTGAGAGCAGCGACACCATCGACAATGTCAAAGCCAAAATCCAGGTTTAATTAGGGTTTCTTTTCTTCTTTATCCTCTCTACGATTCTTTACTTCCTCTGAATTTCTACTTGTTGTTACTCGGATTATGTGTCTTGGTACTTGTTCGAGAATCGATCTGATATAGTCCCCGCCGATCAAAGTAAAACCCTTGAATTGTAAAATTAAGAATTGTTTCGAGTAGTAATTTTGAAGAACATCGATTTGATTTGCTTGAGAATAGCTAAGTTTGTGAGGATTACTAATTGTTAAACGATCTTTATCTGGATATAAGCTTGTTCAAAGAGTTTTGTTTGATCTTTGGTTTTTAATGTTGTACAGGACAAAGAGGGTATACCACCTGATCAACAAAGGTTGATTTTTGCTGGTAAGCAACTCGAAGATGGACGAACCTTAGCCGATTACAACATCCAGAAAGAGTCTACTCTTCATCTGGTCCTGAGGCTCAGAGGTGGAACCATGATCAAGGTGAAAACACTCACTGGAAAAGAAATCGAGATTGACATCGAACCAACCGACACTATTGATCGGATCAAGGAACGGGTTGAAGAGAAAGAAGGCATCCCTCCTGTTCAACAAAGGTAAAAACAGTTTACTTTTTTCTCTTATGACTTGAAGAGTTTGTGTTGCATCGTTTTTGTCTTGGTGCAATTAAGCCTCAATTGAGTCCCGTCCTAATTTGTTGTGCTCTCACACCTAAACGGGTGTATTGAAGTCGTGAACCTGGTTACGATTTTCAACTTTGGCTCTGGATGACAATGTTTGCAGTATATTGCATGTGTTACCATTGTTTGATTGCGTTTTCTTAAGCCATTATATAACTCTGTGCTTCATGTGGTACGCTTTGGATTTTCAGGCTCATCTATGCCGGGAAACAGCTTGCTGATGACAAAACGGCCAAAGATTACGCGATAGAGGGTGGCTCTGTTCTTCATTTGGTTCTTGCTCTTAGGGGTGGTCTTCTCTGATCTTAATAAATAAGATTCAACAAACATCGTTCCCTCTCTATTTTTCTCCTAATGTGAAATTCATTACAAAAATATGGATATGGGAAATTTGAATATTATGATGTTTTCTTTGCTTGTGTTTGGATCATATTACTTCTATTTTCAATCTCTCTGATAAGATACTTAGAGAGTTAATTATCGAGTGCCGTATTAGGTAGGAATCAGTAACCTATTATTTCGTTTACTTGGGTCGTTCTTAAAATGTTGTCAACAATGCATCAATCCTTTGTTGAATCCGACTCAGGCAGGGAGACTAGCTAATATGTTTTTCCCAAAACGATTCACCATCTGTTTGAGGTAAAATACCAGCTTGTGAATCTTCAAAAGGAAGAAAAAAACACCGATTCATATTTCGATTAAGCTGAGAAGTCCAGATCCGAGACTCCCTCGTTCGTCTATCTAGAGACCGTCTTGAATACGGCTGTCTCATTAGAAGCCTCATGCCCCGCACTGGTCACCCGAACCCCCACACGTGAACATATGGCCTTTTGTGATAATCTCACGGTTATACATGTTAAAATTGTTGTCTAAGCTTAAAAATTTCGTTTACTTGTACCCGTTACTCAGTTAGATCCTTAGAATTGTTCAACCATAAAAACTAGAGACATGAAACATAGATTAGAAAAGAAAAAGGAATGAAGGTGTTAATTTAATGAAAAGCATTACACTACTTGCTTTGTTTTTCTTCTTTTTATCTCATTATTGGAAGCACTGTCTTTTCGAACTTGGTGACAATCTTAGTACTACAAAACAAAAGACTTTGACCGGTCTTGGCTCATCTCTTTCTTCTCCCTTTTCTCCAACACTTATTTCTTTCTCTCTCTGTAGTTCTTGAATTCAAGATTCAAAGACACACGTATGGCTACCTCATGGTAAATCCAAAAGGACACATATATGGCTGATCCATCAGGTGGTCGAGAGATGGTTATGAGAGAGTCTAATAAAGGGAATTGGACAGTGAGTGAGACTTTGGTTCTCATAGAAGCCAAGAAGATGGACGACGAGAGACGTGTGCGGCGATCAGAGAAACAACCGGAAGGCAGAAATAAACCAGCAGAGCTCCGGTGGAAGTGGATAGAGGAGTATTGTTGGAAAAGAGGATGTCAGAGGAACCAGAATCAGTGCAACGATAAGTGGGACAATCTCATGAGGGATTACAAGAAGATCAGAGAGTACGAAAGATCGAGGATAGAATCGTCTTTTAACACCAGCTCTTCTTCCTCGTACTGGAAGATGGACAAGAGTGAGAAGAAAGAGAAGAACTTGCCGACTAACATGTTGCCTCAGATATACGACGCGTTGGTTGAGCTTGTTGACAGAAACACTCTTCCTTCCTCCTCCTCATCCGCCGCCGTAGGAAACGGTAACGGCAGCCAGATCCTAAGAGTGTGCCAACAAAGTTTAGGATTTGTAGCTCCGATGATGGCTCAGCCGATGCATCAAATCCCGACTACTATTGTATTATCTTATCCACCACCACCGCCACAATCTCTAAGCTTATCACTTCCTCCGCCGCCTCAACCTCCACCGTCGTCCTCATTTCACGTTGAGCCTATCCAGCCCACAGTAGGTACCTTCCGTTTTTATCTCTCTTCTTAACTATTAATTAAATGACCCTAAAGTTAGATTCTATATTAAATTTATAAAGTAACATTCCAACAAATTAATACCCACGTCTCAACTTGTTACAATCAGTCCAATTATATATGAAAAATCAAAACTTTACAATTACCATGATAAAAAATGTAACCCTAAATTTGCTTGTGTGTGTGTACAAATCCTTTATGATAATGTTCTTGAGTATATTAAGATTAAAGATTGAAGTAGTAAACCCACATTCAGACACATCGCGGGGAAAGCGAAGGAGATCAACGCCGGGAGAAACCACCGCCGGAAGAGAGAGGGAGGCAGAGGAGGATACATTTGGAGTGGCGTTATCTAGATGCACGTCTGTGATCACACAAGTGATAAGAGAGAGTGAGGAGAGACAAGAGAGGAGGCATAAGGAAGTGGTGAAGCTACAAGAGAGGAGACTAAAGATTGAGGAATCAAAAGCTGAGATAAATAGACAAGGTATAAGTGGTTTGGTGGATGCCATTAATCAACTCGCAACCTCTATTCTTGCTTTGGCTTCTTCTTCTTGTCATAATAATCACAATCATCAAGGGGGTCCACCTTGATAGTTATATTGAATAGATTTTTATAAGTTAAGTTGATGATTAGTTTGCTTAGTTAGGAAGTAGACATGTGTATATATGAATCTTGATTTGTAACGTTATGTTGGCATATAAAGTATTAGACCCAAAAAAAAAAAAAAAAAAAAAGTATTAGACCTATATATCAACCATGAAAGATGTTCTTGTCATGGAGTAATTAATGAATCATTAATCATGCACTTTAAAAGTTGTCTTTTACGATGATGATGGAAAGTGAAGCGTGTGGAAGTGTACGCGCTAGTGTGAGGCTAATGGCAAGGTATGTAAGAGTGATACATACATGATGGAGAAGGGTAGAGAGCGAGAGAGAGTGGTCAAAGGGTGGTCAAAGAGTGAACAAAGAGAAGAGAGTATTATTGGTGGGTTATGTGTTTTTCATATCTATTTTAACCTTTTATTACTGCGTCAATACAAAAGTCTCTGTCACAAGGACCCTCTCTTATGGGTAGGGTAGGCTTTCTCTAAAATAGAACGTGAATGAATCGAATATTGTCTCTATTGCTCCTTCTCCGTTTCTATAACCGGAATACCAAACTGATGATGTATTTAGATGTATTTCTACTTTCTCATTGCCAGTTAATTCCATTTTTAGTGTTATTTTAGAATAATAATTACATTATTGAATGGAAAAAGACATTCTTGTGTTGCAAAAGGTTTTATGGTCTAATGGGAAACTTTATCGATATGTCATGGTTAAGATGATGTGTCGTCCTAGTGAAATGCACTAAGTTATTCGCTCACATGATGGTGTAATCTTCTAAAATTTCTTTTGACCAATAAAAAAAAGTATGAGTATATGTTTTCTATCTCTTTAGTTTAAGTTGTCTGTAAAATTTATGGACTTGTCGATTTGAATGTGGTTTCGTATACTATTTAATTATTTATGTATTCTCTCTCACAGTTAGGTTGGTTTTGCATGAATTTAGTCTGACCACTAAAATTCTGACCAAAAGGATTATGTTTAACCCTTGTTTGAAAAATAGCTAGGCGTTAGTCGGGCGCTAGGTATGGGTCTAGCGATTAATCGGAAAATCGGATTAAAATCGGGGATTAGTTTTAGGATTATTTTAATATTTTTAAAACATATTAATCAAATATTATTTTCAAAATTGCAGTAAACACATAAAACTGTATTTTTGAGATAAATTTTTATGATTTTTGTTACAAATTTATGATTTTTATTAAAATTTGAACATAAGTTATTGTAAAACATCACAAACTCCCAATTTAAATGATTGAATAAGAAAAATAAAATGTTTTTTATACTTGCAATCTAAAAATAATCGAGATATGTAAAATTAGGCGGAGAGTAATCGGATTAGGCGGAAAGTAATCGGATTAGGCGGAAAGTAATCGGGTAACTGATTTTTTAAGGGGATTAGTCATTAATCGAGGCGGATAGAGTGGGCCTAGCGATTAAGCGGGGAGTAATCGGGCCTAGGCGGGGATTTTTAGAACAAGGTGTTTAACCATACCAAAAAAACGACTAAATCATCTCTTTCAAGATTTCAGTGTAGCCAACCAGAAAATAAAAAAGAAGATCGGTTCAAAACAAATGCTCATGAAGTCATGATGCAATATACTTCCTGATTTTTTTGTAACGTGGTTTTTTTTTGTCCACGGATGTCACTTCTTTTTTTGTCACTTCTATAACAAATCAATGAATCATTAATTGTCCTATAAAGAAGGTAAAATTAAGAAAATGCGATACGTCCTTTACAAGTCAAAGTTTTTTTTTAAAAAAGGCTTAACAAGTCAAAGCTTGGAAGATTAGGTTTTCAATTGCCTAAAATACGGAGCAAATGAGAGAGATCAGTTTTAATCATTGACATTTTTAATCAATTTCTTCTTTGTTAGTCATTTTTTCAGCCAATTAAACACTACTGCATTTTGTTTGCCACAGTTTTTAATCTATTGTTTTTCAATAACATACATCATGTCGGTCTAAAATTTGATGGTATCACAACAAAGACACATAGGGAAAAAAGAAAAAAAAATTACACTAGACTATATATCATGATGGTCAATTACAAAATAATTTCTCTTAGTTTTTTTGTAATATTTTTGTTAACAGTTATTTTTTCGCTTAAAATTTTGAATTATATTTTCTTTGGCGGCAACATTTTGTACTATATATATTTTAAAATATATAATTATATAAACTAAACTTTTGTTATACTATTGATTATAAATTATTGGGTAATATGAAAGAAATTATTATTTAAATAGAAAATTAAATTATACTTTTAGTTTTTCTGTTGTCCTCTGATACTCATGATACATAGGTTTTGGATCAGAAAATTATCTTCCATATATATACAGTTTTCATCAGAGAGTTGGTATTGTCAGACAGAGTGATCTTGATAGGAGCTGAATATACTACTATTTAATATTTATGCAAATTTTTTATAAGTATGCTATATAGCTTGAGAAATAGTAATGTTTTTCAAGTTTACAAAAATTATTTTTAGTTTTAAAAATTGTTATTTTTTTTTTTTTTTTTTTTTTTTTTTTTTTTTTTTTTTTTGTCGTCAACCTTATATTTCATTAATGAAATAGAGTTTACACAACTATAAAGTACAATTCATGCCTTACAACTATAGAACCCATGAGATAACATATGGAGAGTCATTGACACGTGCTTCTCTGGCTAAGGTGTCAGCTAAGACATTGGCTTCTCTATTGATGTATCGGAATTGGTAAGAGTCATGAGCCAATTTTGAGATATCTTGTAGGTAAGTTTGAATCTCGTTTGATCCCCTGGTCTGAAGCTTCTTGTGCCAAATGCCTTCCAAATATCCATATAAAGAGTGAGAGTCACCACAAAATGTGACATTCTGATAGTTGAGCCGCTTCAGATGAGTCAAAGCTTCCCTTAGCGCAAGAGCTTCTGCTTCAAGGACTGATTGAGTAGGCTCTAAAGAGGCACTTCCTTTGAGTAGGTATCGGCCAAGCGAGTCATGCAACGTCCACCCAACGCCAACTTTACTGTCTTGATTTATCCAAGAGGCATCTGTACAACAACAAAAGGAAGGGACTTGAGAAAGTACCTCCTGAAATGTTTTCGGCGCTGAGTTATTAATTTGCTTAGGCTGCAGCCTAGGCGGGACAATGGAATGTTGGGATTCTGTCCACAAACGGAGGTCTACAATAGCTTGATGTATAATATGTGGGATTGCCACTCTCTTGTTATTATAAAGCAGGTCATTTCTGGCCTTCCAAATGCGCCAACCAATAAATGAGAAGAGATGATTGGCATTATCTTGATGCTTGGCATTAGATAGGAGGGCCTGGACATGGTCTAATAGAGAGTGATCAACAGTGAACTGACCTATATCAATGTGAACAGGCGATAATTCCCAAATTTCTTTTGCCACGCGACATTGGAAGAACAGATGAGATACAGACTCTCTTGCTTCGCCACATAATAAACAATCTTGTGAGATCCGTAAGCGCCTGCGAGCCAAAGCCTCTGCAACTGGAAGGGCATTATGAAGAAGCCGCCACCAGAAATGTTTAATTTTTGGTGGGACATTAAGTGTCCAAATGGATTTGCATATTTGGTTTATGCGTACAAGAGTATTAGAGTTTACTGTGGAGGGTTTTAAAAATTGTTATATACAACACAGATGTATTTATTTTATAATTTTGTCGTTATACAAAAAAAAATGTCATTATATAAAGAGCATGTCGTTTATACAGTTTCCAACGTGGTTCATGTTATCAGTTTTTTGGCCATAACCATAATTAGATGGATACCACCGACGAATATTGTTACACAATAATTTAATTTCAATGACAACAAAAGAATTTGACAATAATAAAATAAAAATGACAAGAAAGAAAATAGCCCCACTTGGCCGATTGAAATATCCAGTTGACTCCAAAAAGACTAGAGAGAGAGAGAGAGAGAAGAGACCAGAGATTATCGACCACGAAGCAGAAGACGATTCGTGGAAGAGACTTGGAGAGATTTTTCTCAATGTCTACTCTCCCAATCTTCCATCGTTTTCCTCACGCCACGTTCTCTTCCTTTTTCCTCTCACTGGTTCGCTCTCTTTTACCCCATTGACGAATGTTGCATTTTGCTTGTTACCTACGACTGCTTTTGATTCTCTTTCTCCATTTTTTCTTAATCTGGGTTTCTTGCGATTACTTTAATGGACTTGTCGTCAACATTTTCTTGGGAAAGTATGGATTTTTTTTGTTGGGTTACTGTTGAATTTGACTTTGATTTCACTAAGTTGTGAGAACCCATTGTTTCTTGTTCTTGCGTGCTACATTGCTTTAGATCTGATTCACTAGATCGGTTAAAATGCCAAATCTTTATCGTGTTTGACTTTTTGTCCTCTAATAGTATTAAAACTTGGTGTTTTCTTGTTCTCTAGATTTGCCGATTCAAGAATGTTAAAGATGTCTTTAAACTCGTGGGCCAATTTCTGGTTTCTTTAATCTTCTTCTCTTTTACTTCTTATTCAAGTCTCAAGTTGGAAGTTCTAAAACATCAGTAGCATTCCTCAATGCCTTCAAATCTATTCCTACATCGGAAGATATCATTGCAAGAATTGGACTATGGTGGCAGCTAATAAGGGCTGTTGTACTTGTACCTGTCTTCAAGTTCCTGGTGGTTCTATGTTTGGTCATGTCTGTCATGTTCTTCGTAGAGGTTATGTACATGGGAATCGTCGTTTTGTATGTCAAGTTGTTCAAGAGAAAACCAGAGAAAATTTACAAATGGGAGCCTATGGAGGATGATGTTGAGTGTGGCAGTGCAAGCTACCCTATGGTTCTTGTGCAAATTCCTATGTACAATGAAAAAGAGGTGACAACTGTACCAGCAACTATTTTTCCATTGATTGGTATGTAGTTGAACTTATTTGGTGGGTGTTTTTGGTAGGTTTGCGAGCAATCAATTGCAGCTGCTTGTAAAATCTCATGGCCATCGAATCGTATTATGATTCAAGTGCTTGATGATTCCACGGATCCAGCCAGTAAGGTCCTTGTTTAACCTCTATAGACACTATAGACACTTGTCCTTTCTCATCTCAATCCCTCTGTTTTGGACTCATGTTTGTTTTGTGTTGAAGTGAGTTCCTTAACATTTGGCTCTGTGGCAATGATGGACGGAAACAGGAATTAGTGAAAAGGGAGTGTGCTAGATGGTCGAAAGAAGGTGTCAACATAACGTTTGAGATAAGGGACAACAGGAACGGATACAAAGCTGGTGCGCTGAGAGAAGGAATGAAGCATAGCTATGTGAAGCAGTGTGACTATGTTGCTATCTTTGATGCTGATTTCCAGCCTGATCCTGACTTCCTCCACCGCACTGTTCCTTTCTTAATTCACAATCCCAAGTTAGCACTTGTACAAGGCCGGTGGGAGTTTGGTAACATTCCTTAGACACCTTTCTTTTCTTTTTCCATCACAAAATTTATAGATTGTACATGCTTTGAGATCTTTCTTTTGCTAACAATCTCAGTGAACGCGGGTCAATGCATGATGACGAGATTACAGGAGATGTCTCTAAGTTACCACTTTACAATAGAGCAGCAAGTTGGATCTTCAACATTTGCCTTCTTTGGGTTCAACGGTATAGCATTCTCAATAATCTTTTCTTTTCTTTCCATAAAGCTTTTTCTTATTGTCTGAAACTATTGCAGGAACTGCTGGCGTCTGGAGAATCTCAGCATTGAATGAGTCTGGGGGATGGAATGACCAGACAACGGTAGAAGATATGGACTTAGCTGTACGGGCTACACTGAGAGGCTGGAAGTTTCTATATATCGATGATCTCAAGGTATGGATAGAAGATTCCTCTATTTTCTTGGCATCTTGGGCTGTGCATTTGAATCATTAATATGTTATCTGTAGGTAAAAAGTGAGTTACCTTGTTCATTCAAAGCCCTGCGTAACCAGCAGCATCGATGGACTTGTGGCCCTGCCAATCTATTCAGGAAAATGGCTGTACAAATAATAAGAAGCGAGAATGTTTCTCTATGGAAGAAGTGGTATATGTTGTACAGCTTCTTCTTCATGCGCAAGATCGTGGCTCACATCCTCACATTCTGCTTCTACTGTGTTATCTTGCCAGCAACTGTATTGTTCCCAGAAGTCACAGTTCCGAAATGGGCTGCATTTTATCTCCCTTCTTTGATCACTCTCTTAATCGCAATCGGTAGACTAAGATCAATCCACCTTTTGGCATTCTGGGTTCTGTTTGAGAATGCAATGTCCCTGCTACGAGCAAAGGCTCTGGTCATGGGCTTGTTAGAAACAGGAAGAGTACAAGAATGGGTTGTGACGGAGAAATTAGGTGATACTCTGAAGACGAAGCTGATTCCACAAGTGCCTAACGTCAAATTCAGAGAGAGGTAAGTAGACATTTCACATATTAGGCCTTACTTAAACGAGTTTGAGCTTAAACCAATGGTATTATCAATCTGTTGCAAGCAGGGTGTATTTGCTGGAGCTATTGGTTGGAGTGTACCTGTTATTCTGCGGAATCTACGACATCGTTTATGGGAAGAACACACTCTATGTGTACCTTCTGTTTCAGTCAGTGGCCTTCTTTGTTGTTGGTTTTGGATTTGTAGGAAAATATGTTCCTGCTTCCTCTTACTTAGCATAGGATAGATCAAAGAGTCTCAATATGTTTCAGAAGGTTTTTTTTGTTGATATCATATTGAGAACAATGCCTATATACTACTCTAGTACTCTCCATTTGTATTAACACTTGAGTGTCTGTAAACAACGAAGCTCAAATGTAGTATGAACCACTCAATACTTATATAGTTTGTTGACCTCGTGGCTTCATATTGACTACAGAATGAAATAGGTAAACTATAAAGTCTACACTATTTATGGCTGAAATTTATTTGAATACATATACACTTGTCCTCTTCTTGAAACACACGGTCGTGGCCATGTCTCTTCTGCTTCCGATCTATCCTCTCCAATCCTTGGCCAGTAGCAAGAGATGGTTTCCGATTCGGACCGGATCAAAACCGGTTTGTTTAGCAATGACCAGAGTCGAAACAAGCGGTGGTGACCAAGAGGAGAAAGTAGTGATTGTCGGCGCCGGGATTGGCGGACTTACCACCGCCGTTTCTCTTCACCGGTAAGTAGGAGTTATAAAAAACCGGTTCTTTGAATTTATTAGAAACTCAAAGCCACTAAACCGGAGATTTTTGTTGACGGTTAAGGCTAGGAATCCGGTCGGTGGTGTTGGAGCAGGCAGAGTCGCTTCGGACTGGAGGAACATCGCTGACGCTATTCAAGAATGGGTGGCGCGTTCTTGATGCCATCTCCGTCGGCCCTCAACTCCGAACGCAGTTTCTTGAGATCGAAGGGTACAGTTTCTTTCTGCACATATCAAAAAAGATGATTCGGTCTTCTAAGACTGTTAGGAGTTTGTGATCCAGAAAGTGAGAAAATTTGTTCTTGGTTTTACCTGAGTGTGTTGGTATGATCAGCTGAGCAGGATGGTAGTGAAGAAGGAAGATGGAAGAGAGCTTCGTTCTTTCAAATTTAAAGACGAAGATCAAAGGTAGCTACTTCTTAACTTGCTGGTTAAAATCATTCCATTTGATTCATGTGTGTAACCAACCAAAGTATATGTCTTGTATAGCCAAGAAGTTCGGGCCGTGGAGAGGCGAGTACTCTTGGAAACACTTGCAAGCCAGCTTCCTCCACAAACCATTCGGTTTTCCTCAAAACTGGAAAGTATACAAAGCAATGCCAATGGTGACACTCTCCTTCAACTTGGAGATGGAACCCGGTTGCTCGCAAAGGTAATCTTCTCCTGAGCTCTTCTCTCAGGCTCTGAGCCGATGGTTGTGTGTTTATGATGCTTTACCTTTTTCTTCAAGCACCGTTTGCTTATCAGACATCATGATGCAGCAAGCTACTATGACCAGAAGATATGTGCCTTGGCTGATTTGATGATGTATGTCTTTGACAGATTGTTATTGGTTGTGATGGTACCCGGTCTAAGGTTGCAACTTGGATGGGGTTCAGTGAGCCGAAATATGTTGGTCATTGCGCTTTCCGTGGCCTCGGGTTCTTTCCAAATGGGCAGCCATTTCAGAACAAGGTGAACTACATATACGGAAAAGGGCTTAGAGCTGGATATGTACCTGTATCTGCAACAAAAGTCTACTGGTTCATCTGTTTCAACAGGCCATCACTAGGTAGATTTCAACACTTCTCAGACATATTACTTCTTCCATTTCCTATATTAAAAACCTTGAGACATGCAGGGCCCAAAATTACGGATCCAGCTATCTTAAAAAAACAAGCCAAAGAACTTGTTAGTACCTGGCCAGAAGATCTGCAAAACCTCATCGATCTAACACCTGATGAAACCATCAGCAGAACTCCTCTTGTAGACCGGTGGCTTTGGCCAGGCATTGCTCCTCCAGCATCAAAAGGCCGAGTGGTTCTAGTTGGAGATGCTTGGCACCCAATGACTCCAAATCTTGGACAAGGTGCTTGCTGTGCCTTGGAAGATTCTGTAGTTCTGGCAAATAAACTTGCCAGTGCAATAAATGGAGGAACCGAATCAATTGAAGAGGCAATGGAATCATACGGGAGTGAAAGATGGTCGCGGGCATCCCCGTTGACAGTACGTGCAAACCTAGTCGGAGCACTTCTGCAATGGGAGAATCCTCTAGTGTGTTCCATTAGAAACAATATTGTCATACCAAAGTTACTGAGACTTGGACCAATGCTGGAACACACAAACTTTGAGTGTGAACCTCTCTTTGTTTCAAAATAGGCAATTTGATCTGTCTATATAGTGAGATCCAAAAGCATATGTTCCATTGGATAAAGGACTTAATCAATGTATAATCAGAGGAACAATCTCAAAGAAGTTAATATAAACTCTGTGATTGATTGTTAAAGAATCATACAATCTAATTCGTTTATGCTAATGTGTTGTCTCAACAAGAACAGAGTAAGCTTGACCTAATCAAAATCTGTCTTCCACCATGTAATCTTCATTGTTTGATCATTGCTACTGTGAACAAATCAGACGATAGAAACGTAAGTCACAGATTCTTTGAAACATGTATAGAGGATTTGTATCGGAGGAATTGAAATGGTTACCTGGATTCGAAAACAACCAGAGTATAACGGCGCAGAGAATGAGTACGATTGGAATGAAATGGATAGCGTTCTCGGCGGATCTGAATCGCGATTTGTTCTTTTTCCCGGGATGAGAGTTGGGATCGTACCTAGGTAAAAGAAGGTGGCTATCATCTGAATCTGAGGCGGTTTTAATTCGCGGCGGAGATGGTGATGGTGACGGTGAATTCGCTGAGAGTTGGTCGGAAACTATGGAGGCGCTCGCCGATCGACGCATCTTCTTCTTCTTCTTCTTCGATTTTACGCGCTTCACAAGGAGAAACTTCTATATATAGAATGATTATGATTCTTGAATTGACTGTTTTACCCTTTTGAAAGTCAAACCTCACGCGCTCGCTTTTCCCGGCAATTCAGTGTTGAGTGTCCGAAGTTCTCAGTCTCACTCGGAGGAAAAATGGAAAAAAAAAAATCGAATTTTACTCTTTTTGTTTATAAAGTTTTTTTTTCCGCATTTTGTTTATAAAAGTTTAATAGTGTTAATTTGATGAAAAATAAAATTAAACGTTTGTATACGAGCTCTACCAATAGAAGACTTAAAGGAGACTCTTTTGAGAACTTGGAACTCATAACATTTTTAATGGCTGGATTTGTTTCACTATGTTACATTTTTTTTTTGCTAAGAATGTAAATATTTCATAAAAATGAAAACATTTTAGGTTTACAATCAATGATTTTCAACCTAGACAAATGGTCCCATGGCAAAAAATATAAAAACATGGAAGCATAAAAGTAACCACAATTTTTGGTCCATCCACTCGACCATAGCAAAGGATACTATGAGAGTTAGATGAAGCGATGACAATTTTGTCGTTCTTCCTTTGTGAGCTGCAAAAGCGATGACTATGTTACATTACCTTCTTTAGAACCACCTTAAGACCACACCTCCAAGTGAAACTTATCAAACCTAATGAAATCTCAAGTATGTGTTTGAGAGATTGTTCAGTCCCAACATTATGCTATTTGGCTCTTTTAGAATTCTCTTGGATTAGGGTTTTTTTTTGCATTCTTCTCTTATTCTTTGGTTTTAGACTTAGTATTCAAAGTTTTTGATATATCCTTCTACTTTATGTGATTTTATTAGATTTTTTTTAATCAATCTTAAACTTAAACCAAAATAAATTTAAAGTTGGTTACCAAACCGGAAGAAGAAAAGTTTACAAGTGAAACGATTTTATTGGACTTAAATTGGGCCAAATTAACTTTTAAATTCCGATATTTAACAATAATTTAGGTCCAATCGCATTGATATTTAGGGTTTTGGGTATCTTATCTCTATAAATATGTTACATAGGTTTCTCAGAAACACGCCGCACAAACACCTAAAATGAAGTTTCTAGCTTATACGAGAGAATCTCTCTGATACTAGTGTTGTGTTAGAGTTGTGAAGGTGCATCCTGAATTGTTCTTCGTTCGATCAATCGGCTGCGAAATCAGAAACCGATCATATTCCGCTACGAAATCAAAAAGTAAATCGAAATCTTTGTAGATTAAGTTTGCATGATTAGATTTGATAGATGTTTTATGAACATGTACGAATTTCAACAATATATCTTATCATTTCCATGATCTTTTTTTCTACTTTACTTTTTAATAGTCTCTTATGCCGATTAAAATTTTTTCGTTTCAAACTTTTGTTTATCTAATTTTTACAAATCTAATTCAATATTTTCATTTTAAAGAGCATTTTGTCTGAAAAATTAAATAATAGACAAAATAGATTTTTATACATCTCAAAATTTGGTTATGAAGTTGTATATACTTCTGTCATGAAGCACAACTAATCAGAGAAGAGTTAATATCAAAATATAAGACTCTTTCTGACTTGTGTCTTTTCGTAGTCATATTAAAAAAAATAGTATAAATATATTCAGCTTTTATATTCTTCCACAAAAAATAATTAACAATAAGAAGATTTACTATTTGTAGATAACGTTCGTTTCTATTTTTTTTAATTATGAAGTTATGTGTAGAGATTCTATTTTGTTTCATATTGGGAAACATACACATTTGTCACTCCACTACTCTTTATTCTCTATATATAAAAGGTCAAAAAAGGTCTGCCGTTACAGTTTTACCTTCCTTACTAGTTTATATATCGCATTTGGCCAGCTAACATTTCATGGCTCTTTCATCCACTGTGAACCAAAGATGGTTAGACGATTATTCGGAGTTTCGCCTATGATCTATACATATTTCATTGATTTCTTGATATTTCTACTAATTATAATTGTGTGTGGATCACAGTCTAATTCAATGTTTATGGCGTCGCAGCTTGTAGATTAATCAGCAGATGGCTAGGAAGTCCATACGGGGGAAGGAAGTGGTAGTGGTTTCTGATAATGATGATGATGATGTTGATGTTGATCTTGATGAAAATATCATCAAATATATCAAACCTGTGTCAGTCTACAAGAGTCTTGAAGCTCGCTCAAAATACAACGTATGCATTCTGTTTTGTGTCAGTTTGGTGATGTGCTTATTGTGGTTAATTTCTTCATCAAACACTTTTTATTATTTCTAGCTCAGAACCATTTAAATCTATCGACATGTGCTAACAATTGTTCTTCATTTTTATGTATAAATTAGTTGATTCCCTTTTACTAATTAAAATATAGTTAAATGAGAGGAAATGAGTAGTTGTGTTTGTATCCATAGTTTTTTATTATTATTATTATTAATAAGTTTTTCTTTGTTTATGCAGCCATATTTCCTTCGAAGGTCTTTGAGATACATAATCCAAGCAAAGAAAAAAAAGAGGTATGAATCTCATCTATCCTTTTAGTGTATATATCATTTTTCTATGCTTTCAGAAGTGATACCATTTCAAAGAAAAATTCTCAAAAGTACCATATTTTATGTTTTGTGAGACCACCAAAGTTAGAGAATTTGTGAGACCTTCATAAACTTCCTTCATTATTATTTTTTGGAACTAAATTTTGTTTTTGTGGTATTTTAATTAGGATATTACTCTTCTGTTTTCTAATATATGAATGACTTCTTCTCTGCTCATGCCACACTTAAATATTGCTTAGGTCAAATTCAAGTGGGAAAATAAGATTCAACTATAGGGATGTGAGTAACAAAAAAACACTAAAAGCTGAAGGTGAGTCTTTCATTGGTTGTTTCCTTTCAGAATCTTTTGTCTCTCGTTGTAATTTCTTCTAACAGTTTATCATCTATATATACATTTCTGTATCCAAATGCAGTAGTGGAAAAATTTTCATGCCCATTTTGCTTGATAACATGTGGAGGCCACAAGGTAGGCACTAATTAATTAGAATATCAAGCTTTCTAGTGATATATTTCATTTTTAACAATGTGTATTCAAAAGTTTCATGCTCATTTAGTCTAGATCTTTGCTAAAATTAAAATACAATGTCTTATGTTTGTGCACAGGGCCTGCAACTTCATTTGAAGTCATCACATGACGCCTTTAATTTTGATTTTTATGTAAGTAGTTTTTTCAGTGATCTAATTTTGTTTTATGTTTTGGCATGAAATTATATGTAACAAGAGTACTCTTTATCTATTTTAGCGGGCAGAGGAAGATCACGGCCCGGAAGTTGATGTCTCCGTGAAAAGTGATACTTTAAAATATGGGGTTAGTAATAGTCTTGATACATAAGCAACATTTCAGGTGGATCAGATTTTATTCATGTTAGTCATAATATTGAACTCACCATGATGTTATTTGTTTTTTATTTTTTCAGGTACTAAAAAATGATGTAGGAAATCCCCAATTGAGCCCTTTGACGTTTTGGTAAAATTTCGAATGCATTTCTCTAGTATTTATGATATGTTTCAGCATCTTCTAAAAGCCAAACCACAATCTATGCAGCTCGAAACATCGTAACCAAAGAAGCCAAAGAGATGATAGCAATAACGTTAAGCAACTTAATGTACTCCTTATGGAGTTGGATTTGGACGACTTACCTCGTGGCACAGAAAATGATCCTACTCATGTCAATGATGATAATGTCTCATCGCCACCAAGAGCTCACTCTTCGGAGCAGACTAGCGACATTTTAAGTACGACTCAACCAGCCATAGGTGAGTCTTCTGAACCTAAGGTGCCTTATTTGAATGATGATAATGTCTCATCACCACCAAGAGCTCACTCTTCAGAGAAGAATCTATCTACTCGTGTGAATGATGATGATGATGTCTCATCACCACCAAGAGCTCACTCTTTGGAGAAGAATGAATCTACTCATGTGAATGATGATAATGTCTCATCGCCACCAAAAGCTCAATCTTCGGAGAAGAATGAATCTAGTCATGTGAATGATGATAATGTATCATCGCCACCAAGAGCTCACTCCTCGAAGAAGAATGGATCTACTCATAAGAATGATGAAAATGTCTCATCGCCACCAAGAACTCGCTCTTCGAAGAAGAATGAATCTACTCATGTGAATGATGAAAATGTCTCATCGCCACCAAGAACTCGCTCTTCGAAGAAGAATGACTCTACTCATGTGAATGATGAAAATGTCTCATTGCCACCAAGAACTCGCTCTTCGAAGAAGGCTAGCAACATTTTAACCACGACTCAACCATCAATAGCTGAGTCTTCTAAACCTAAGGTGCCTCGTATCAGTAGAAGAAAACAGTTATATGCAAAGCGGTTCAAGGCTAGAGGGACTCAACCAGCAATAGCTGAGTCGTCTTCTGAACCAAAGGTGCCTCATGTGAATGATGATAATGTCTCATCGACACCAAAAGCTCACTCTTCCGAGAAGGCTAACGACATTTTAACTACGACTCAACCAGCAATAGCTGAGTCTTCTGAACCTAAGGTGCCTCATGTGAATGATGATAATGTCTCATCGACACCAAGAGCTCACTCTTCAAGGAAGAATAAATCTACTCGTAAGAATGATGATAATGTCTCATCGCCACCAAGAACTCGCTCTTCAAAGAAGGCTAGCAACATTTTAACTACGACTCAACCAGCAATAGCTGAGTCTTCTGAACCTAAGGCGGCTCATGTGAATGACGATAATGTCTCATCGACACCAAGAGCTCGCTCTTCAGAGAAGAATAAATCTACTCAAAAGAATGATAATAATGTCTCATTGCCACCAAAAACTCGCTCTTCTAAGAAGACTAGCGACATTTTAACTACGACTCAACCAGCAAAAGCTGAGCCTTCTGAACCTAAGGTGACTCGTGCTAGTAGAAGAAAAGAGTTATACGAAGAGCGGTGCGAGGCTAAAAGGTTATTTTCTTTTGATTTATTTGCTCATATATAATTTTTACATAATCTTCTTCCTACTTTATTAACTAAGATTATTACTTGTTTCCAGATTGGAGGGTCTTAAGAGTCGGCAGTTCTATCACTCCCAAACAATGCAGGTGGTTTAATTTTCTTCATGTCACTAATTTATCTAACAATGTTGTATCTGTTTTATTTCACTAACCAAAGCTGCATGTTGAAGCCAATGACGATTGAACAAGTAATGTCTAACGAGGATAGCGAGAATGAAACTGATGATTTTGCTTTAGATCTTAACGAACGCCTGGTAAATTATTTACTTTCTTGCTTTTTCTTGACTTTTCTTGAATTGTTACGAAAAATCATATTCACTGAAGGCTTTTTATTGATTTTTTGAAAATATTGACAGAGACTTGAACGTCTTGTGGGTGTGAGCAAAGAGGAAAAGCGATACATGTATCTTTGGAACATATTTGTAAGAAAACAAAGGTAGCTATTTATTTTCTATTTTTCTTACATACATCTTACATCAATCATGCCCCTCTCCATGAATTAGAACAATATGATCAAAGTCAAGTTGCCATATTGTTGGAAAGGGTTTTAGCTTTGTTAAAATATGGTTCTTTGTGGGCAGGGTGATCGCAGATGGACATGTTCCTTGGGCATGTGAAGAGTTTGCAAAACTTCACAAGGAAGAGATGAAGAATTCTTCATCTTTCGATTGGTAATAGTCTTCCTTAGCCATCAAACTAATATCTAACTCTACTCATCATATGATCCCAAAAACTTGTTGGAGGATAATCACATTATATTTGACTTTGCTTTGATGCTTGCGTGCTTCGTGAGCAGGTGGTGGAGAATGTTTAGAATTAAACTGTGGAACCAGGGTCTTATCTGCGCCAACACCTTCCACAAATGCACTACCATCCTCCTCAGTAACTCCGATGAAGAAGGACCATCCACCTCTGGCAGTGATGCTAATGCCAACAAACAACAATCTATGGAAGTTGATGCAGAATAAGAGTGGCCATGTAGATGTTGAGATCTTTTCTTTCAAGTATTAGGGATCAAGACGGAGATCGCTATCTGGTTTATTTCATTTCTTTCAATTTAATTACTGTGTCGAAACCTTTTAGTTCAACCCTCAGATTAATAAGGTTAAACTTGAGATTTAGAATACTTAAAAGGAGACTAATTCATGTTTATCCTCATCAAAGGCAAATGAGGGACAAGGTAGTATTTAATTACAATACCCAGACGACAAAACCAAGTTTTTTTTTTTCAAATTTACAAACCCTTGCTTAATTCTATACCTAATTTTTTATTTATAGACTTTTTTTTTTACTGGCGAGAAACAGTGAAAAAGGCATATTCACTCACTCGCCAGCAGACTCACCTGCATTCATTCTTCGCCATCATCATCAGTAGACCGAAATGTCGACGCTTATGCCTCCCATGGAAAGATTTTTCCCAGAAAGCTTGTGGTCCTCACGCAAGCCCAGCCACAGACACGAGATCCTCGCCATCGCAGCCTGCCCCACCACTTTCACCCGGTACACCATGCTCAGATCTGCAGCTGCCGCCCATAGCTCATTCCCAGTAACATTCACTGACCTCCGTGCCCGTGAGTCATCATCATCATTATAGCCCTCTAGATCCGAGTGGGTGACTACCACCATTGACCCATCATCAAACACCACTACATTCCCAGAACAAACCTGCTTCACATTTCTCGGGATCAAAGCTGAAGTTGTATCAGTTAAGCAGCTCTGAGTATTCAGCACCTTGACATGGTAGTACTCAACAACGGCCTGCAAACACACCAATAATCAGAAGAAGAATAATACAGGACTTAATTCTGATTCATTGGTAATGAAGACTTGGACCCCTGTCAAATACCTTCCATTGGGCGGCTGCTAAAAGAACCCTGGGCCTGATTGACCTCACGTAGGCATATGCTGCTTCAGGTGTCATGTTTTTGTGTTGAACCTGCGTTGAAAAGGTATGATCAGAGAGAAGGAGAAAAAGTGTCTCTGATCAAATTGTTTTTCTGGGATCAATTGCAATACAAACCAAGTAGCATATGACAATAGTTGTGCTGCGACCCCGACCCGCTTTGCAGTGAACATAAGTCGTCTTTCCAAGCGAAGCATTTCCTTCAACGAGACAAGATAGAATTTGAGATCAAATGAACACGGCTTGGGACAAACAGTAAGCTTCTTAATAATGGTCAGTGGCAAAAAACGTAAGAGAATAAAATGAGAAGGTAAGCTTACTATGGATAAATTCTACAGCTTGGCATATTGCTTCCATGGAAGGAGCAAAACAATAATCCCTTGTGGCAATCACCAGGTGGTCAATGCAGTAAGACTTCCATAAGAGTAAGAAAATAAATGAGGTCAGTACATAGAAGAAAAAAGACAGAATGGCCAGATTATAATATGGAGAAAAGAACAGACTTTGTAGAGAGACGATGGAACCAAAGTTTCATATGGCTCATTCAGAGTGATCACTCCACAAACACCGAGCTCTTTCAGCTGTGGAACATCAGATGGGAATGGAACAGCTCCCAGTAAAATAAACTGTAGAAACAAAATAATGAGAGTGAAGTATAAGCATAAGACAGAGAACCAAATCCAGAAAACATACTTAGAGTAGTATCTACAAGAGACCCAACAAACAAATGAAGACGATTGGAACGAAACATTCAAAAGCAGCACAATCTACATGAGCAATGTATCAATTTCCATTGAATTGACATAAATCAGCTCGAAGGACAATCAAAATTTTACCTCAGCCACCCGATCCCACCAGCGAAACTCAGTCTCGAGCTTATTCCTAACAACGTTGTAAATCAGAGTAGGATAAAACAAGGCACGAGCACCAACACCAACGAGTGCCCTCTTTGTAGTCAACACAATCACGTTTCCTCTGCTCACCAAAATCGCCTTATCTCCATCAGCAACGTTATCCTCAACCAATCTCTCCCCCTTCTCCTCCTCCCTTTCCGTCAGTTCTTCAATATACATATTCCTCAGTCAAAGATCTAGAGATCCAAAAGCAATCTACTCTCCTCCCAAACCCTAATAATCACCAGTCTTTATATACACAGACACGATTATTCACAAGACCATCAAACACACAAAACGAAAACTCCTAATTGGTTAATTATAGGATTCGAAGACAAAGCCAAGAAGAAAGTCTACACGTAATCGAAATCGCGATAAAGTCAAGCGGAAGCAACCGAAGAAATTTCGAATTCAAAATCTTCAGGGAAATCACCACCATATTTCGCCTGAACAAAACGATGATCCGATCAGACGCCGGCAACGACGAGACGGAGAAGACTCTGAAAAAATCCGATCACCGATGGATATAAATCAAATCGCCTACGATCGAAGAGAGGAATCGAGAGCAAAGCCCTAAGAACAAGTTTCGAAATTTGGGGATCGAGAATTGATTTGCCTAATCTCTACTCAACCTTAGGTTTCTCTTAAAGAGAGGAGAACCAAAAAAAGAAGGATCTCAGTGTTTTCAAAGAGGAGGGTTTTTCTAAACTGACAAGCGTTTCACCTCTTATTGTAGCTTTTAGGTGAAAGTCAATGCTTTGTTGACACGTGTTATTGCGATTTATGGAGAAAGAGTCATGCGTCGCACAAGGCCCGGATAACATTAGGATTATCCTTTCTTTAACTCCTTTTTTTTTTTGGATAAGATACTTTCTTTAATTCTTAACAAATCTTTTGACAAAATTTGATTATATATATGATTTTTAAAAAATAATTTTGGATAATCTGGATTAACATTAAATTAAAGGTACATAACTACAACATGTTTCAATTACAGTTGATATAAATCGTCCAACTAATTTTATGAATGAGCGAGTCCAACAAATAATATTTAGTTCACCGAATTTTTAACTTCCAAATTGAAAAAAAGTGGTTAAACTTACTTTGCAAAAAAAAAAATACTCATTTTTGAAATGAAAGAAATTTGTGTTTTTAATCACTTAAATTCAAGACCTCTTGAGCCAAAAATTTAAATTTAATTTCTCTGTTAGCTTAAGAAAAAAATATCTAAGTCCTCTAAAATATTAAATTCAAAAAAAAAAATTACTCTTCGATAAGATTTTCGAGTAGAAAAGAAATTTACAAATAGGCTGTTTAGGTTCGATTGAATTGAAGTCTTATTATATTGGATTGATTTATTAATTAAAATAAACAAAAACTCAAAAGTAGCTGAGCAAATTATCAACAGCCCACGTCCCACGAGACGAGAGTGTAGTAATGGCAAATATGATGTGTAGATGATTAGAGCCTGGTTCCAAATCTTATCATAAAAAAAAAAATATAACGTGTTGCGTTAGAATCCGATATAAATGATAAATACCTGAACTTTCTATAACCAATTTTTTGTTACCTTTATTACATCAGTAATCTCTCTTTCTGTTCTAACTTGTAATCCTAAAAATAGAAAAAAATCCTCTGTTTTTTATGTGACGATTTCTCTCTTGTTGAATCGGCTTTTTAGTGGCTTCTCTTTGATTAATCCATTTTTTTCACACACTCGAGAGAATCTGAGACAATAGAGAGAATAATGGAGAGAGTTGATCACCTTGCTGATGAGAGGAACAAAGCAGAGTTCAACGTCGACGATATGAAGATCGTCTGGGCCGGTTCCCGCCACGCTTTCGACGTTTCAAATCGTATTTCTCGCCTCGTCGCCAATGATCCGGTAAAATTTCTCCTACCTCCTTCATCGTTTCCTCTGTTTTTCCGGTGAGTTTCCGATGTGAATTTTTGCAATGTTGTCATGTTAGATCTTTGAGAAAAGCAAAAGAGCAGTAATGAGTAGGAAAGAGTTGTTCAAGAACACGTTGAGAAAAAGTGTTCACGCTTGGAAGATGATTAACGAGCTTCGTCTCTCTGATGAGGAAGGAATCAAATTGAGGTCTTTCATGGATCAACCAGGCTTCTTGGATCTGCATTGGGTATTACACAAAATTTTCTATTTCTTTTTGGGTGATTAATTAAAATTTTGATGGTGAATTGGTTTCATGGTGGATAGAGAATGTTTGTGCCTGCAATTAAAGGACAAGGCACAGAGGATCAACAACACAAGTGGTTGTCTCTGGCTAATAAGATGCAGATAATTGGATGTTATGCTCAAACTGAACTTGGTCATGGCTCTAATGTTCAAGGTCTTGAGACAACCGCCACTTTCGATCCAAAGACAGATCAGTTTATCATTCACAGTCCAACTCAAACATCATCCAAAGTAAAAAGAAGATGAGTAGACAATTATCTCGTTGAACTCTAAGTCTTTAAGTTGTGTCTTAATTTTGTTTTGTTTGAAATAGTGGTGGCCTGGTGGATTAGGAAAAGTTTCTACTCATGCTGTTGTTTATGCTCGTCTAATAACCAATGGCAAAGACCATGGTGTCCATGGTAAGGAAAGGAACCAGAAGGATTTCTTATTAAAAAATTTTTTGTTATAATCATCAGTAGTATTGATTAATAAGATCTTTCTCATTTTCAGGATTCATCGTGCAGCTACGTAGTTTGGATGATCATTCTCCGCTTCCAGGTATAACCGTTGGGGATATCGGAATGAAGTTTGGAAACGGGGCATATAACTCAATGGACAATGGTTTTCTTATGTTTGATCATTTTCGTATTCCTAGAGATCAAATGCTCATGAGGTCCTCTCTCTTTTGCCTTTTATGTGAATAAGCCATATACTCATATATATCCTTAATTAAAAGAAACTGATTTATGGTTCTGCATTTTTCTTCTTATAGACTGTCAAAAGTTACAAGAGAAGGAAAATATGTAGCATCAGATGTTCCAAGGCAATTGGTGTATGGTACTATGGTGTATGTGAGACAGTCTATTGTGTCAAATGCTTCCACCGCACTGGCTCGGGCAGTCTGCATTGCCACAAGGTACAGTGCTGTTCGAAGGCAGTTCGGCTCACAGGATGGTGGAATGGAGACACAGGTACTCTCTGTAAATCCCACTAGTCATAACTATGGGACAAAAACGTTTTCTATGACTTAATTAAGAATCCAATATCTAGATGGAGGATGGTCATGACCATAGTGACAACCTATTGATGTTGTTATAAATGGCAGGTGATTGATTATAAAACTCAGCAGAACAGATTGTTTCCTCTGCTAGCATCTGCATATGCATTTCGGTTTGTAGGGGAGTGGCTGAAATGGCTCTACACCGATGTAACACAAAGACTAGAGGCCAGTGATTTTGCAACATTGCCTGAAGCTCATGCATGCACTGCTGGATTGAAGTCTATGACTACCTCAGCCACCTCTGTATGCTTTCAAAGCTAAACTTATTAAAATAAGTTGCAAATCAGCTAAATTGGTTTTTTCTTTCTCTTTTTTGGTTAAAGGATGGAATTGAAGAATGCCGTAAGTTATGTGGTGGACATGGATACTTGTGGTGTAGTGGCCTTCCTGAGTTGTTTGCTGTATATGTTCCTGCTTGCACATATGAGGGAGACAATGTTGTGTTGCAATTACAGGTATTCTTACTCATCTTCTTGAATAACAAGATTCATTCATGACCCAACTCTTAGTATTGGCAAATGATGAGAATGTATTAAAATTTGTAATGTTTTTTTAAAAATGGGTCTTCAGGTTGCTAGATTTCTGATGAAGACAGTTTCACAATTGAGTTCTGGAAAGACTCCTTCTGGGACAACTGCATATATGGGCAGAGCAAAACACCTTTTGCAATGCCGTTCCGGTGTTCGAAATGGTGATTTTTTTCATGGATAATACCATAAAATTTATACTCTTAATCTCTATCTGTTTTCTGAATTTATCTTGGTTGAGGATGTAGCTGAGGATTGGTTAAACCCTGGTATGGTGTTGGAAGCTTTTGAAGCAAGGGCTTTGAGAATGGCTGTTACTTGTGCTAACAATCTAAGCAAGTTTGAGAATCAAGAACAAGGATTCTCAGAACTCTTGGCTGATCTTGTTGAAGCTGCTACTGCTCATTGCCAGTTAATTGTTGTTTCTAAGTAAGTAAATAAGATTCTTCACTAAGATTTTACAAACTAATCAACGGACTCAAATCATAACTACTTGAAAATTTCACAGGTTTATAGCAAAAGTCGAGGGAAATATTGAAGGAAAAGGAGTGAAGAAACAGCTCAAGAATCTATGCTACATCTATGCACTCTATCTCCTTCACAAACACCTTGGTGATTTCCTCAGTACAAACTCTGTCACTCCTGAACAAGGCTCACTCGCGAACCGCCAGCTTCGGTCACTCTACTCTCAGGTTCGACCAAACGCAGTGGCCCTAGTGGATGCCTTTGACTACACTGACCACTATCTTGGCTCTGTGCTGGGCCGCTACGACGGAAACGTTTATCCAAAGCTTTTCGAGGAAGCGTTGAAGGATCCACTCAATGACTCGGTGGTTCCTGACGGCTACCATGAATACATTCGACCCTTGATTAAGCAACGCTTCCGCTCTGCCAAACTCTAACTCTTTCTTTGTTCGTCTAAAAGGGACAACATTATTTTAATAATGTTATATCTTATTCGTGTTTTTACTTTTTAACAAATGTGAAATAAACGAAGTATCTTAAGTTATATGGGTGATAATTTATAATATTTGTAAAATATCACAATTCTTATTGATGTGTGAATCGATATATATGAAGAAATAAATTTATATATGCACTTAACAAAATTGAATACAGAGTTTAAAGAATTTGAGATGGTTTGTATTTGAGAGCTAGTAGTAGGTCTAAAGAAATACAAATGTCTCTTCAAGTCAGAAGCTCATTTTATGGTTGTACTTCTAAAGGCAATGCTTTTATCCCCCAGAAAAAAAAACAGATTAATTGCATATACAATTTGTGGTTGTACTTCTAATTGGCTAATTGCATGTCAGAATTTACGATCACATTTAGTTTTATGTGTTGCCCTTTTGCTTTGCCTTCTATTAATTGGCTTTTTCTATCCATAAAGTTTCCTTACGTCTTTAGTTATTAATTGAGCAATTAATAACCGAATTAGTTAGTTGAATATGTATTTATCATACAATTTGTGGTTGTACTATATAGCTATTAGCCAACTGTTGTCGTCTATCTAAATCCTCCAACATTGAAAAAATTAAAACAAATAATACATTCGTATTAAAAATAAAACTTGTTAGTTGGTTAGTAGTGAAGGTAGTTACGACACCATTCTTATATTAATTTTGACAGCTTATGTCTTTAATCTTGTTTAACCCAAGAGCCTAAATTAAAGACGAAAACCAAGTTTGACTGACTCTTTCGATATATGCATGCATTGATGTATACATATACATATGACATCCATATTTGCATGTATATATGAGTATGATCTATATATGTATGTATATGTCTACGAGGCCTATGAGATCATAATAATTGGCTTAGGTAACGTCCCATGTAGGTTGTCCTTTGTCGTGTCGTGTCTTATCGTCAACTGTCTTTGATTGTTTATTTGTATATAGTACATCTTATGTACCTTGTACTAACGTGTGGTAATGCGGTTTCTTACATGTTCGTTTCTATGATCAATGTGTGTATTCAAATTGTTCACTTAAAACACATTTGTTCAACTCTTAATTGCACATTTGCAAACCTAACTAGCTAGACGTCGATCTTTTCTGTATATGCTAGATACGTACAGCGGCTTCAGAATATTTATCCAAATGGAAACTTTTTTCATTTGTGAATCAACACCAACATTTTTGTTGTCTTTTTTGCCCTCTTTGCTTCCCAACAAATCTATGATAGGTAAATGATAATGAAAGTAGATGAATATTTTACCTTTTCAAGTCTAATCGTTTTCTATGCTCTATTTTTTGTTTCTCGTTGTGAATCAATATGGAAATCGTCTACTTTTTTTAAACCCTACTTTATTTACTAGTTTAAAGTAGCTTAGCTAAAAGAAACACTTTAGTAATTCTTAAGCTATGTATAAAAGAGTGGCTCGACTGTAGAAACTCGAGAAAGTCGGATAAAATATACCCCAAATATGAATGCATTATACTTAATATTGAGTAAATCAATTAGGAACTCATAAAACGAGGCTAAATGCATTGTTTAAAAAAATTCGTTAATTTGGTGGCCAATAAATGTAAATCGCCGAGTTGTGAGGAGGGTGATCATTTCTTGAATGGAATTACCAGAAAATGATGGCTGAATTCATCCTTCTCATTGTAACTTCTAATACTATGAATCTATGATTTATCTTCTTCTTTTTTTTTGACGGTTTTTATCTTATTTTGTATCAATATGCTCTACATTTTTTTAGAAGAGGCGTTGCCAGTGCACACATCTAATTTACAAATATTATTGTTTTATTTAAATACTCTCATCTTTCACAAATCAGAATGTAATCTAACCGCTATATTTAACCGTACTGACATCTTTTACCACTTCTAATTGTATTCATATTTTATACCATTATTTTAATTACCGTTATGCGTAACAAATTGAACCCATTTCTTAAATTAATACAAAATTTTATCAATTTGTAACTTAGTGTAATACAAAATATCTTCAAACAAACGAGTTTATAATTCCAGTGTAGTTTTTGTATTTTTTCACAACGAGAGAGAGAGAGAGAGAGTATAATACATTCAAAACCCATATGGCTATATATGGTATAGTAGGTATTAAATACTTAATACATACTCCCTCCGTTTCGTTTTACTTGTCGTTTTAGAGTTAAAATTTTGTTTCATAATAGTTGTCGTTTTAGGTTTTCAATGTAAATATTTGGTGAAAATTCTAGTTTTATCCCTACTGTTTTAATGTTTCGGCCAATGAATTTTTTTATAAAATATATTAATAAAGGGTAAAACAAAAAATTTAATGTTTTTCTTAATTTGTGTGAAAAAACCTTAAACGACAACTAAAACAAAACGGAGGGAGTATATTTTAGGTATAGCCTACAAAAGAAAAATCTGCTTTCTAAATTTTGGATGTATATAATAACAAGACACCGACCTCTTCTTCTCTCAAACCCTCTTTCTAACTCTCACACTAAACCCAAAGAAAAAACCAAATTTATTTCCTTCTCTCAAATCTTCCCACCAAAATTAACTCTTTTGTTTACACTTCATCCCCTCTAGAAGGAAATATCCCAATTAATGGAACCTGGCGACTGCCGGAGGTTTAAAGATTCGCCGGCGCAGACGACGGAAAGAAGAGTGAAAAATAATCCAAAGAAGAAAAGAGGCAAAGATGATGATGATGAAAAGGTTGTTTCAAAGCATCCAACTTTCCGAGGTGTCAGAATGAGACAATGGGGAAAATGGGTGTCCGAAATCAGAGAGCCAAAGAAGAAATCAAGAATCTGGCTCGGTACTTTCTCCACGGCGGAGATGGCGGCGCGTGCTCACGACGTGGCGGCTTTAGCCATCAAAGGCGGTTCTGCACACCTCAACTTCCCGGAGCTCGCTTACCACCTCCCTAGACCAGCTAGTGCCGACCCTAAAGACATCCAAGCTGCCGCCGCCGCAGCTGCAGCCGCAATGGATGTAGAGACGTCTTCGCCGTCGCCGTCTCCCACTGTTACGGAAACGTCATCTCCGGCTATGACAGCACTCTCCGACGACGCGTTCTCCGATCTTCCCGATCTCTTGCTCAACGTGAACCATAACATCGACGGCTTCTGGGACTCTTTTCCCTACGAAGAACCCTTCCTCTCTCAAAGTTACTAGAAACTCAAAACGGTGTCGTTTTTGTATGTATTTTTGTCATGTGAAAATTTTTTGACGTTGAAAATCACCCGGATAATCCAAATTGTATGATTTATTAATGGTTGAAGATTTTCTTAAGTGGAACAATGTATGATACGTAATCAAAATTTCGAAAAAAAATAAAAAAAAATGTGTGATACGTAAGTAAAAGGTACTTTGTTTTTTGTAAAAATATGAACGTCAGTGAATCGATGACAATTGACAAAGTCCCATGTTTCTTTGTAGCCCTGTTTTATTTCCCACAACTGTTTATTTCCCCTAAAGTTTTTCAGATTTATGTTTCTGACCCCTACATTTACTTTTAGGTCTGACATTGATTTTTTTTTTCTCCTATAAGGCTGGCATATAATAGATACATATATTTTTTGGAGATCTGCAACAATATTAATGTAGACGTTCAATTATCAGGTCGAACATATTATGTAACAAACAACCTCGACCGTCTTTCATTTAGAAAATTTATGAAATGGCCTCAGATTTTTGTGTTAGAGATGATACAATAAATTGAGGGAAAAAAAAAACAACAAAAAGGGTAAAAATAGCAGGAGAGACAAATTTTATTAACCTTCTGTTGAATTTGTGTTTGATGTATTTTTTTCTGTCGTTTTCCAGTTTCCTAATTCATGGCTATTCTCCTTTTTGCCGTGAGCTTATTGGCCCTTATAAAGTTGGAAATGAAATGACCCGTTGGTCCATTTTATTTAATGAGTGTGCTGTATTTATTGTGCTTTTTGTTGGGACTGATTTTCAATTTTTCATTGAAATGCTATTTTTTTGTTGTTTCTATTTGTCTCTATTTATTTTATCCGCAGGATTTCGGACTAATTAAAAAGAGACTAATTTTCGTTTTATGGAAAAACTAGATATTTTTCTTATCTATGGTGAAGAATATAAATCATAGTGTTTCAATCCACGTGTAATATATTTGAGCCATTTTATTAAGTGACAACAAAAAATTCTATGGAGATGATATTTTAATTTACGCTTTTATTTGAAAATAGATAGAGAAATAACTTTTAGTTTTTTCCCTAACAAAAATATCATTTTCTGTTAAGAATCAATAATCATTAATTAACTTTACAATGTATGATCATAACGGAACAAATATTTTCCAACAACTGATCATTTCCATCAGAACAAGTAATAGTTTGTTTGGTCGAAGTTGGAAAATCCTTACAAAGAAGGAAGATTAGTTTTAGAAGCTTAGTGGTTTTAAAATTTTAATGATGGCTTATAGGCAAAACAAGAGTACTATAATATAGGCATTCATGTTGTGATATATCTTTTTGTAGAGTAATGAAGAGCAATATTTCTTTAGATTGATGATGATCTCTTTTGTCGGATTGAAATCTCTCACGCAAAGGTGTAAGGATTTTTGTTAATACTTCTATTTCTTAGTGTGAAGCTCTCTTTACCTGCCATATAGTCTTCGACGAGTTGTGAAGAGATCTTAAAATTATTTATATCTTGGATTAATTAAGAGTTGATGATCTATTGGATTAGGATCGCTCTGAATAATCTTTCTAATTAATCCTAACGTTTATATACAAATTATTAAATCATCTCATAGAGCCATTACCGGGAGCAATTAGGATGGCAGTAACCAAAAGATGGTTTCATATTTCATATATACGTACGTCCTTACTTCCCTTTTGAATTGGTTTCATAACCATGTTGCAATTGACACAATGACATTTTGGTAATATAGTTCATAGTTGGGGAATATCATCTTTTCAGTCTATAATGTGGATTACTCTGGAGTTTTCTCGACGCTATTTAGTTAGGATTTTACAAATGTAATCTAATTGAAGATAAAATGTATAGAGTAAATTAAAATTGTATAGAAGTCAATTTCACTTTACTCATTAAACAATTGTTTTGATAATGTTTTCTGTTTTTAGAAGAAAAAAAATAGCTTTGAAGATAAACAAAAAAAAAGAATTCTAAAGGAAAAGAAAAAACAAAATAGGTAAAATCACAATTGATAACATATAACACATATAAAAATAACGTTTTGTTATACCGTTATATGTTTCCTTTTCTAAACATTCATCGAAGTTTCAATATATTAGAAAAAGCATATATTAATTTGAGATTTTGAAAATTTCTGAAATTATGATATTTTTGGAAAAGAAGAAATGGTTATTTTCTTAAATTGTCCCTATATATAGCAGGGGGTACGAACTTGCCTATGTGTTTAAATGTGAGCCGTATGTTGCATCGACATCATGGGGCCAAATCAACATCATTGTCAAATAATTGCTACAGCCTTTTTTGAAGATTTGAGGTTTCATTCCTCTTCTTCCATATATATGTGTATTTCACCATAGGTTTATTTCATCTAGCTACTCTTTAAAAATATTTGACAAGACCATTAATTGGGTGTTTATAATAACATTAGGATTGTAACAATTCTAAGGAGTTGTGAATTATATATACCATCTTTTTGAACATTGCTTACTCAAATTAAAATTTTGTTTCTCAAATATTTTGGCAATAATATAAGGTAACCATGTATTATGTGTGTATTGACCAAAACATGTAATTTAATGGTTTATGATAATCTCGTCGTTGTGTATGTAGTCCAGTTTAAATCCGCGTTTTTCATATTATTAAAAGAAAGATCATAGATTTTTTTTATATTACTATTTAAATTGAAAACGATCAAATATAATTTCACATACAAAATAAAAAAATATTAATGTTGTAGTGATTATGAAAACAAATAATTATGAATTGAATTAATAAGAGTGTTTGTACATATGAGAAAAGAGTGTTTGTATTAATCTAAGTTCATGAAAAAAGGCAAAAGCAATCCTGTCGTATTGCTTGGATGAATTATGTGATTAAACATGTTGATGTGATATATCTAACGATGACGTATACAAGCTGGAGAATCCTAGGTGACTAGATCCGTATACTCCAGTTTCCAAAACTAGATTATTTTCATCTTTCCGTTTTTGAACTACTAGCTAGGTCATTATATTCGACTACGTAATTAAGTGAGTAAAACATTTTTTCATCTTATCTTTTCTAACTCTTTTTAAAAAACTTAATGAAATTTACTGGAAATATTTTTCTTATATTTTCGTAATTTAATGGTTCAAATTAATGGTAAGTATTTATTTAACAATTAATGTTTTTAAAATTCGACTGGACTGGAAGCATTCACATAAGCTATTAGATGATTGTTCAACTTGATTTGGTTGCGTTGGATCTGGTTCGATAGAATGTGTCTTGATTTCTTTCTTCTAATTCTATAAATTAATAAACATAATTATCCTAGATATTAATGATGTACAAGTAAATGATATACAAGTATTTAGATTTTTCGAGACATGTATAAACTTGCAATTTATATTGTAATTCGACATAGTATAACTATAAACGCAGGACTGCAATGATCGACAAAAAATAATTGTAACGCCTCCAGTCATTTATTTAAACTTACATTTAAAAAAAAAAAAAAAACTTACATTCACTACCACATAACATATCACTGCAAGTCTGCAAACTGAAAAAACTCACGCTATTGTTCGTGTACAGCGTCAGTCCTTCAGCATATTAGTATCTCTTTAGCCTTGATGAGTAAACGGTAGAACAACATTCCTCGACAAAAAAAAAAAGAAAAAAAAAAAAAAACGGTTTAACAACATACGCTCTCAATAATGATCCAAGTCTTGATATGAACAACGTTGATTCTCGTGTGATTCGTGAAGAAACAACACTTTCACATCGTTGCTCATAGCAAGTCAAATCAGTAGGCTTCACGGTTCAATTAGTGCCATCATTTATTGGTTATTAGAACTTGGGGGGGGGGGAAATAATCCCAAATAAAAAAACCACTAAGCTACAAAGCTATCTCTAGATGTCTAACGTAATCATCAGTTTGGAATTAAAGGGGTACGCAAGAACAAATTGGCGTGAAGATATTGTCCTCTGAATTGTTTCTCTTTACGGTAAAAAATGATTAAAAAGTGTAAAAAGAAGAAGGAACAAACAAAAGTTGAGAGAATCTAGAGATGAAGTTAGAAATGGTGGGCTGAGGCACACGTGCTAGGTTATGTCCGTACTATGGACATTGTACGTGAAGAATAAGAGCCCAATTCGTTTGGGCCTGTGGGTTTCAATTCTGCTTCTTGGACTTAGTCTTTAGTTTGACGTTTTCTTGTTTTGAATAAGTCTCCTCCTTTGTCGGAGTAAGACTCGGGTAGTTAGATCAGTGGCATAAGTTTCGTAGCTGCAGTTTCTTTTCTTGTAAGGTCTATTTAATGGCCATTTGATTTCAATGAAAGGCATGAGTTTTCAGTCTCTGTTTTTGCATTCTCTGTTTTGTTCTTGAGTGAGACTTGGTAAAAGCAACAAGTGGTATCAGAGCTTGTCACAAGCTTACTACAAGAGAGAAACACAATGAGTGAGAAAGAGTCTGCTATCATACCAAAATTCGATGGTGACTATGAGCATTGGGCAATGCTCATGGAGAATCTGATAAGGTCAAAGGAGTGGTGGGATGTAATCGAGACGGGAATCCCAAGGACGGAGAGAAACGTGATCCTCACCGGAGCGCAGAGGACAGAGCTGGCGGAGAAGACGGTGAAGGACCACAAAGTGAAGAACTATCTGTTTGCATCGATAGATAAGACAATCCTCAAGACGATCCTGCAGAAAGAGACGTCGAAGGACTTATGGGAGTCCATGAAGAGGAAGTATCAAGGTAATGATCGGGTACAAAGTGCACAGCTTCAGAGATTACGTAGGAGCTTCGAAGTTCTTGAGATGAAGGTGGGAGAGACAATCACGGGCTATTTCTCTAGAGTGATGGAAGTCACTAACGATATGCGAAATTTAGGAGAAGATATGCCGGATTCTAAGGTGGTGGAGAAGATTCTCAGAACATTGGTCGAGAAGTTCACGTACGTTGTATGTGCCATTGAAGAGTCCAACGACATCAAGGAGATGACAGTGGACGGGCTGCAAAGCTCTCTTATGGTACATGAGCAGAACCTAAGGAGGCACGATGTGGAAGAGAGGGTTCTGAAAGCTGAGACACAATGGAGACCGGATGGAGGAAGAGGTAGAGGAAGTCCAACCCGAGGAAGAGGAAGAGGAGGCTACCAAGGGAGAGGACGTGGCTATGTGAATAGAGACACGGTGGAGTGTTTCAAATGCCACAAGATGGGACATTACAAGGCAGAATGTCCAAGCTGGGAGAAAGAGGCGAATTATATGGAGATGGAGGAAGATCTACTTCTCATGGCACATGTAGAACAGATCAGTAAAGAGGAGAAACATGTCTGGTTTCTCGATTCTGGATGCAGCAACCACATGTGTGGTACGAAAGAGTGGTTCGTCGAGTTGGACTGTGGCTTTAAGCAGAATGTGAAGCTGGGAGATGATCGAAGAATGGCTGTAGAAGGAATCGGGAAACTGCGATTAGAAATTGATGGAAGGACTCAAGTGATCTCAGATGTGTATTACGTGCCGGGGTTGAAGAATAACCTCTTTAGTGTGGGTCAGCTGCAACAAAAAGGGTTAAGATTCATCATTGAGGGTGATGAGTGTGAGGTGTGGCACAAGCTGGAGAAGAAGATGGTAATGCATTCAACAATGACAAAGAATCGTATGTTTGTGATCTTTGCAGTCGTCAAAGAGGCTAGAGAGACTGGGGAACAGAGGTGTCTCCAAGTAAGCGAAAAAAAAACCAGACAACTTGTGGCACAAGAGATTTGGACATCTCAATTATCAAGGTTTGAGATCGTTAGCTGAAAAAGAAATGGTAAATGGTTTACCAAAGTTTTCTCATGGAGAAGAAGATGCAAATTGCGATATTTGCTTGAAGGGAAAACAGATCCGAGATTCAATTCCAAAGGAGAGTGCGTGGAAATCAACTCAAGTGCTGCAACTTGTTCACACGGACATATGTGGACCGATAAACCCTATATCTGTCAGCGGAAAAAGGTACATCCTCAATTTCATAGATGATTTTAGCCGGAAGTGTTGGACGTATCTGTTGTCGGAAAAATCAGAAACATTTCAGTTCTTTAAGGAGTTTAAAGCTGAAACTGAAAGAGAATCTGGGCAAAAGTTGGTCTGTTTGCGGTCAGATAGAGGAGGAGAATACAACTCAAGAGAGTTTGAAGAGTACTGCAAAGAATTTGGGATCAAAAGACAACTCACAGCAGCCTATACTCCCCAACAAAACGGAGTCGCAGAGAGAAAGAATCGGAGCGTGATGAACATGACACGGTGTATGTTGATGGAAAAGTCTGTACCAAGAAAATTCTGGCCCGAAGCTGTTCAGTATGCTGTATACATACTAAATAGGAGTCCATCGAAGGCCTTGAATGACATAACTCCAGAAGAGAAGTGGAGTAATTGGAAACCATCAGTTGAGCACCTGAGAATTTTTGGTAGTGTAGCTTACGCACTAGTTCCGTACCAGAAAAGAATCAAACTCGATGAGAGAAGCATCAAGTGTGTGGTGTTCGGTGTAAGCAAAGAGTCTAAAGCCTATCGTCTATATAACCCAGCAACAGAAAAAATCATAATCAGCCGGGATGTTCACTTTGATGAAAGCAAAGGCTGGGAATGGGAAGATAAATTGCTGGAACAAGAGCTCGTCTGTGATGATTCTGATCATGAACCTGTTAGTGAAAGGAATCCAGAAATCGATCACATCGAGCAACCAGAACAAGAGGAACCAGAAGAAGAAGAAACGGTGGAAGAAGTAGCTCATCAAATTCCTCAAGCAGTTGGAACAGGAGGTGGTAGACAGAGACAACAACCGGTTTGGATGAAAGATTATGTCATCGGAAACGCAAGGATACTCATAGCAGAAGAAGAAGAAGATGAGATGCTTGCGTTGTTTGTTGGACCAGATGATCCTGAATGCTTTGAAGACGCAGTGAAATTGGAAGTGTGGAAAAAAGCTATGGAAGCTGAGATAACATCCATAGAAGAGAACAACACATGGGAGTTAGTGGAATTACCTGAAGGAGCAAAGGTGATTGGGCTAAAGTGGATTTTCAAGACAAAGTTCAATGAGAAAGGAGAAATCGATAAGTTTAAGGCAAGACTAGTCGCAAAGGGCTATCATCAGAGATATGGAGTTGACTTCCATGAGGTATTTGCTCCAGTAGCTAAGTGGGATACAATCAGGATGATTCTCGCCTTAGCCGCAGAAAAGGAATGGGTGGTATTTCAACTTGATGTAAAAAGTGCCTTCTTACATGGAGACTTGGAGGAAGATGTATTTGTTGAGCAGCCTAAGGGATTCGAAGTAGAAGAAGAATCCAGCAAGGTGTTCAAACTGAAGAAGGCCTTATACGGACTGAAACAGGCTCCGAGAGCTTGGTATAGCCGTATAGAAGGTTACTTTGTTAGAGAAGGGTTTGAAAAATGCTACTGTGAACACACACTGTTCGTGAAGAAGGAGGGAAGTGACGTTTTGATAGTAAGTGTCTATGTGGATGATCTTATTTACACAGGAAGCTCGCTGGATATGATTGAGGGATTCAAAAATTCGATGATGGAGGAATTCTCAATGACTGATTTGGGAAGAATGAAATACTTCTTGGGAGTTGAAGTCATACAAGATGAAAGAGGTATTTTCATCAACCAAAAAAAATATGCTGCAGAAATCATTGAGAAGTATGGAATGGAGAGAAGTAACTCAGTCAAGAATCCAATTGTGCCTGGCCAGAAGTTGACAAAGGCGGGAGCGGGTGATCCGGTTGATCCAACCGAGTTCAAGCAGCTCATTGGAAGCTTGAGGTACCTAACGACCACACGACCAGATCTAATTTACTCTGTAAATCTGGTTAGCAGGTACATGGAAAGTCCAACTGAGCAGCACTTGCTTGCGGCAAAGAGAATTTTGAGATATGTTCAGGGGACGCAAGGTCTCGGGATTCAGTACAAACGTGGAGGTGCTACAGAGCTGATTGGGTTTGTTGATAGTGACTATGCCGGTGATGTTGATGACAGGAAAAGCACTTCTGGTTTTGTGTTCATGTTAGGAGGAGGAGCAATTGCTTGGGCATCTAAGAAACAACCAATCGTAACATTATCAACTACGGAGGCTGAGTTTGTATCAGCTGCGTTTGGTGCGTGTCAAGCGATCTGGCTCAGAAATGTTCTTGAGGAGATTGGTTGCAGACAAGAAGAAGGTACACTCGTGTTCTGTGACAACAGTTCCACCATAAAACTGTCAAAGAATCCTGTGCTGCACGGAAGGAGCAAGCACATCCATGTGAGGTACCATTTTCTCAGAGAACAGGTGAAAGAAGGAACCATTAGACTTGATTACTGTTCTACCAATGATCAAGTTGCAGACATAATGACCAAGGCTGTGAAACGAGAGGTGTTTGAAGAGCTCCGGGGAAGAATGGGAGTAAGTATCAGAGAAGAGTAAACTGAAAGGAAGAGAAGTGTTTCAGTTTACGGGAGGGAATGAAGAATAAGAGCCCAATTCGTTTGGGCCTGTGGGTTTCAATTCTGCTTCTTGGACTTAGTCTTTAGTTTGACGTTTTCTTGTTTTGAATAAGTCTCCTCCTTTGTCGGAGTAAGACTCGGGTAGTTAGATCAGTGGCATAAGTTTCGTAGCTGCAGTTTCTTTTCTTGTAAGGTCTATTTAATGGCCATTTGATTTCAATGAAAGGCATGAGTTTTCAGTCTCTGTTTTTGCATTCTCTGTTTTGTTCTTGAGTGAGACTTGGTAAAAGCAACAGTACGAACGAGACGAAAGTCGAATTTGTAACTTCTGATATTTATTAGTGCCTTCACCAAAGGCCAAGCTACTTTATATACACACCTATACACTTTCATTATTTGGTTCATAAAAGGTAAGAGACTAACTTGTTTTTATTCTTTTACGATATACATGAAAAAGAACCCCCAAAAAAACCAGTAAGCGATAACAAAATCTTAAGGGCATTGGATTTAGGATTGAAATTTAAAATTCTTCCAACTTTAACGCATTGACCAAGTTTTATTGTCCAGAACTCCAGATCTTATATTTAGATGGAAATGAATTGTATATGAATGGGTTTAATTTTTACTTTTTAGAGATCTTTTGTAAATGCCATTGGAAGACATTTTCTTTTTAATATAACAAATTGGAAAGAAGTTGCTAGTTAGGGTGCTATTTTATTCAATATATTTAATATTTCAATCAATTTTAGTGGATTTTAAAAAATCAAACATGTCGAACTATATAAATTAAGTGGATTTAAAAATAACAAAATTTACTCTCGGATTTAAATTTTTGTATATAGTGTAACTTTTAAAAGACTTATAAATTTGTTAAAGTCCACTAAATATTATGAAATAAACAACACCAAATTTTTACTAATATTTCAAAATTATTAAACAAATAACGCATGATTTAGAAAAAGTTTATGAAATAAACAACACCAAATTTTTACTAGTATTTCAAAATTATTAAACAAATAACGAATATTTTAGACAAAAAAAACTTTGTAATTATAGAATTCAATACCACGTGATTGACCAATAAACCCCTAGCTATCTATTGGACTAGTTCGCTGATGGTAGCCCAATGGGTGTTGAAGTGGCCCAAAGAAAACGCGCCGGTCTTAATATATGGAGACCTAATTAATATATGTCACTATATATTTATTCTTGGCGATAACCTAATAGTCTAATACTGTATTCTGCTCGCAAGTTGTGCGTAACTTGGAGAAATGGGTAAACAATTTGCTGTTAATAATCTTCTTCTACAGTTATTGTAATGAATGATTCGTTATTTTGTTCAATATGTTTCTGTGATGAGTAGGTGCGTACAAGTATGTCTCGGAGCTATGGAGGAAGAAGCAGTCGGATGTGATGAGGCACCTGCAGCGCGTAAGGTGCTGGGATTACAGACAACAACCTTCGATTGTTCGTTTGACTCGACCCACTCGTCCAGACAAAGCTCGCCGTTTGGGGTTCAAGGCGAAGCAGGTGACTTGTTGGGACTTGTTTGATTGTTTCCCTCAACTTTCAAGTTTTTGGTTCGGGTTTAGGGTTTAACGTAACTGGTTTTTGGTTCTTACATGATCTTGTTTTGCTCTGTTATGTCAGGGATATGTGGTGTACAGAGTGCGAGTGAGACGAGGTGGAAGGAAGAGACCAGTTCCTAAGGGTATTGTGTATGGTAAGCCAACGAACCAAGGAGTGACACAACTCAAGTTCCAACGAAGCAAGAGGTCTGTTGCGGAGGAGCGAGCTGGGAGGAAGCTTAGTGGTTTGAGAGTTGTCAACTCCTACTGGATCAACGAGGATTCTACTTACAAGTACTACGAGATCATTCTTGTGGATCCGGCTCATAACGCAGTGCGTAATGACCCGAGAATCAACTGGATTTGTAACCCTGTTCACAAGCACCGTGAGCTCAGAGGTCTCACATCAGAAGGAAAGAAGAACAGAGGTTTGCGAGGAAAGGGTCATAACAACCACAAGAATCGACCATCACGTAGAGCTACTTGGAAGAAAAACAACACTCTCTCCCTTCTTCGTTACCGTTGATTCTCTTGTTCCATTTTTTAAATAAGTAACTTAAGCTACTTCTCTTTGATCAGTTCGAAAGGTGCTTTCATTTCTAATCTTAAAATGACTAATCGTAGAGAATATGGAGTATAACTTTTCATCAAACTGAGAGTATTATATATGAAGCACTCTCATAAGTCTCGTAGGCAAGTTATTAATCCAAGTGAACAGAGAGAAACAGAGTGTATTTGCTCAATTGTTTGTGTTAATTTTTATGCTATAAATCTTCATTTCTTTGTTAAGAAATTATGCTACCGAAATTGATACTCTTACTAGGTTAAAGAAATAAGGTTAGGGTGAGTTGATATAAAATGTAATGTGAATGAAACAATAATAATCCTTTATATACATAAACAATGTGCAAATAAAGACTGCCTAATACAATTTGCTGAAGCCTGAAGTGGTCCCTGTATCTCCCAATCGCGGAAACAACACCTCTTTCTCAATCAAAACCTGGAGGTGCGAGGTAATCTTGCGGAATGAAACCCACACAAAAGGTGCGCAACAAAATGCATATGCGAAAACCGACAAGGCTCTGACCACTCCATCAGGGTACCAAGGGAAGGCCATGACGAGAAGCGTACCAAGAATGCCGAGCCATGGAGTGAGAACAGGGAGCGTTGGGAGGAGGAGAGTGTTGATTGAAATGGAGGAGAGAGCGAAAGAAGCCATCAAGTAGAGTGACCAGCCGATAAGTGGGTGGATGGTGTGAGGGATGGTGAAGAATGGGAAGATGTAGGCTGCAACTACAAAGAGAAGCGCCATCGACTTAAAACCTGCTTGGATCGCTGTTAAGTTGCGGTCAGAGCGGCGATAGCAAAGCTTGGTTATGTTAGGGCGAGCTAGTCGTGTGACCAGTATGATTCCAAGGTAGAACACTGCTTGGATTATGACCAAAGGCATTTCTGCTGAGTACCTGTTGCAAGATTCACACAAAATATCATATTATTAGCCATTATACAGAGCTTGATAGGGAGTCATCATCATTTAAAATTTAAGCTTACCCTATAGTGGTGCGGCGCTGCTCGTGCCATGAGATACCTAGTGGAAGAACAGGCCATGACCACCAGTACCATGGCTTTAACCAAACAGCTCCTGGGAATGTAATCACACTATTTGGTCCACAGGGTATGTTCCATCTTAGCTTAAGATCTGAGAGTAGAAGTTAATACATTAGCCAACATTAATGTGTATTAATCATTATAGACAAGATCTTGAGAGAAAAATTAAGAGACTTACAGAAATAAGAAGCGTCCATTTGGTATCCCAAGGGAAGTCTCAAGTGGCCACCAAGCACAGATCCATTACTCGGAGGACGAAAGAGAGGTTGGTCTAGAAGATCAGAGAAGTAACTGACAAGAAAGCCTTGATCAGCTCCATCAGGATTCTTTCTTCCAACTTGTAGCTCATGGAGCATGTCCTTGAACACCTCCACTGATGGCTGCAACACGAAGAGGCCAGTGTGGAAGATGCAAGGGTTGATGAAGACCGCACAGAAGCGCCCGCACTGGAATAGCTCGTCGGTTTTCTTAAGGAAGAGGTTATCGGCATCTAGCATGACCACACGGTCGTAATCAGACAAAGCCCAAGCGTAGAGCTTGTTCAGAGTAAGCTTGAATCTACTGTTGAAGTTGGTCTGTCTTCTGTACGGATTATCCACATTTTCAACTCTCACCACTTTGGCTCCATCTTCCTCTTCCCTGCTCACACACATCCTCGTTAGTATCCCACACACAGAAACATCATACCAACAAACTAGTTTATGCATGCATGTTTCTTTAGAATAAATATATTCTTATGTACCGTTTTAAAAAAAAAATACACTTGTATATTTGTTTATGCATGTCAAATGTTGCTTATAGTTATAGTTATTATAGGTTTATTTTTATTGTCAAGGGACACAAAACTATTACTATAGGTTATGAGGTTGAGATGTAGACGTTATCGCATGATCTCTCGTAAATTAATTAATTTGACCAAAACAACTCTTTCTTGTTTCCAAAAGGTTTCAATCAAAGCGCTAAAGTCAAACAACTCTCCTTAAGTTAATATGCTTTCAATTCAATGTAATAGTAAGAATTTATTGTTATGGATCTCTTTTAATTCCCATACAACTTTCCGGTGAATTGTTGACTATGGCTTTAACTTATAAAAAAATCCTATGGTTAATTTCTAAATTTTGAAAAATCGATTGTTTTGGTGGTTAATACCATTCGGACCACTTAGCTTAGCCAAAACTGTCTATAGACTGTCAAATGATTAATTGACCTACATGTGTATTACATATGTTTACAAAGATTGTTTTTTAACTTTTTTTTTAACTTATTAAAATACTAAACAAATAAAAACTTCATATGAAAAAAAAAACAAAAGAAGTTTTTCAAAACTAGATGACACCTAACGAGTCTTTGAGCATTGATTTTTTTAAACAAAGATATTTCTATACAGATAGGCGCGTTGTCATACAAATGGAGTTTTATATGCGTGGGTCTAAAGTGTCAACCATAAATTATAAATACTCAAACATTTGATTCTCTCCAACTTTTACTTACACAAAAATAGTAAGGACAAAAAAATGAACAATGAATGTTTAAATATTCCATTTGAATTCGTGAAGCCAATCAAGAGAAAGAAAAAGATAGAATAAAAACCTGCTAAACTTATATCTTGGGTCTCGATATATTCTATGAATAAGGTGGTCGTTGTCTCATTGGAACAATTTTCTAACCTTACTTCAATTTTCTTAAGGAAAAATAGTAAATCAAGAGTCCAACCAGGGAAGGACGTAGAGGAAAGGGAAGGTGCATCTGCCACCTATAACTTCCTAAAATATTTGTTTCTATAAACTAAACTGCAAAAATATATTTGTTTTCATAGGTTCATTCACTTTATAAGAAAAAAGAAATTCAAGAATACAAGGACCAATGCTTATCTTTATTTTATTTTATTTCCCTTTGCGTAAAGAGTTGAGTAATGTTGATATAAAAAAAAACTCCCATTTGAATTTTTTTAAAAAAATCCTGCTGTTTCACGCACGATGCCATTATAGTGAAAATTTTGAATGTTTTTATGATAAAATCAAAAACTATAAAATTTAATAGAAATGGTATATTCCAGCGTAATTAATAGTTTGGTGGTCAAGTTCCCAAAACGACAGCGTTTTTTAATGGTCGGAAGAGAGACTTACAAGGTTCGAACCCATCGGAGAGGAACGTCGAGAGAAGCGATGACGACAAGATCAGCTTCCACGTGGAGACTTCTCAACGATCTGATTAAAACACGAGTCGCAACGTAGAACTCGTAGTCTCTTGGCGTCCCCATGTACATCATCGTTGCGTAAGCGTTCTTATGCTCCGGCCGCCGAGTCTTTAAACCGCGATCTTGAACCGTCACCACCGCGTTTGCGGTATCTATCGCCGTTACTTGCGGTTGCAGCAGCAGCTGTCTCTCTCGATACGCCGTCGTTTCGATTATCATAAAAGATAGAACCAAAGACAAGAACACAAAGCCTCTCTGCAAATCCATTCTTGATTTCTCTGTACAATGTCCGAATTGCTAAAACAAATTAAATTAAAGAATTTATCAAGAATCTGAGTTTTTTTTTTAGGGAATGTGTAAACGCATACGCGTATATATATACAGAGAATGTATCAAAGAGAGAGGGAGGTTTCTGGGAGACTGTGAAAGGTTAAAAAGGTATAATGGTGATTGGCCAATTAGAACACTATTATAATCATATTTTTATTTTAAAAATAATAAGAAAACAAAAAGGTTGAGCATAATATATTCCTAGGTTGCTCTTATTTACCTAAAATAAGTTAGTTGTTGATGGCTGAAAATTATAAATTTCTGTACTTTCCATTTTCTGATGCAAGTCTGTCATATTGATCGAATTCTACATTCGTATTTGTTTCCAAAAGAATTTTTTTGAAATCTTTAATTGTAATTGGAAATTTTGAAATATAAGATTTTGATTCCAGATTTTTAAGGGTTTAAAAGAGAAACTCGCAGAAATCTTTTTTAGTCACATTGACTAAGAAGAGCTTTGTAACGCTGTTAGTTTGTAACGCACAAGAAGATGATGAATTAAGGTTTAGTGGTTTACTTAGTTTTTTTTAAACAAATAAATAATTAAAAGGTGAGTTATGGAAGTAACCGTATTTTTTATTTTATGTATTTGTTGGCAGCTAGTATTACGGAAATGGTCAATTTAGGACCATGTGACTGAGCCGTTGTCCTCTTTGGCAAGTGGTCAGTGGTGTCTGGTGTTCAATCTCATTGTAGTTCATTATTTTCATATTTCCACTACATATACTAATCTCCACTAAAATTCAAAGTCAATTCTGTCAAGAAACTAACATATTGTGTGTGAAAAAAGTAAAATATATTGGTCGATTAGTTGAGTAAAAATGTAAAAGACTGGTATTTAGAGGAATTGAAATATGAATTAGTAATTTAATAATTAGAGTAATTAAGGGGAACTTTTTCCAGTATCTTTTTAAATGGAAATATTTCCAACAAAAGTGAAGGGATAATCCGAAAATAAGGAAGATTTTTCAAAATTCTACTATTATATATAGTATATTTATTTTTAGATTGGACCAAGATTAGTGAGAGAATACAATTCTCTTAATCATTTTTTTCCTCTACAAATGTTTTGAGTCACATTCACGAGACTGTACGGTAAGCACCTAGATTAGTCAGAGGAGAGAGGATGAAGTAATAGAGTGGAAAAATATATAAACAAATGATCTTACTTTTGATTCACAATTTACTTAGCAAAATACAAAGTACAATGCATAATAGTATAATTTTAATGGAAAGATAGTTTTCAATCACTAGAATTATACCCAACCACATTAACTGCTATCGTTATTCTAAATTTCTAATAGTCGTCTTTGTCACGTTTGGTTTTGGACCACTTATTTTGAGGTTACCATGAAAATCCATTCTATGTTTTAGCCTTCTCCACTACAGCAACTCATTGACCATTGACCACTAGAAATCACAGGCTGCGACTGATAAACTACTTCAAAGTAAAATCTATATGTTAATTGGCAAAAGAAAAAAGTAAATATATATGTATTTTTTTCCTTTGCATTTTTCTTAGAACCCCAAAATTCTAAACACGGCCCCTCCGACTCAAATAGTCAAATAAATTCGAAACCATGCTCTAAAAACAATCGTACAATACTTCCAATTGTGGATATCTAACGTTAATATATATGGATATTATTTGTATTGTATAACATAGCAAGATTACGTGTTGTATCATTTCACTATGCACTAGGCTGTATTATATTTCCGTCTCATTTTTTAAAAAGTTTTAGCTAAAATTCCAAAGATTAAGAGATAATAGTTTTTTTTAATACAAATTCAACCAACAGAAAATATACTGCATAATTTAAATAGTTATACACTACTAGCTTAATATAAATTATACATAGAAACTAGAATACATATAATAAAATGGAACAAAAAATTTAAAAATATTTTATATATTGGAACAGCAAAAAACAATTCTTTTAGAGTTAGGATATTGGCGGAAAATTACAAAAAAATTGGGGGAAAGAGGAAGGAAAGGGTAGAGTAACGTTGACTGATTAAACAAGACACGACTCCACTTGTCTTGTGTTGAAACCGCGTCGGTCCAAATTCTCTGAAGTTGTCTTTGAGATGCCTACGGATCCAAGCGTCTCCTTTTTCTGTTGACTTCTACTTTTTTACATTTTGGTGTTCTTGTTTTTAAACCATGTTGACATAATCTTTTATTCCTTCCGTTTTCAAATAGTTGTCGTTTTAACTATATGCACACAAATTAAGAAACTATTAATGTTGTTAGTTTTTCAATATAAAAATATTATTAATTATCTAGCTAAACATAATTTAACCAATAGTAAATCAAGTTGTATAATAAAAATAAATATAAAAAATAAAAAAGTAATAAATTTTGCATCGAAAACTGAAAACGACAACTAATTAAAAACAAAAAAATTTCTCTAAAACGACAACTATTCGAAAACGGAGGGAGTATTAATTATCGAAAGGTTGCTACAATGAGTTTATGAGCCAAATCTTGCGATGACGAAAAACAGGATTACCTACGGTTTCAAGTCTTTGATAAACACAGATTAGTCAAAATCTTCATATGACAAAAGTTAACTTTTTAAAAATTTAACTGCAAACTTGAGTACCTTTTTTCAAGTATCCATAATACATTAGGCTAGAAAATTACTTAATTGGTGGTGTCGTATCTCACATCTTAATTCAGTCCAAACAAAACCCATTCTTATCAAACTGACAGTTTAAGTTATTAAAATCCGAGTTCGGTCCAACAGTTAAGATCTTATTATACAAACTAATTTCCAAAGTCCCAAGAAAACCTAATAAGTTCGACAAAACGCTTGAAATCCTTGAAAAAAATGTGATCCCATTTTCCGAGATTGTTGGATTTGTCATTAGACATGAGAAGAAAACATAAGCTGGCGAATACCTTGTAAGATCGTTATGCTTGTTTCTGGAAATGGCGTAGCTCGTGTATAGGCCGAGGTCCTATTAAGCAAAGGAGATGTTTCAAGTGGGCCGGGGTTTGGTTTTATCACAAAAAGAGAGAGAGAGAGAGGAATTTGGTCTTAACATTTAGTTATTGAGTTCATCAATTGGATTATTAATTAGAGTCATTTCACACACATCTTGGTTGTGTTACTTAGAAAATTTTCTTTAAGGGAATCTCGTATCCACAATAACCACGAATTCAAGGAAAACAATGGTTAATTGGTTTTGATTTGTACCTCGTCTCAAACCAAAAGAGAAGGAAAAGCTGATCAATTACATGTGTGACCAACTAACTAGAGTAAGGTTTGATTAGATATATCTAGAAGCTTCTTCATTCTTGTGTCGGAATAAAACTTTTCTTAATCTGTCTTGTTAATCTCTTCAGTAATCCATTGTTTTGTGGGTCAAGATTATGGACATATAAGGCCCATTATCATATCAACATTGGGGGAAAATTAATCAATTTATAAAATAAGATGTCAAAAGTAGAATTTACGAAGATATTGAGGACGAAAAAAGGGAAAGAAGAATGGACTTGGGAATCAAGCAAGGGTCAAAGCGTCAAAGCGAGCTAAAGCCGAGAGCAGCGGTGTCAAAACCTCATCCGCCGCAAAACCCCTAAAACCCTCCGGCGCCGGGAATTATCTCTTTCTTATATCCCTTTCCTTTCACTGTCTCTATCGAGATTCAATCACCGAACCGATTGAATCTTACGCAATGATGGGCGAAGAAGCAGCTCCGACGGGACCTCCCAACAGAGAACTCTACGCGCTTCTGAATTTGTCACCGGAAGCCTCCGACGAAGAAATCAGAAAAGCTTATCGTCAATGGGCTCAAGTTTATCACCCTGATAAGATCCAATCTCCTCAGGTTTGCTCCAATCGAATCAATTCGTTTCTGTTCTTCGTGATATCAAATTTGGATACTTTACATAAAGGAAGTAACTTTATTTAGTGGGCTGATTTCGAATTTGTGTGGTTAGATGAAGGAAGTGGCTACGGAGAACTTCCAACGAATATGTGAAGCATATGAGATACTGTCGGATGAGACTAAGAGGCTAATATATGACTTATATGGCATGGAAGGCTTGACTTCAGGATTAGAGCTTGGTCCTAGGTTGAGTAAGCCCGATGAGATCAAAGAGGAGCTTGAAAGGATTAAGAGGAGAAATGAAGAAGCTAAGAAGATGGCACATTTTCAACCCACTGGTTCTATTCTCTTCAATTTGTCTGTCCCAGATTTTTTAGGTGGTGATGGCATCATGAGAGGGTACTTCTTTTGTTCTTTTTTTCATGTTTTGATGTCTTTTTGGTAGGATGGGTTTTGATTTGGGTTCCTAATTTGACCTTGGAGACACTTACTAGTCTTGGACATTTTAGATAGTAAATGGTTACTGAGAAAAGATTTGGTCTTGTTTCTGTTTTATTCTTATGTAGTTGTGTGTATTCATTACTTTGTGTGAGAATTTTGGTTGCTCAACACTAGCCTTGACTACTTTGTTTCATTTGAAGTAGTTTTTGTTTTTTGATGCCTTTTCTTTTCTTTTCTTTTGTGCTTGTATCTGCAACTGTCAGAATGGTTATGGCTAGTCAAGTGCAGTCTCAGTTGTCAAAAGATGATGCAATTGCCATTGGTGGAAATTTGGCTGCCAATGAAAAGTCTGGTGGTGGAATTGCTACTGCCATTCTGAGACGACAGATTTCTCCAGTGTCATCCATAGAGTTTGTCGCTTCAACGGGGTTGCAGTCGCTTATTGGAATGCAGACAACACGGTAGGCTCATGAGATTTCCAGTTTTTTTCCCTGGGCATCTTTTACGGTGTCGGTTTATATCGACTCTTATGGGTTTCTTGTTGGGGCAGTCAGTTAACCATACATTCAACAGCCACAATCAATATTTCGAAGTCTTTGAGTGATGGTTCCATCAATCTTACCAACACGTGGACTCGACAGCTTTCAGAAACTTCAAGCGGAAATGTATGTTCTCTCTGTTGTTTTGATTCAACCTTCTAAGATGGCTAGATAGCAGTTTTCTCGATTATGAAATAGTTCATTTCATCTAGATTGAACTGGCACTGGGTATGCGATCAGCAATTACAGTTGGATGGAAAAAGAGAGACGAGAATGTATCTGCTGCTGGTGAATTTAAGGTACGCTGACTACCAAATTGCATTCCGACTGTTCCACCTCGACCATCTCTCTTACTTTCTCTAGCTAAAATCTTGCTATTACTAGATTGAATCTGGTGCACTCGGAGCATCAGCTCGTTATACTCGTAAACTTTCATCCAAATCTCACGGTCGTATTGTAGGTAGAATCGGAAGGTATGTTTTATTGACAATCCTGAGCAACCATTTTTGTGTGAGAGGATAGAAATCATTTTTTAAGTTGTCTTTACATGTGTGGGCAATTATTGTTCTCATTTTACTTTGGATATATTTTTTTAACTTATTCAGCAATGCTCTTGAGATTGAGGTCGGTGGTGGAAGGAAGATTTCTGAGTTCAGTACCGTAAGAATGATGTATACAATTGGAATCAAGGTAAACTATTCTTTAAAACTTTTAGAGCCTTCTTATTCTTAGCTATTATGCAATCTGCTTATTTCCGGTACTCTTATACTTTTGTTGTAGGGTATTTTTTGGAAACTAGAGTTACACCGTGGTAGCCAAAAGCTGATTGTTCCCGTGAGTGTTAATTTCTTCCTTTCTTTTCTTGTGGTGTCATCTCTGCTGTTCTTTGGATAAGAACAGGACAGATTGTGTTTTAATCTCTGGAGTAGAATATATTAAAAAACGTGCAGATTATGGACAAAAGCCTACATCCGTGTTACTCTGAGGAAGTCTTTCACTTTTGACACCTTCATGATGATTATCTTTAAAACGTGCAGATTCTGCTCTCCTCACATTTAGCTCCAGCATTTGCAACTGGAGCATTCATTGTTCCAACATCTCTTTACTTTTTGTTAAAGGTGAGTGATTGGACCCGCTAAATATTATCTACTGTTGCTCTATTGTTATAAGCTGATTGCCTGATTAAACATTTTCACTGTTCCACGTAGAAATTTGTGGTGAAGCCATATTTGCTTAAAAGAGAAAAACAAAAGGCCTTGGAGAATATGGAGAAAACTTGGGGCCAGGTGATGGTTACTTACGAGTTTTGTAACCAAGCTAGATTCCTTGTGATTTTATGGTATACGATCTTATTATGAATATTTGTTTAAATTGTGGGTTTTAGGTTGGGGAAGCAAGGGCAAAGGCTGAGAAAGCCCAACAATTGCTACAAACCGTAGCCACTAGGAAGAGAAACCGGCAAGTTGAAACAGATGGGCTCATAGTAACGAAAGCGTTGTATGGTGACCCAAAAGCGATAGAGAGAAGAGACGAAGGAGTGGAAGGAGTGGATTCGGGAGTCATTGACGTGACAGTGCCGATGAACTTCCTTGTGAGTGACTCAGGGCAGCTCAAGCTCCATGAGGGAGTGAAGAAATCTGGGATCATGGGCTTTTGCGATCCCTGTCCCGGCCAACCCAAACAGTTATACATTGCCTATACATACCATTCTCAAACGTTTGAGGTAACAGTTGGTGACTATGAAGAGCTGAGTATACCACAAGAAGGCCAGTGAGAGTATGAAAACGGTACTCTCCACTTAGTTGTTTTTTATTTATACGAACAAATGGCTTCTTTTGGGCATTTGTAACACTTACCTAGCCTCAACTTTTACATTCATTTCTTTCTCAATAAATTAAGCATTCTTGTTTGCCATAAATTTTGGGTAATCGTGTGGTTATTAGATATCGATTTTGGTTTTGTTCAATTATATATGAAGTTTTTCATCTATTATGCATCTCACCATCCATTTAGTCAGAACATATCGTATTTATTGAAAAAAAAAAACAAGAATAAATGCAACACAATAATTTTAAAGAAAAGACAATTTAATGATATCTACCACAGAAAATCACTCTGGATATAAATTACTTTGTACAACTATTAACTAGGGTAATGCGTTTTGTTCTTCTAAGTGAGATTCGAATTTTATAATGTACATGGACGTAAACAAAGAGAGAAAATGGAGCGAAGGAAGAGATTTAGAGGTCGCAAAAGGCGTTTGGCGTTTTGACAAGGAGTTTGGGAGACAACGTCCTTGACTTGTTGTTGATGAGAAGAAACCAAACGTGGCCTAAAGTCACCTCGTGCCATGACCAGCTTCTTCTTCAAATCAACCACGTACTCTTCGATTCCTGCCAAATCTTTTTTCTTTGGTCAAATACATACGTAATTATTTTTCTCTACCTCTCTGATTTTTTAAATCAATGAATTTGATTCTTGAAAATCAATGATGACAGATAGGATTAAACAAAAAGATCGTGGATGGTTCTTACTTCTTAAGAGCGAATAAGGAAGATGGTAAACGGTTGGTAGCAGCCACGAAATTAGAATTAAGCATAATTAATTTAAGTAGCAAGTTGCTTAAAAAATAAATTACTTGTGGGTTTAATCAAATAATCATTGTTTAGTTTAATAAAACATAAAACATCTTTGGTGATAACGTAGAGAGCTCACCGGTCATCTTGGAGACAATCTTGGAGACTCTGTCTTGACAACAAACACATCCCACATCTGCGTTTATCTCTATCACTTGAAACTGATTTTGGTCTCCCAAGTTAATACTTCGCTCAACATATAAACTTCATCAAATTCTATATAAATGTTGTTTTAGTACTTTACACTCCAATTAAAAAAAAAAAAATTGATGATCGAACAACAACGATGGTTTCACTCAACACAACTTACAGAGACTCACGGAACCAAATATTTTCCTTTATTATCTTTCAAATTAGAACGAAAAGAAAACAAAAGAACTTCGAAAATGGAAAAGGAGAGAAGAATTGAAAGATACATAAGTATGGATGTATAACGTACCGATGGAAGTGAGAGTTGCTCGCAGATCATGAGTGTGCGCCGCCGCATCATTGGCTCCTTCATTGCCGTGTGACGACGGCAGAGCCAAGCCGGCGGGTTTGCTATAAATGTATGTATAAATATTGTTTATGTATCTAGAGAGGTTAGTTTATTTTAAATTTTTGGGTTTAGGGAGGCTTTGACAAATTATAGGGAATGTATGTTTTGTATGTATGCGGAAAGAGATTCAATTTGTTTATTGAGAAGTCCCATCTTTACACGTTTCACCCACAATCTCTATATAACATGCATTAAACTAATTTGCTTACATCGCAGAGCATTAAACTAGCAAGTAGGATTAATAACAATTTGCTTACATAACAAACATTCACATCGCGGTAAGTTTACTATAATTTTAAATAATTTACGAAAGAAAATTGAAATACAGAAGAATGTTGACAAAAAAACAATTACAATTTACAAACATGAAACATTCACATCGAGGTAAAGCGACTTTGTTTTAAAATTTAATATAATTAACGGAAGAAAATTGAGGTTAAAAAAAAAGGATAAAAAAAGAAAAGAAAGAAAGACGCCAATGAAGAGATGGACTGAGTCAAATGACGCATATTATTTTGGAACTTTAGAATATAATCGAGTTAAAGGATAATAATATTAATTGGTTAAGAAAAGAGAGAAGGTCAAAAACATGTTGAAGCCACCATTGAACTGACCATGCGTGTTGCATTTGATCCTTTACTCTTTGCCTTTTTTGGTATACCATTACTTCACACTATCATCCATTGATCTATGAATGTCAAACCTCCAGATCTTACAAATGTATAATGAGAGTTTGTAATGAACAAAGCAAGTGTGGAGGTACAAAGGTCTATAGAAGAAATTTGGGAGTTTAGCAAAGTGTTACTACTCTGATCCAATGAGGCCACGGGAAATCGTTATCTAGAACCAGACTTCGAAATCAAAATCCGCAGAATTTCTGAACAAAATTTCTCCTCTAATTCACCATGACCACAGGAAATCGTTATCTATAACCAGACTTTGAAATCAAAAGCCATGAATCTCTGAGCAAAAGAAGAAGAAGAAGAAAAGAGTAGGGTCTTCAAATACCAATAAGGCAACAAGATGTTGGCTGCGTTATGGTTATTATTACATCTTGACAAAAGAAAAAAAAAAAGAGTATACACAGTGCTGTGTTTAGTGTGTCTAGTATCAGTAATCATACAAGAATGCAAGCAAAACCAGCAGCCACCACTAATGACTTCCATGGATAAAAACATTGTCAATTAATCTAACTTGCTAGTGAAATCAAATCTCTGCAACAAATGGCAGAACCAATACTTGCTAATATGTTGAGAAAGTCCTGCAACACCACCACCTCCATTGCTCTTTCTCCATCACCTTCACATTTAAAACCTTGAATACATTAACAATGACACAATGAAATTGATTAGGTTACAGATACACAACATTGTTAGACCAAGCCCTTAATCTTGAGTCTACAACGAGATTCATAAATTAAGTTTCTGATCTCACTTTAATTCAAAGTGAATCAATAAGAAACCATCAAATCTCAAACTTTCAATAAGCAAAAGGATGATCACGACTCATATTTCTTCGATTCCCAAAACCAAAAAGACAAGAGAAACCCTAACAAGTCCAAAAATTAGAAGAAAAACGAAAGAAATAGAGAGAGAGAGATTGTGTGTGTACGGGAAATCATTGGGGATCGTCTTTTTTGGGCTTGCGATAGTTCTCTTCGACATGCTTGGCGACGACGAGACCGGTGTTGGTGAGCTTACGAATATTGGGAACGTTGTAGTTCTGGGCCAAGTATACCCCAAAAGCTGATCCCGCCATGAAAGAGAAGCAGCTCCTGATTATTCCCATCCTCGATCTCTTTCTCTGCAACTCCTCCTCCGCAAGTTTCAGGTCAACAACAAGAAAGACGAATTCGCAGGGTTTAGTTTATTTGGGAAGTTGTTGTACGACGCCGTTTTAATACCCTTGATTGGGCTTATAAATAGATAAAAATAACTAATGAGGCCCTTTTATTATTATAATAAATTGCATTTTTAGCTTCTTCTCAGATTTCAGATTTCAGAACTACCTCCAAACGTCGAAAATGGCGGACACTAATTTTTTTTTTTTTGTGAAGATTCTCTTGATCAATTTATGGCTGTCGACACTGATGCTGCCATAAATCTGGGCAGGTCTCTCTCTCTTTCTCTCCCCCTTATGTTTGATCTAATGACAGTCATAGCTTTGTTTAGCTCCTTTGATTTTTGTTTTGGCTATCAATTTAATTAAGCAATCCAATGTTGCTCGCAGAATCCTTATTGTGTGTGTTACTACTTGAATGAAAAAACAAATGAAAGGTTACCACTTTATACTTTCTATCACTCCTATATATCTCTATCAACTTTAACTTTTCTCTTACTGATTCATCTAGGCAAGCATAGAAGAAGATCCGTTAATCTGTGTTTATGTCATCAAGATTCCACAGACTTGAGTTCTGCTCTTCTGTACAACTCTTAAGCTGCAAAATATGCCAACTTGCAACCACTTTGCTTTCAAAAGAGGTAAATATGCCTCCTTTGTATCACTAGGCTCTATCCCTTGTGAGGAATTGAACAGAAGGGTACTAAACGAGATAACGTTAACATTATACAGAGATAACAGACAGCTTGATACGTTTTCTTCCTTCATTGCTAAAGCATTATCTCACTATTTTGCCTAGTTTTGATATAAGGATATTTTTTTTTTTATTCTTGTTAAAAAAAAACATACTCTTTTAAATTACATAATACAAAAAGGAATGGATGGAGTTCGTTAGTGTTACTATGATATAGCTTGTGAAAAAAGTGAGGTTAATAATATGATCTATGTATAAGTTGGGGTTTGTGGCAACTGCCGGATTTTTCAACTATATATAATGTGGGTCTGTCTCTAATTATATATCATTCTGAGTCTCAGCTGTAATGAGCAAGAGTAAAAGAATATGGAATGGCCAACTAAGAAAATTTGTGTGTGTTATGTTGTTGTTTGGCTTTGCAGCCGTACGTACTGCTAAGGCGTTAACACTTGATTTTCCCTGGTCGTCGGCCGCAGCAAACTAGGCCTAAACCCTCCTTCTAACAACTTCTCCACTTCCTCAAACTGAAGCCCTTTGGTCTCAGGCACAAGTAGCCAGATGAAGAACAGCCCGATTGCTGAGGACCCTGCAAATAGAAGGAAAGTTCCTGATGACCCGACCGCGTGCGTCAGTGTCAGGAACGTCTCACTCACGACGAGATTCGACATCCAGTTTGAGACTGCAGCGATTCCTCCCGCAAGCCCTCTGTAGCGAAGAGGATAGATCTCTGAGTTGACAATCCATGGAACTGTGCCCATACCGGGCGCGTACACAATGATGTAAAGGCCGAGGAAGACGATGGCCAGGTACCCGAACTTGCTGGGGCATCCGTCTTTGAAGAAGGTTCGACCTTTAGAGTGGCACAATGCCTTCATATCAGCAGACTGAACAACGCAGGCTCCAGGTGCGTACTGTGAGAAAACATATAACCCCAACATGAGTCTTAAACTCTTTATTCATCTAGCGAGTACTGTTTTTGTGTGTGTTTTGAGTAAAGAGACTTTATTACCTCATATGCTCCGTTGGCGCAGAATCCGCAATCGTATCTAAGACACTTCATACAGTTCCAGTTGGAGGGAGGAGCACGGAAGGCTGTGAATGGGGCAAATGCGGGACAAGTAGCATTTCGAGCAAAATTTCTGGAGTCTCTCTTATCGATCTTGGGAGCGTTGTTTGAGGCTTCATTGAAGACGGCAGCCAACATGACAAGACAAGATATGATCCCGAACATGGAAACGATCATAAGCTTGCGCCGACCATAACGGTCTACAAACATCATGCTTACTACCGACCCCACTGCATTGAGACCGGAGGTTATGAGAGCAAGAGCCATGGCTGTCTTGTTGGATGCAAAACCTGCAAACTGCAGAATAGTGGGACTGTAGTACATGACTGTGTTGATTCCCACAAACTGCTGGGCGACCTGGACAGTGATACCAGCGGCCAGGCCGTGGCGGACAACTGGATTTGAGAGAGCGCCTCTGAGTTTATCGGAGAAGGTATGGCCAATAATATCCTCGTCGGCCGTCTCTGCCAGGACAGACTCCTTGAGTGCAGCTATCTCCGCTTCAACCATCTCTGCCGGGTATATTCTCTCGAGGATGTCTCTTGACTCGGCTTTCCTATCATTTCTGTAGAGCCACCGCGGAGACTCTGGTAGTGTTAGCATGAGACAGAACTGAATGATTGCTGGAATCGCCGAGACTCCTAACATCCACCTCCATGTACCCGGTGTCTGTGTGAGTGATCAGCAAGTTAGAGACTTTTCAAATCTTAAAAAAAAAAAAAAAACATTTTGTCAGTTAGTTTGGTTGATTACATGGACGAAGGCGAGGTTGATGAGATACGACAGAAACTGTCCTCCGGTGATGAGAAGTCCGTTGGTGCTGACCAAGGCGCCTCTGATTCTCGCAGGAGACATCTCAGATATGTAAAGTGGTGAGGTCATGGAAGCCATACCAACCCCAAAACCCACTAAGAGTCTGCCGAGGATGATGACCCACGGCGCATGAGCGACCACCATCACCAGGGCACCCGCCAGGAAGAGCACATCCGCAATAAGAACGGACATCCTCCTACCAAACTTATCGTTGTACCATCCTCCTATAGCTGCTCCAACAATGGCTCCAGCCACGGTCATGCTCACAATGATCTCCTGGAGCCATGTCTTGTTGTCTACGTCACCAAACTCCTCTTTTATGTAGAGAAGAGCCCCTGCGATGACTCCCGTGTTGTACCCGAAGAGGAGTCCTCCAATACCAGCTGAGAGAGCCAGCCGCATAATGTAAGGGGTCTCCCATGTGTCGTCCACACCTCTGTGAAATTTATCTCCTCTGTTTTCGCTGCTTCTTCCCCCATCTCTTTAACTGAGTAATTACCCAAGTGGTTATGAAAGCTCTAATTAAGTTTTCTCGAAACCTTACGCTGATGGATAAATGATCGATAAATGTTTACAAGTCCAGAAAAGATGTCGTGAAGAATGAAGTTACAAGCATTGAAAACTTTAAAGAGTATATATATAGCGATATAGGAGCATGATGGTTTGAGAGGAAAAAAAACGCCAAGAATAGAAAAAAGAAGAGTTTGAAGACAACAGATCATAATGGTTCTATCTTAAGTTTTTAATGATTAGCTTGAGTGACAGTTTGCACAAAACTGTCTGTTGTTGACTGGAAAATTTTTGTTGGGAGTGTATCTTCTGAATTCACCTGGTCAAAACTTTATCTCCTTAGTTCTTGTTTTGTACAACTGTTACCTTACTATTTTTGGAACAAAAACTGGTTACCCAAAAAAAAAAAAATCATGAACATAACCTACTTTTCTTTATATAATACATATATGGGATGGATTCGAAAGGAAACTGAAGAAAGAAGAGCAATTCAGACAGTTATAAATCTTACACACCTTGTACAGTTCTCTGCTACCATAAATCCATTAGAATAGATTGTGGTCTAAGTCTCTCTCTCCCTGTTTCTACCCTAATTTTCCTAATAGATTTCGCTATAAATATGAAGGAAACAGGTTCAAGACCTTCTTTTCTTGGTTCTTCTCAGTTCTCACTGCAAAGTCATTGATGTTCCAATTGATTGAGGAAAGCTAAAAAGAAACTTATGGGTTTGTTTTGTATTCACAATGCAAGGAGCATCTCCATTAACTTGAAACATTCATAACTATTGTTGTCAGATTTAAGGAACAATATCAGCAATTCCAAGATACAACTTGGAAAATTTATGAGTAACAAGATCTTATATTAAGATCTAAGAGGAATGTTGTAAAATGCTACAAGATATTATACTGCATTAAACATATCTGCTCCACGCTCTAAACCATATGAGCTTCGGACTGGATCTTGAGAATCTTTGGCAACCAAAAGAATTAACGTATGAGACAACCTCCCATCCCACGGTATCAGCTTCCATCGACATAATCCATTATGGAATTCCAATTAACCATTGCATTAATGGCAACAAATGAACAAAGCCAACCAATAAAAACAAAACAATTTGTAGAACCCTTCACATGAACATAATTCATAAGTGGCACCATAATGAGAGTCAATGACACTAATTCAGACAACACATCCGTAACAACCATTCGTAACCAAAAGTCATCCTTAAGACAAATGAAACTTGTGAAAAGGCTCAGATAAAATATGGGTTAGAGATGATTATCAGCACTAAGATCAGAGTGGTGCATGACATTCTCAATCATCACTGCCTTGTAATGAAAACAAAACAAAACAAATGAAAAATAGCCTCAGAATTGCATAAGTATCATCAATGTGAATCAGTCCCGAAAGATGGTGTTCTTTTATAATCTGATCTCCTCATTGGCAACTAGACCCTAATTTAAACCTAATTAGATAAATCGAAATTGAACAAAAAAAACAGAGGAATATAGATCTCATGGCCGGTCCCAAACGGTAAAAGCAGCGACGCCGCTCCGCAAGGCAATGGAATATGAGAGCCATTAGCAAATACCTAAAGACGGAGAAGCCCTAGAGCTCCATCAACATCTTTAGGCTTACCCTATTGATTTGTGACGTTTACTAATGGATTATGCAATCACAATTTTCAGATTGCTCCATCATTGAGTAATAGATTCCTTGGAGAGAAATCACGTCACATTGATCTAACTAATTCAAATCCAATTAAAAGAAAAGTAGAATCATTCAAAAGAATCGAAAGAATTTTGAGGATGAAGAAGCAGGAGTTGATGAGCAGAGAGAATTCGCGCGGATGTATATATATATACAAGAGAAATTGGAAGCCCTAGAGATCACACCGCCTTGGCCCTTGGGGCCAAATAGATTGCTTTGCAAGCCCATTACTGGAAATTTAAATTATTTTATTTTTTATGGCAAGTGTAATGGGCTTAGTCTGCTAGTGTGATATTTAGATTGTTCTAGTCTTCTAGATGTGGATGTGAGGAAGAGATGGTTAATCTCACGCTATTGAAGAGTCACAGCCCTTCTTTATCAGTCATGATATTTTCATATTTTGGGCAGAAGAAATGTATATTTCTGATCATCTCAATTTGTGTTAAGTATGGATAGTTTATTTCGGAGACAACCAACAGATATGATGCATTTCAATATCTAGTTCTTAGCTATCTTGAATTATTTGGTTTTTAACGTTCTAAGATAGAGAGCCTCCTAATATTTTGGAGTTTGCATAATGTGAGGTTTTTAATCTAGCAAAATGTGAGTCTACCCTGGAATGAGACCAAGGCTTTTCGCTAGTTTTGGCTGGTGAGACGTTATTATTTATTTATGAGTGTTAAAAGGCCTCCTGCGAAGCACTCTGTTCCGGTGTTTCCTTTATTTTACGCTCGGGAATCTTTGGAAAGACAATTTTGTGTCTGCTCGGGACTTAGTAGTAGAATACAACAATTACCGCCCTTTTCACAAGTTGTTTGGTCTTGGTAAAATGATGTCAACACAGGATGAGGATCAAATAATTTTGATTTGGTTTTTAAGGTTTCTGATACTTCCAAGTTTGGGTAAAGCTGGTGTGACTAGAAAGATTATCACAAGGCAATTAGGTATTTTATTGGTCCTCATACTACGAAGTTAGATTAATGTGTTTGATTATTTTCTTCTTATGAGTGTTTGATTTGAAGTGTAGGTAAGTTGTTGAGACTAGAAAAGATTATCACATAAGGAAATTTTAAACCATAGTAGCAGAAACTAGTAAATACAACAGTTAGGACATCTTGACACTATCCCAGTAGCCCTAGTCCACCCCTTGGTTAATAGTTCTTGTTCTGACAGCTTAAAAGACTTGGATATTAAATCCATCAGCTATAAAATTTTGAAATATTCTCCTTTATCGCAGGCCACGAGAGATTTAAGGGATGGCTGAGTTACAAGAAACGTATAACTATTTGTTATATAGTAACAAGAAACATTCTCCATTACAAAGGTAGAGATGAACATTTATATAGTACGACATCTGAGAAGTTGCTAAACCTAACGAAAAGTGACCGTCTGAAGAGTAAAAATTCTTTTATTGCCAGATTTTTGGAACCAAATTTTACAAAGACAACGAACTCATACTGAAAATGATAAAACTGTATAAGATATAGATACAACATGAATTATAGATTGCGACGATCTACAAGAACATGCAAAAAAACTCCCAAACACATAAGTATTGATCCATAACATCTTCATCATAAGACAGTCGGACTAAATCTTCGGGATCATCAGCAACCACCCAGTTCAAGTCGGACACATTCCTCGTAGTTCCAAACAATTAGTTGATTCTGTGAATCAAAGCCATCCAAATAACCAATTGAGACAAAACATAAAGAGAAGTACACACCATAAAACCAAACCAATAAAGATCTAAAACAGTAAAAGGGTAATAATATAACCATCAGCAACCAAAAGATATCATCAAAAGCAATAAAGCTATACAGTCCGCATCAAGGTCAAGTCATTATAATGACCATCATCTGGCTATTATACCCTTCTTAATCTTTAAAACAATAACATTCAGAAATAAGGCTCAGATAAAATATGGGTTAGAGATGGTTATCAGCACTATTATCAGAGTGGTGCATGACATTCTCGTTCATCACTGCCTCTTAACTACTAATCAAAAACAAAACAAATGAAAAATAGCCTCAGAATTGCAGATGTAACATCAATATTAATCAGTCCCGAAAGATGGTGTTCTTTTATAATCTGATCTCCTCATCGGCTAATCAAACCCTAATTGGAAAAAAACGAAATTGAAACTGAAAAAACAGAGGAATATAGATCTCATGGCCGGTCCCAAACGGTAAAAGCAGCAACGCCGCTCCGCAAGGCAATGGAATATGAGAGCCATTAGCAAATACCTAAAGACGGAGAAGCCCTAGAGCTCCATCAACGTCTTCAGGCTTACCCTATTGCTTTGTGACGTTTACTAATGGATTATGCAACCACAATTTCAGATTGCTCCATTATTGAGTAAAAGATTCCTTGGAGAGAAATCACGTCACATTGATCTAACTAATTCAAACCCAATCAAAACAAAAAAGAACAGAAAAATCTAAGTATATAAACAAGGAGAAGATTCGTAAGGAATCGATAGAATGAAGGAGAGGAAGATGAGATGAGAAAGAAACAGGTGCGTGGGTATTTATATATACCAGAGATATTAGGGTTTCGGAAGCCCTAGATTATTGACGGCTTAACATCACGGGCCTTTTGTTAATTCTGCAAGAGAGCCCAGTTAAGCCCAATAGTTTTTTTTTTTTTAAAGCTTTATTGATCTATTCAAAGTGTTATATGTTGGGCCATTTACCAGGGATGGCAAGGATCAGATATCTCGGTTTGTGACTTGGTAAACGGTGATTTAAGTGTATGTAACAAGAGAATTCACCACAATTCCACGACCCAGACCACTTTTACAAGTTAGAAAGGTCGCACATGAGGTTTACTTGTCCCATGTCGTACTTGTGTAATGGAAAGTGTGGGTCTCATGCAGTTTACCCCATGCTTATAAATTGTGTGATCAGTATCGTGGCTCTCAAGTTAAATTTTGAACACATAACATTGTTAGTGTGCATGGCTCCTACTTCATTTTTTTTTTTGGTTTGACCGTTCGGCCAACGATTTTTCATTGATGATTGATGAATGATGATAGAGTTTTTGTATTATGTCAAAAATAAAATAAACTACCATACTTATTTACAAATGAATTAAAAAAGACCACAAGAAACCGGCACTTAGTATATCAAGTTTTACGTAAATATCTTTTGAGAATAATGGTTAAGTTCTTGTTTGGACGCATAAAAATTGTTTTACCTTTCATGATCTCAAAGTAATAATGATTTACTGTTTAAAAAGTCTTGGTTGCCACCAATTTAGTGAGGGTTACGGTGGAAACAGAGAACCATGATTACACAAATAGATGACTTTTAAATTTAACCAACCCCAAGCAATGATGCACCACACCACTTCCATAGACCACCAACCCCACTATTGGATACACCGTCCGTATCAACAATAGTCATTGAAAAGCCCATTTTTCTATATCTTTGTTTTTAACATACGTGGTTTTGTACAATGTTCTAAATTACTAAATTTCCTCAATAATGGTAGTTTAGTGATCATCATTTTGTGGGTTTAAGATCCGAAATCGATATTCCCTAGACGCACATCCATTGCATAAGTTAATAACGCATGTCGTTAATATTAAAACCCTCCAATCTAAAATCTGAACAAAAATGCCAACTGTGTTTCATTAAAAAGTGTGTGTAGGAATCTTCATAACTTCACTTTCATAGTATTTCACTTTCACTTCCCTGTCTCCATCTTACCAATAATAATTGTAAGTCCTTAAATGTTCTAAAACCGACCATATCGTTCTCTCTTTTTTATTTCATTTCCATCATTCATATGCCACAAATCTTAATTTAATAGTATCTTAAAAAATACGCGTAGGTATGGGCAATGGTCATGGTTCCGTGTGACATCTACGAACATCTCTCGTCCACGACACATGTCACCTTTGTTTGATCTTTGTATTTCTCATCCATAGTCAAAATTATGCATTTGTATATTTACTTGGGACTTGTGTTTACTCAAAACCATCAAATAAACTAAGCAAATGATTAACAAACTAGTTGTAGGGTTAGGGGATAGGGATAGTCACGGGTACATGATTTCAACTCTACACCTTTAAAATCAATAGTCTCTGCAAATTTTGCAATTAATTACATTAATTGTCTTTTTTCTATTTAAGCCACTTGTTGTTACTTTACACGGAGAGCAGTAGCAATACACTCTAAAAGCAACAAAGGAGCCAAAGCCAAAGCCAACTAACACAACAAATCAACGTTTTTGTTTCTATCTACAGTCTCTCTGAAAATCTCACAAAGTTTCCATCTTTTATAATCACGAACTCAAATTTAGAGACAAAGATGAGTTATTTGGGAGTCGGAGTTAGTCCCGGAAACGTTCCCGGAAGTAGTACTAAAATGAAGCTGATTGATCGGAAAGTGAGAGTAACAGAGTTGATTCTGAGGTCTTTGGTTTGTGTCCTTGCTCTCGTCGCTGCGATTCTCGTTGCTACAGATGTTCAAGTGAGAGAGATATTTACGATTCAGAAGAAGGCTAAATTCACCGACATGAAGGCACTTGTGTAAGCTTCATGACAAAACTCCTCAATTTTATCGCTTTGTTTAAAGTTCGCAACTTTAGCGAGGATCTTTCTCTGAGTTCAGGTTTTTGGTGGTCATCAATGGCATAGCCGCGGGTTATTCTTTGGTTCAGGCGGTTCGTTGCGTGGTGGGTTTGGTGAAAGGAAGCGTTTTGTTCAGTGAGCCACTGGCTTGGGCCATTTTCTTCGGTGATCAGGTGACTCTGTTTTTACCCATTTGATCTTTTTCTCTGTTCTTGCTTGGGACTCTACTATTAAGTACTGAAGTGAATTTTTGTGGGTCAGTGAATTTGAAAAATCTACCGTATGAGATTCATTTGTTTGGTAGGGTACAAGAATTTATTGGATTTAGGTTGGAATCTTCATTAATGTTAGTAAATCAATAATTGATCAAGAATGTTGATAATCTCTTATGGTCCTGCTTAATGAAAGCAATGAAAGTGACCTGGTCTTTGTTCTAGTTCATATAGCTTGTTGTATAAGTGGCATTGTTAATGACCTTGTAATGTATGTATAAGCAGGCGGTAGCATACTTGTGTGTGGCGGGTGTTGCAGCAGCGGCGCAGTCTGCGGCCTTTGCAAAGCTGGGTCAGCCAGAGCTTCAGTGGATGAAGATTTGTGATATGTATGGGAAGTTCTGTAACCAAGTGGGTGAAGGAATTGCTAGCGCTTTGTTTGCTTGCATTGGAATGGTTTTGATCTCTTGCATTTCGGCTTTCGGTGTTTTTCGTTTGTATGGTGGATCAAAACCTCGGCAAAGCTCACGGTGGTGAAGGCCTGTACTGGTCTTGGACCAACCTTGTTTGCGGAACCTCTGTTAAATGTTGTGGTGTGTGTTCTCTTTCTCTCAGTGTGTATACCGTCTATTACTACTGTCATGATCTCAGCTGCTCTAGAAATGTAATCATATGACAATTATGGTTGTTTAATGTGAATAATTACATGTATTTTGTTAACCACAAACAATGACATGTTTAGTCTATCTTTGGTTGAGTTGCTTAATAACCAAAAAACGGAACTTCAAACTCATCCATGGATATAATGATGGATTACCACCAATCCTTTTAAGTTTTAACTTAAAACATAATTTCATTGATCTCATTCTCATCAAAATAATCACCTCTCGCCAAAACTAATAGTTATATATAGACTGTGGCCAGAAAGAGCAAGTTATATATAGACTCACGAGAATGTTATTGTTTTACATTTTGTTCCCTCAAGTAATTTATTTAAGACACATCTTTCACAAAGAAAGAAAATAGAAGAAGGAAGAATCTACGTTTTTGGACCGGATCATGGAGAAAAAGGTGGCTTTGGTGATGGCTTTGATGTTGCTTATGTCGGTGTTGGTTTCCGCCGAGGAAGCACCAACGATCGGACAAAGGATAGACTCAGCCACAACCGACTTTACCAAATTCTTCAATGAACATGCCCGTCCTGCCGTGGACTCCGTCTCCTCTACCGTCAAATCCGTCTACAACTGGTTTGGTGATAAAGCTAAGTATGTATTCTAAATCTTTCTCCTAGTTTCTAATTCACATGGTTTAACGTTAGGTAATATAACTTTTTGTTGTTGTTGTTGGTGTTGTTGTATATTTGTAGAGAATGGGGACTCTAGAGATTTGTCTATGAGCGAAGATGTTTGGAAAACATTTTCAGCGAATAAAGCTTGATCTCCATGTACTACTTTATTTTTAATTAATATAATAAGAAAAAGATCTATATTTGTCTTCTAATAAGTAACAACTACACACAAAACAGAAATAAATACCACCTATCAATAGAACAAGCAGATAATGATGTTTACAAAATTTACGTAAGTTAAAGAAAAAAAAATTAAGAGGAAGAGGAGGGAAGAGAGTGGTTGGCGAGGAAGTGGGTGAAGAGGAAAAGAGCGAGACGAGGCTGAGATAATGGCACCTCATGCCCTGCGGCTCTAACTGTCGCGTACGTTAGCAAGCCATCCTCATAAACCTGGCTCCAACCTCCAACTAGGCCTTGTGAATGATACCATGGATACCACCTTTTGCTGCTCTTCAATTTCATTCCATTTATCGAATGCCTTGTCCCACTTAGCGGTAACACTGCGTCCGAGTCCCCACTATACAAATGATTCCACACAAATTTTAAGATTTTTCTATTAGAAACCTCACATCTAAAGTAAGATGTAAAATATACGAGTCGTCTGCCAATTGATTTTGAGTTGGACGCTTATGAAGTTTAACATACAAAAACACGTTAGTGGTTATACCTGAAGATCCAAATGCGGAGATGAGCTTGAAGAAGATTCTTGATGACGGGAAGCATGGACTTAGGTGAGTCTTTCCAATTCTTTCTTATGACACGACTGCAAGGGGTCCAAGGAGTAGTGCGGTTGAGGCGGGCATGGAAAGATTTTTGCACATTGAGATCGTTCATATACTTGCGTGTGTATCCCACAACACACTCATCGTTCCCTCTATACCGCCATGCTTGCATCCACTCATTTGATGATGAATGTGTGGTGCATGCAGGGCTATTGATGTTGTAAGGGTCGATGTCACCAAACTCAGACAAGGCTTGGTTCAGAGCAGCGTTGCAGTTGGGCTTGGGGAATAGGATGGAGTCGTTGAGACACCACTTGGTCAGGTCCTTGTAGCTTTCGTCCGATATAAGCCCGTGGTTCCACCAGTAGTCACGCATCCCTTTGTTGTCATTATAATCATCCACTAGAGGATTCCCCATCTTTCATTTTTTAAAAAAGTATAAAAATTATGCAGTGATTTATTCATAAATGAGTGAGTTATACAAAATAAATTCTTACCAGAATCCCTTTTAGATTGATAGTTGGGTTTTTGGCACCTTTGTTACGGTTGACGATCAGTTGAGCTAGCTCCGGAATATAGTGTCCTAATTAATCACAAACCCCAATGTAATAAGATCACACATTAATTGTCACCAATAAGCATATCACTCATTTGGGTATAATATATGGTAGTTCCACCGGCGACGTCATAACGCTAAATCTTCGTATTCATATGGAGTCATTAAAGACTTAATTTGGTCATAAAAGAAAAGTCAATTGGGTTGTTGTTGATTCTCTTTTTCTTATATATGTTACATTTTACAAAACCCATTATTTTCTCTGAATAAATATTTTTCCTAGCCTTTTTTAGTGGAGTTTCCGTTGATTCGTAATTGAAATAGTCTTTGAAAGAAAAAAAAAATAAGTACAGAAATTATTGGGTTTAATTATGCACATGCATTCATGCATATGTACATGTATGGACCGGAAGTGCATATCGTGTCCTATGCATAAACAGTTATATAAAAAAGAAATTTTCACGTCAACAACCATAACCATCTGGTTCAACTGCTTAATATTTGTAGAATCTCACATGAAAAATTTATATTATAATTAAAAAAGATGATTTAGAATTAGAAGATAAAGAATTAAAATGGACGAAGAAAGAAAGTACCAGCGTAGCTCTCGCCGGCGATGTAAAATGGTCGTTCCTTATACTCAGGGAACCTCTCCATCCATCTCACCAAGAATCTATATGCATCCTCCCCTGTCCCCACATCATATCTTATATTCATTAATTATGTAATTAATTACAACTTTCTTAATTATAATTACGAAACTACCGGTCTATATAAAACCTGTCCTCTTGTCTCCCACTGTTAGTTCGTCTGACGAAGTGTTTGTGTAAGAGAAACCTACTCCCGCCGGTGAATCCAAAAATAACACATTTGCCACTGCATACATTATTGATTGCATTATGATTACCAATAAGATTGATAAAAAAAAAATTCAAATCAAATTAAAGATTGATACCTTTGTTCCAAGCATAGAGATTTAAACGAAGAGTCCTTCCATCGGGATTAACCCGAAATGGACCAACTTCCTCAGAAGCACCGTAGGCAATGGAGGAGCATCCTGGACCACCATTGAGCCATAGAACTAAGGGCTTCGTACCGCTGGGCCTAGGAGCTTCGGTTAGCCAATAAAAAAGAGCTCGTCCAGCCGCGGAATCAACAGTGACGTAGCCAGAGAATTGAGAGAAATTGAGGTTAGGAGGTTGGCCTGGCAAAGAGATGATCTTGTCCTTCATCTTTTGCTCTTTAGCATCATCACTACTCACTACGTTTAATAATGCAATCACCATGCATAATAAACACATACATTGATATAGTTTTTTTGTGATCATCATCATCAAAGAAAGAGAGTGCCTTTTTTTCTTTAGTTTCTTGGGAGTCTCTCATTTAACACCTTGATGATTTTATACTATAATTTGGCAAACGAGGGTCGTTGTCAACTTATGCCATTTTTAGGTATTATAATGTGGTGTATTTAATATGTATATAATTAAACTGTTGATTATATTGCATATAGTCAAATTAGCTTACTTGTGGATCGAGTATTTTGACTACTCTCTAGTTTCTTACACATTATTGTGGTTCCGATTCGTTGGCATCTTGTATACATATCTCATCTTGAAAGTTATCGCATGTTTATTTTATTCATTTTTATCGTTACATAGTCATTGTCAAAATAGTATACTTCTCTGTTCATTTACAGGTTTCATAATTTGATATATAATTCTATTAAAGGGATATATATTACCTAGCTTTGACTAGTTAAAAGCTAGATATTGCTTGCTTACACCGTAATTTAGTTAGTCATGTATTTCACATGGAGACGTGTAGACATATATCGTCAGGGAGGAACTTTTAATATAAAGTGGGAATTAGCAAGTCCTTAAAAACGATAACCAAATAAAATACTCATCACAAATAATTAGTTGATTGGGTTGGTTTTAATTGGTAAGCCGATTTTGTTTGACATTTTATGGTTTGTCCGTTCATATTTTTCACTTTAGTTTCACCTAATGCTGATCTTGTTGGACCATAACCTACAATTTGGGTTCTTTGTCCTGCTTTTTTTGTTTCTATCTTTTGTTTCCATTTTTCATTTTTAATTCTTTTCTTTCACATCAATGGATAATAATTACTTAAAAAAAAGAAGAAGCATAAAGAGGTGTTTACAAGGTGAGCAATCCCAAAGAGGATCATGTGCCTCTACTTAAATGCATTCCCTAAACTTTTAAACAGAATTAAAAACCATGTCTTACTCGTTTTCTTGTGTACCAAGAAAAGTAACGGAAAGCCTTAATTTAAGAGTAGCAGCTAAGCAACAGACAACCCTCATTATTATTTTCTTATTGAATATCAGATCAACTAAATTGATATGTACACAAAGCTTTTCGAATAAACAATCATGAAAGTGAAAATTGTTAGCATTTGTTAGGATTAGACACAGAAGCTGAAGGATTGTGTGGCAATAGTGCCAATGAACTGATTGATAGCTGAGAATGTGAAAAAGAGAGTCTTACTTCTTATTTATAAAGAAACTCTGGTCCTATCACAGAGTGTCTGAAATTTACATTGGCAATGGCTTGTTGTCGAGAAACGACTGAAAAAGAAGAAAAGCTCGACGAGGACGGTGAAGAGGTACCTCATGTCCTGCTCCATGTATTGTCACCAGAGTCAGCCCTTTGTAAACTTGGCTCCATCCACCAACCTGTTGTTTCAGTACTCATACATTAGTTTAATCCCGCGGAAGAAAGAAATCAAACTAAGGAAACAGAGTATATTGTTTTTTTTTTCTACCTGTCCATCGTCGTTCCAAGGGTACCATTTGGAGAGTGGTGGTAACTTGAGGGCTCTAATGGAGTATCGTGTTCCAGTAATGGGAACAACTGAATCTGTGTCTCCGCTACATCCAAATTTACGGAACAAGATATCAATCATGATACCAAACTGGATACAAGACGGTTGATAAAAAGGAGAATTAGATATACCTGAAAACCCATATCCTGAGACCCGCGGCGATGAGTTCCTTGTAGATTGGAAGCATAGATAGAGGAGAATCTGCCCATTTCTCTCCAACGATGTCACTAAAAACACACAAGAATGTTACTGAACATGGACCTCAAGAGAAAATTTCTTATAAATTTTGAAAACCCATTAATGTGTTTTTTACCTGCACCCTTTCCATGGATAAGCAAGTCCTGTTATATTAGCATGCATAGCCTTTTGAACCTCCGGAGAATTGAAATACATGCCTGAGTATCTATCTGTGCAAGGGTCATATGCTCTCCACATCCATGGCTTAGTTAAACAAAAAACGTAGCAAGATTAGAGATTTGTCAAATCTTGTATAGACTATGCCTTGGTAGAGTAACTTGAATCTATAGAAGCAACCGTAAAGCAAATAAACTCAGACAATGAATTAGAATCAAGTAGCAGAGAGAAAAAGAGAGAGAATCTGAATTCTTTTTTTGGCAGTCCAGATATCATGTAATCGCCTTTTTACCTACTTGGACTAACCTAAGTACCATTATCTATTTGTTGAGAATAAAGGTTCTCATATATTGGTCATTTAGAATCTGGTAGCACAAAGGGAGGCTCTAATACATAGCCAATTCTGCATAGTAAAGCTGGAACCTCTAAATGACCAAAACTACATTAGTCGAGCTGGTCATAGTAGTTAAAGGAAAATGATGAGCAGTGATGGAAAACTCACATGACGAACCCTGGAGAAGCGAGACCTAAGAGCTGCAGCCTCCTTCTTACAAGTCACAGTGTAAATGCTATATGGATCAATATTGCCTTGCTCCAAGTCTGCAGCTTCCATGGCCTTGCTGCATTCAGGGGACGGGTGCTCGGATGATCCAAATTCACACGTGATCCGTAAGTTGTGGTAAGTGAGATCAGATATCAACCCATGAGTCCACCAATATTCAAATAAACCCACGTAATCATGGTAGTCATCAATCACAGCATTCCCCACCTAAAAAAGAAAGAAACTCACTTTGATGACAACATAATAAGAACATGTTTTTGTTCTGAATAGATTTGGTGCGTTTTTGCTTACAATGAAGCCTTTGAAGTTGATAACTGGATTGCGTTTCTCATAAACAATTTGTGACAACTGAGGAACATAATGACCTAAAGAAGAATACGAAAATGCTTAGCTAAGATAAGGTTTCAAATTGAATAAAATCAAATAATAATAACCTGCATAGCTTTCTCCAGCAATGTAGAACTCTCTGTGCTTGTATTGAGGAAACCTCTCAAACCATTTCACAAGAAACACATACGAATCTTCAGCTGTAAAAAATTAAACCAAAAATCATCAAATGATTGATAAATCTAATTGAATATAGAGAAAGAGAGGTCAAAGGCCGAGACTTTACCAGTTCTCTTGTCTCCGGCAGTGTACAAATCAGAGGTAGTATTCGAATACGAGAAACCAACACCAGCTGGAGATTCAAGGAACAGCAAATTCGCCACTGACCCAATATAAAGAGAGTTAATTTAAGGATTGTGAAATCCAAATTGGAGAGAAATGGAGATAAAGAAAGATACATTTGTTCCAAGAGTAAGGATTGTGGTAAAGAGTTTTGCCATCAGGATTGATTCTAAAAGGTCCGATTTCTTCAGCGGCGCCGTAAGCTACGGAGGAACAACCAGGTCCACCGTTGAGCCAGAGAACAAGAGGCTTAGAATCAGGGTTTTGACTCGGTGGTGACTCAGTGAGCCAGTAAAAGAGTGCTCTTCCAGCTGACTCGTTGACGGTAATGTAACCAGAGAAGTGAGAGAATGAGACATCGTTTGGTTCACCGGGAAGGTGTGAGATTCGGTCCTTTTCTTGTTCGTGTCTGGAACAAAATGTGCAAGGGAGTAGAATGAGGAAGAGGAAGAGAAGGAATCGAGACATGGTGGATGAAGAATGATAAGGGTGAAGTGAAGATTTCAATGTTTTTGATCAGTGGCTGGTGGTGGTGGTCCAGAGAGTTTAATAATTGATTTGAGTGATTAAATAATGGCCGTTATATTTGTATTTTCTTACATCATTGACTTTTTTAACTACTTCCGACGATAACCTTGCTAAATGTTATGTCCCTTAGAGCATGCACATAGTTGATACTAATAGAGTATCATTAACAATTTTTTAGTATTAATTTTAATATTTTTTTATTGTTTGAGATTTCTTATGATACCGGTACTAAATATGTTTCTATTGGTGAGACTGGTTTAAGTATCATTAAAAAAAAAATTTGCAAAATCGAAAATAAATATATAAAAACATAAGATTACAAAAGGTAATATTACAATTAAAAAAACGTAGAATATACTTAAGCAAAAAAACATTAAAAAACATGATGATAAAGATAAATAAATCGCTGCGACTGATTTTTTAAAATTTGTGTATTTGGTTATCAAAATTTTTTAGTCTTCATTCTTATATAAATAAATTTAAAAATCCAAAACCAAATCTAAAATAAAACAAAGTTATAAGTTATAAATCAAGTTACAAAGCAAACCGAAACAGAGTTATATAATTTCTGTTTTCTGTTTCTATTGGTTGTGACGTATCCATCATATCAATTGAATTAGCTTCATCTTTTGCTGCACTCACTCTAGAATCAAACTTGCTTATCCATCTTGGGCGCTCCATCCTTCTTCTCTATTTGATGCTCCATCAAGTGGCCATCACAACACCAAAATTGCTTGAAGAAAATCAAACAGCTCACAGACCAAACCAAAGCTTCTCTAACTAGAGAGAAACCAAATATATCACATGATTAAAAAATAACGTGCACACAATGCTCAAAGCCAGCTCATATCTATAACCATTCAAGTAATACTTTTGTATTGGTCGCAATAAAGTATGCAAAAGCTAATTCAAGCTAATTCAATTCAATTCACTTCAGAACCGATAGACACAGAAGCTATATACACTCATGAGATATGACCATCGAGAGGAGTAAGATAACAAGTCCCTTGCCATGTGGTAACGTTTGTAGCAGCAGACACATTTCTTTGATGTAGCTTAGTGGTGAGGTAAGCGATAAGATTCCCAGCAATACCATAGTAAGCTAGCCTCTCACAACATTCATTACCAAGTATAAAAGGACAAGCTTTCCAGTTTCCTGTTTTCTCCTTCAATGGTGGGTTTCCATTAAAGTCCACTGAACCATCTTCAACATACAATTTCGCTTCCTAGTTCAACAAAATTGCCAAAGACAACAATAAATTAGCTAACTAAATCAAGCAAAATTTGATCTTTATTTGCAAAACTCAAACATTGGAATCATCACCTAAATCAAAAACGATCAAGAACACTAAGATAAAACAGTGATTACCCAGAAAAGATCTCAATAAACACAGAATGAAAATGCATAAGATCAATCTAAAGTCAAAAGTTTTGAAATTTCAGCAAAATCAAAATTCGCCAAACCTAATTGATTAACCGAATCCAAGAGATCGAAATTGAACAGACCTGTAATATTAAACCTTCTTCGATGAGAGGTCTTGCTTCTTCTTCAATGGAACCCATCGTTTTCGCTTTTGAGCTAAAACCAATTTAGATTCCTTACGTTGAAGCTACCTATCTATCGATACTCTATTAACATGCTATTTTAAACATGAAATCAGAAATCCTGATTTTTTTGTGATTTTAAAACAGAAATCAGAAATCCTAGATCACACAGAAGAAATGGAGAGGTGAAATGGAGAAGAAGAAGAATCGGTGGAGGAGAGAAGGGATCGGGGTTTGAGAGCAAATGATTTTTTTTTTTTCTCTGTTTTCACCAAAAAAATACAATCATTGTCCAATAGAAAACTGACACGTCACATGAAACTGGGTATCACAAGTATCAGTCCACTGATACGGATCAGGCCCAATTTTTGTGTTTGGTCCATTATTAAATAGTTTTTGGGCTACTGATACCCAAAATAAATCACCCATGTATATGGTCTTATCATCATCTGATTTCTCTCTACATCAAACTTACATGTATGAAAATAGAGTTATCTGAAAGTCTCTCTTCTCTAGGAAAGAGCCAATCATATAGTATACAAAAAGAAAATTTTGTTAGGTGTAGAAGAAAAAAAAAAAAACAAACAAAGGTGTGGAAGTGTTTAAGGACAAAACAAAGAATCGAACACGAGACTTCGCTTCAGGCGAGCAACTCTAACCACTAGACCACTGTAAAACACTTGTCAGCGTCAAGTTTTATTAATAGATAAATAAAAAACAAAATCTAAAACCCTACAACATACATTTGGAGACCTGAATCTTGCAATCGAGCAACAGAAACGGCGATGGGAAGATCAGCTCTGATTCACTTGCTTCGCTCCCAATCCCGACGTCTCTCTTCCTCCACCTTTACTACAGGTTCTTTCTTTCTCCACTATATGGGAAGAATGTCCGATCATGGTTTTTAGAATTTACGGAAAAAGCTCAATACATTACGGCTTTAGAGTAGTAATAGCTGCTATTTATTGGCTTCTATGGTTTTTGAATCCAAATGCTTAAACCTTTCTCACGATTCTGTTTTCCCTTTTCGATTTTATGGTGAAAGTACTTTACTTGATCTAAACAAATCAGATAAACTGAAATTGACTTAGAGCATTATCTACCATAGCTTAATCTGGATGAGAAATGGCAGGCTAGGGTTTCGCCAGTTCAATTGGAGCATTTTGAGTCCAATAGGAAGGCAATATTTAGTCTGTGTCTCAAACGGATTTGAAATTGGGGTTGAGCTTCATTTGGATGAGAAATGGCAAGTTAGGGTTTTTCCAGTTCATTGAAGCGTGTTGAGTCTTATCTGTTGTTTGAGGCAATAGTTTGGGTCCAATGCGTTTGATATTGTCATGTGGTGCTTTGATGTGGTTCTATCCCTTAAAAGTCAGTAATGGTCACGAGATCAGATGTAGCCTAGTTCTTCTGATCTTTCGGTCTTTAAAGTTCTACTTTACCAAAACTGAGTCTAACTATTTGGTGGAATTTCCATGTTTGTTAGTGTCTTATTCTAAAACTAGACGAATGTCACAAATTCATCAAGCCTGTGGTAATTTCTTTTCAGGATATCATCATCGATCAATAGCAGGATCATGGTCATCATCAGTGATCCCTAAGGTCAGATTCCAGGTTCCATCTCTTAACCAGAGAAGCTGGGCATCATTTGGAGCAAAGACTAGAGAGGATGATGATGAGCACAAGATCAGCATCGGACCCCAAGAGAAGAAAGAAGAGAATGATGGAGGGGTGGTTTACTATGGCCCAATCTCATCCACCATCAAGAAAGTGAAACTCCTCTCACTCTCCACTTGCTGTCTCTCAGTGTCTCTTGGCCCAGTCATCACTTTCATGACTTCCCCCGGACTGAATGTGATCATGAAAGGTGCGGTTGCCTCCACCGTGATCTTCCTCAGCGCATCCACAACCGCTGCTCTCCACTGGTTCGTTACCCCTTATGTGCACAAGCTGAGGTGGCAGCCGGGTTCAGACACTTTTGAGGTCGAAATGATGACTTGGCTCGCCACATTTACCTCAAAGACACTGAAATTCTCAGACATACGTTATCCAGACACGCAAAGACCGTATGTTAGCTTCAAGGCGGATGGGAATTACTACTTTGTGGACGCAGATCATTGCCCCAACAAGGCATTGTTGGCCAGGCTCACTCCTCCAAAGGATGCTCATGACTCTGCTTTCAAGAACTTGTAATCCAAATTCGTCTCTTTGTTATACTTTCTCTCTCTTTTTTTTGGGTGTGGATTTTTTTTGGGTTTGTAGCTCTTTAAGATACTTGGATACCTCCCTTTCTCATCACTTATACCCAAAAAAAATGCAAATAAGAAAAGAGTTTAATCAATTGATCTGCCTACGGTTTGATCCAATTGCTAAATCTATTGAGAAATTAAGAAACCGGTTTCGAACCGGTTGGCGTTAAAAACCGGTTTCACTTCGATTGAGTTTTTTAGTAGTCCCATTTTGGTTACAGCGATCGGGAAGCTCTCTGTGACGGCACCGGTGAGTCCACCAGTCACCTCTGACGGCTACGCAAATCCAAATAAATCTGTGGATGAAACGAAGAATCCCAGATTTCTGAATGGTAAATAATTCGAAACACTAATAATCTCTTCCAAAAATTAGGGTTCATCCGTTAGTTATGACTTTTGAGTTTTGTTCCGTGAATCTTTTAGATTTGCCATCTGCTTTCGATTCTAGGTTTCATCATATCATGAATCAGTGCTCTGTTAATCTTGTTTGATACTGGTCAATGATTTTCTCAAGCTAAATCGATCATTATATTAAATCACACTCTTGGCTCTTTTTGTTTATAAGGAAATGGATTTCTCTTGTAAAAAATCTTTGTAGAGTCTGAGTTTTGGCACTCCCTTGGCTTTTCTCATCTTGAAGAGTCTTTAGTTTTGTTAGGATAAGATTTAAAACTGACTGCAAAATACTTCTTTCGTGAATGCAATGTGTTCTAAGTCCCTTTGGATTTCTTGTTTTCAATGTCTGTTGCAAAATTTAGTACTCTTTTGCAAATAGTTTTACTTATTTTGGATCAATGGATCTTTAAAACTGTGATAAGTGAGCATGATTTATTATTCCCTGTGAATTGGAGAATGATGATTGTAAGAAGAACAAAGCATATATGAATGCTTAATTTGTGTAATGGCGTTTTGGTACATCAGGCGACACCATTTATAGCGGGGGTTGCAGTAGCTGCAACAGCACTTGCTGGTAGATATGGAATCCAAGCATGGCAAGCATTCAAGGCAAGGCCACCAAGGCCCAAAATTAAGAAATTCTATGACGGCGGTTTCCAGCCTACAATGACGAAAAGGGAAGCTGCTCTTATTCTTGGCATCAGGTGAAGGAAACACACACACATACTCTATTTCTCTTGTCTTTAATAGTTTCTCAAAATCCTCAATGATCAATTTGCTTATAGCATTAGCATATTTTCATTGTATAAAGTGTAAAGTTTTTTGAAATGTCGGGTTTGGGATTGAATCACAGGGAGAATGTAGCGGCGGAGAAGGTGAAGGAAGCACACAGGAAGGTAATGGTTGCAAACCATCCAGATGCAGGTGGTAGCCATTTCCTGGCTTCTAAGATCAATGAAGCTAAAGACGTGATGCTCGGCAAAACTAAAAACAGCGGATCCGCTTTTTGATGCATATTTCAATCAAAAACTCCTTATGATCATCTTATGTTATAGAACCTGCATTGTTAAAGTTCAGATTGTATGCTAAATTGTACGCTTGTGGTCTGTTTGTGATGCACTAAAAGACTCGAATCTTTTCTTTCACTTGTGGTCGTAGAAAACAATCACAAAAATAAAACGCAAAAGGAGAAGGGCGTTTTAGTCATTTTAGTTTTAAAAAATCCAGTAATAGAAACTGTAGTACACGTGTCATGTGGCTCCAGCAACGTCTTACGTCAACCTCTATCCATTCATTCCCCTTATTAGCAACTCCCTCCACAAAACTCTTTTAACGTATTTTTTATTTTATTGGTAAAACAAATTTTTATTTAACCCTCTTTTTTATAAAAAAAAAAATTGAAAATTGTAGTCTAATTAAAAAATTGTTAAAGGCAAAGTCGAATCCATAATTTTAAAACTTTGAAAATTTTAATTGCTAAAGGCCTAGAAATGGATTATGATTAATGAGACCCGGTCATGATTTATCCACTACACGAAAACGTAAATATAGTATTTATTAATTATTATTATTATCTGATATAATATCCATGTCTTTATCTTCTTCTAATTTTCATTTTTTATTTTTTAAAAAGGAAAAAAAAAAAAAACAAAGAAGAGAGAAAGAAAGAAGAAGGGAAACTAAAGAGGGTCATCATCATTTCATGGTTACCTCCTCCTCCTCTCTTCTTACTCTCACCATATCTGCTCTCTCTCTTTGTTTCAAGCTTTTTAGCTCCCATTTCTTCTTCATTTCATTTCCTTCGTAATCTCGCTCGAGCTTAACGGTTGATATCCCAATGGCCAAATCGATATCTGAATCGCCGTCGCTTCCTTTCTTTTTCTTCTGATTTCATCTTTTTCTATTCGGAGAATCTCACGCAGTTTTAGGGTTTCTTTTTTTCGCACGGACTTTGGGTTTCTTTAAGAAGTTGGATTGGTGCGTTTTGTTTTTAGGGTTCGTGTGTTGGATTCGATCTTTCTTTGGTATCTCCCATTGAATGTTGCGGTGATAAGAGTGACGACTACAATGGTGTCTAAGAATGATCATATCGAGACTTTATTCAATTCAATCCAAGTAGTTAAAGATGTTCTTCTTCCGATTGAGCTTGGTGTGAAAAAGGCGGCAAGAGATATTGAAAATTGTTGGATAAGCAAAGAAAGGGATCTAGGTCTTGTTTTGAGATCATCTGGAAGAAACAGGAAGAAGCGGATTTGTGCTAGTCCTGAATTTGACGACAATGCTACTAATAATGTTCAGTGTGTGGTTAGTGATGAGAGAAATAAAGGTTTGTCTATCAAGATCCCTGTGAAGTCACTCTTTGGTATGTTTTCTCCGAATTTAGCGAGTGAGAAGTTGAGTCGTAGAAATGATGTGGTGGTGGTGAAGAAAGATAAGTCTTTGGAGAAAGATGATGATTCTTGTACCAATTGCTTCAAGTTTGCGATGACTTGGTCTTTGTTGGTTAGTGGCTTTGTTCATGCTTTTCCTATTCCTTTTAAGATTGGTAAAAAGAGGATTCACAAAATGGGGGATGATGAGAACACTCTACGTAAACACGGCCTTAAATCAAAGGCGTCATTTGTAAGTCGGAAAGAAGTAAGGCGTCAGTCAGTTGAATCTGTAGAAAAGGAAGGGAGCCCTTTTTCGATTGAATGCGCTGTTGGTTTTGTTGTTGAAATGTTGGCTCAGAATCTCCTGAAGCTGGACCAATTCATACAGGATAGTTCAGAGAATGAATCTTGTTGTTCCAAGGAAGCTAGTGCAAATGATAGTCCACTTATCTTTAACATCTGGGAGGCTAGAAAACTCGACTTAAATGGATTCCTCGGGAACCTGATGTTTGCCAGAGTTGGAGATGTGGCGTCAGGTATAGGTGGCCTGACATCTCACATAAGTGAAGATGGTGATGAAAGTAATGTCAGTACTGCTGGTAAGGAGGAAAGTGCAGTTGATTCTCCGCAGAACCTGGCAACTGGACTACTGAGTATACCTTTATCAAATGTAGAGCGCTTAAAATCCACACTGTCCACGATTTCTCTGACGGAACTTATTGAGCTTTTACCACAATTAGGACGACCTTCAAGAGACCATCCAGACAAGAAAAAACTAATTTCTGTTCAAGATTTTTTCAGATACACCGAGTCTGAAGGTATGAATCCTCCCATTTTTATTAAGAAGCTTACATTTTCTTGGCAACTTAGTAAGCAAAAAGAGAGCAGCGGGATGCACTGCCTATATATCTTACTTGTCTTGCCAAAGCTTGAAGTTGACTCTCGGCGGCATTTGTGTTGGTTGAAATCATTGAAAAGGGAAACCTGTTGGTTGAAATTACCATGTTTTCGTTTTTATTGCCTGCTCTAGTCATCACCTCTAACTAATGTCTCAACTGTTAAAACTTAAGTAATGTGTGTTGCAGTTTCTCAATACTAGATTGTCTGCTAATATAAGGAACACATTACTTATTTTCTTTTGAAATGTCTACGTCCTGTACTGTAATTTATTCCATTTCGTCTAATATAACTCTTTGTGGCTTCCAGGCAGGAGGTTCTTTGAAGAATTAGATAGAGATGGTGATGGCAAAGTAACTTTGGAAGATCTGGAAATTGCAATGAGGAGAAGAAAGTTGCCCAGAAGATACGCCAAGGAATTTATGCGACGAGCTAGGAGTCATCTTTTCTCGAAATCGTTTGGTTGGAAGCAATTTTTGTCCTTGATGGAACAGAAGGAGCCAACCATCCTCCGTGCCTATACTTCTCTCTGTTTGAGTAAGTCTGGTACTCTTCAGAAGAGTGAGATATTGGCATCACTAAATAACGCAGGACTTCCTGCTAATGAAGAAAATGCTATAGCCATGATGAGATTTTTGAAGGCTGATACCGAGGAGTCTATCTCATACGGACATTTCCGTAATTTCATGGTGTTGCTGCCATATGAGCGGTTACAAGATGATCCTCGGTAAGTATAATTCTTTGTTGTGAATCCAAACTGATGTTTTATTTTGTAGCGGTTTGTCTTGGCACTATTGAGTAAAATGCCAATTTGACCAGTAGAACTGTTTGGGTTGAACCGGACCAGTTCCCCCTTAGTTTCTCCCATTTATGTTGATTTCCTCAAACACTTCAAACCTGTAATTTTTGATGTCATACAAATGGTGATGGATGCTATTTTTACTTGTATAGTAACATCTGGTTTGAAGCTGCGACTGTTGTTGCTGTTGCACCCCCTGTGGCCTTACCTGCTGGAGATGTTCTAAAATCTGCATTAGCGGGAGGGCTTGCCTCTGCTCTCTCCACCTCCTTAATGCATCCGATTGACACAATCAAGGTGAGTCCTCTCTGGTACTTTTGCAAGCCGAATATAAGTAATTGCTCAATTTTTAGACAAGTTTAGGTGATAACTTGGCTACCAAAAACTCTACATCCATCAGGACGTAATTGACATCGGCTTCTACAGTATTTGAATATTTAGTATGCAAATATAGTTCCTCCTGGCTTCTTGTGGCATACTGTTGATTTGAGGGATTCATTATCATTTTCATGCCAGACACGTGTGCAAGCATCAACCTTGTCATTTCCTGAAGTAATAGCAAAGCTTCCAGAGATTGGTGTGCGGGGAGTGTATAGGGGTTCTATCCCAGCAATTCTTGGACAATTTTCAAGGTCTTTTGTCTTTTCAATTGTTTCAAATCAAAGATATTTTCACTTTTACTTGTTAAATTTCATTTTCATGTGGCTTAATCTCTTTCATCATTGTAGCCATGGCCTGCGGACAGGAATATTCGAAGCAAGCAAACTTGTGTTGATCAATTTTGCTCCCAATCTCCCAGAAATTCAGGTGATGATCACTCTACTCACTGTTTTGCTTGTTTTGTTTTGTGCTTCAGGTATATGTATTGTTATGGTTTCTTATAGATGTTGCGTTATTGAAGAAGTTAGTATTAAATGACTTCAAAACTGCACTTGTCCTCTGGAATCCCAACATTCTATCGTTTTCCTAGAAACCTCGGTACTGCTTTTGTCTTCTATAGTTCATGGCATCTAGTAAGTGAACCATATGTTAGAGGCAAAATCCAGTATCAAGGCTATTTCATTGCAGTACATAGCTTTCTTGATGCTTTTTGTCACTTGGTAGTCTATAGATCCCTGTATACTAACTAACTATTAGTGGCATCTCCTTGGTTATAAAGTTCTATTAGTTATATAAAGTTTATAGCTAGAATAATATATACCTGATACTGCTGGGGCTAAATGGTCTCTTAATTACTTAGTTTGATAAAGTTGTGTATGGTTTCTGAAGAAGAACTTAACCGCTTTCAGTTAACAGTTACATCCTCTGCATTTATGCTTCCTGATCTTTGTGCTCGATAATTAGTGTTGAGCATTTGATGCAGGTTCAATCGATTGCATCATTCTGCAGCACACTATTAGGCACAGCTGTGCGGATTCCATGTGAGGTGCTGAAGCAACGGTTGCAGGCCGGCATGTTTAATAATGTAGGGGAAGCCATTGTAGGGACGTGGAAGCAAGATGGTCCAAGTGGCTTTTTCCGTGGGACAGGCGCAACTCTTTGCCGTGAAGTTCCACTATACGTTGTTGGCATGGGACTGTATGCAGAGTCCAAAAAGGTAAGAAATCTGAAATGATTAGATAATCATAAGGGTCAAGACTGTAAATGTTATATTGATTGGGGTTTGTGTGTGTATTGTAGATGGTGGCGCAAGCGCTGGGAAGAGAACTCGAGGCATGGGAGACAATAGCGGTTGGGGCGGTGTCAGGAGGTATAGCAGCAGTTGTAACAACCCCATTTGATGTGATGAAGACGAGAATGATGACTGCAACACCAGGGAGACCGATCTCAATGTCGATGGTTGTTGTCTCGATTCTGCGTAATGAGGGACCGCTAGGTTTGTTCAAAGGAGCAGTCCCGAGGTTTTTCTGGGTGGCTCCTCTAGGTGCTATGAACTTTGCTGGCTACGAACTAGCCAAGAAAGCTATGCAGAAGAACGAGGATGCTGTGTTAGCAGATCAGCTTGGTCAGAAGAAGCTTTGCTAATGGGATTTTTACTTTGCTTTGCTGCTACGAAGTTTTTTGGGGGCAGCTTAAGCCGGAGACTCTCCTCTTTTGTTAAATGCTACTTTGCAAATTTTTGACAAAAAAAAAGTTCATTGTTTTGTTGTGCATTGAGGACAGTTTCTCTTTATAAAAACTCTGGTTCAAAAAAAGTTATTTTTGTTTCTACAATTCGTTGGTACTTTGACTGTTACAGAAGGGAACACAAATGACTGAGGAATTCAGTATCCGGTTAAGCAGATCCCTCTCTTCAGGTTTAATTGTGTACAAGAACAAGGAAGAAAACTTGTAAAGTTATCCCTAACAATCAAATAAAAACAAGTGGAAAGTAAAAGCAAAAGAAGAGTGTAATTGCACTTGCTGTCATAAGCTTCTTTGTACATGTCCACTATGCCAGAACCAATTCATTTTCTATAAAAATCCCAGTCAATGGGTTCCGGTTCCTGAGCAAAACAAGAAGTAGGTAAAGGGATGACTCATGAGGGGTAATTTTGAATTTGCAAATCAGGGCAATAATGTATCAGTGAACAAGTAAGAACTAGGCTATATCAAAATTCAGCAGAACATGTCGGCATTTGGTGTCTTCACAGGAAAACATGAGAACATGTATATATAGATTTTCATTTTAATCCCATACTTTTAACCGAAAATGCAAAACGGTTCCTTGTTTTCTCTCTTATTTTCATTTTAATCCCATACTTTTCCAATTGTCAAGATAGCCCCTAATCGATAATATTTGGTGTTTTCTGATTTGATTTAAAAACTTGAGCTAATAAAAAAAGCGCTCAGATGCAATCTTCTCTTTCATTTTCTTGTGGTGAAGTAAGTCAACGATGGCTAAATCTCCAGTGGAAGTGAATCTGATCCCGATCGAAGCTACTTCCGAGACCTTCGCAGACTATGGTCAAATCATCGAAGCCTCTCGTGATGGTGAAACTTTCGGTCCCAACGACGCTCAATTGGATCTCTCCAGAGGAACCCCACGGTACTATTTCCGATTTCTATGTTGGTCCCAAATGGTTAATGGTTGTGTTGATCAGTTCCCATTTACAAAAGACATAAATTTTTGTATAACGTATTTTACAAGTCTTGAGATTTAAGTACAAGTCACAACTTTTAGGTTTTTGATGTGTTTGTACTTTGACAGGTTATATATAATGCCGCTCCAAGATACATCCTTTGGCTTTTCGAAGATCACTCATCACGCAAACGTGACACAGTGCCTAGGATCAATAGGAGCTCATGTTTGGTATGTTGGAGTGGCTAAGCCGTCTCTTATTGAAGATGATGATGAAAGGAGAGAAGATACAGTAGAATCAAAGTCTGGTCACTTGTACGCTCCTCCTGCGGTGGAAGAGGTGCGCGTCTTCAGGATCTCAGGAACAAAGTTTGTTAAATACAACCGCGGTACTTGGCATGTTGGACCGCTCTTCAAAGAAAGCTCCATGGACTTCTACAATCTTGAGCTCACCGACACAGATGTGAGTGGGGTTCTTTTATATAAATAGTACCTAGTGATTCTTGTATTTGTATAGACGACATTGTTGGTGTTGATGATATTATATGTTCAGGTGGTGGATGAGACGACATATGATTTCAGGAAGAATAATGGAGTCATCTTCCGATTTAAACCCATAGAGGAGACATCATCCTAGCTCAACCCTGGTTATCAGTTTGTGATGTAGCCGCGGACTCAAGTGAACCGAACCACATGACATCAAACCACCGGAGACGAATTCCAAGCCGCAAATACTTGCAGTAATCAGTTTATATTGTTCTCTGTTTCTTTTAGTTGGTTCTGCTATTTGTTTCAAGTTAAATAAGAAGAGAACTGGTCGTCATGGTGTTAAGGAACCACCTCTTCCACATTACCACGTTCCTTGCTTGTAGGAGGAGTTAAGGGCTCCATCTTTGTTTCTGTTTGTTCTATTTAACGTTCACTGTTCTCTGATCAGTAGGCATCAAGAAAATCTCTTCTTTTTTTTACATGTTAATCCCATACTTTAAAAATTAACAAAAAGGCCCAAATATATTTGGAGTTTTCTGATTGATTTTAAGACTTTATGAATGAACAAAAAAAGCTCAGAGCCAATCTTTCGCTTCCATTTTCTTGTGGTTCACAATGGCGAAATCTCCGGTGGAAGTGAAACTTATCCCGATCGAAGCTACTCCGGAGACTTTCGCGGACTATGGTCAAATCATCGAAGCCTCTCGTGATGGTGCCTCTTTCGGTCCCGACGACGCTCAATTAGATCTCTCCAGAGGAACCCCACGGTAACTCTTTTCCCAATTCTCTAAAAATTTCATTAATCCCGACCTTCTTGATAAACTCATGTGCTTCTTCTAATCCGATGCTAATCTCCGTTTAAATTCCTCATCTTTAATGCTAATTTATCAATCTATGTGATTTGTGTTGTTCCAAATAGTTGTGTTGATTAGTTCCAGATAACAATTTTGTACAAGGTATTTACAAGTTGTGAGATTTATTGCAAAGTCGTAGCTTTTAGGTTTCAGATATGTTTGTTCTTGTTTATAAATCAGTTACTTTGGTGGCAGGTTCTATATACTCCGGCTGGAAGGAAGATCCTTAGGGTTTTCCAACATCACACATCACGCAAATGTGACACAGTGTCTAGGATCAATAGGAGCTCATGTTTGGTATCTTGGAGTAGCTAAGCCATCTCTTATTGAAGATGATGATGATAATGGAAGGAGAGTAGATGCACTAGAATCAAAGTCTGGTCACTTGTACATTCCTCCTGCAGTGGAAGAGATTCGCGTCTTCAGGATCTCGGGACCGAAGTTTGTTAAACTCAACCGCGGTACATGGCATGCTGGACCCTTGTTTAGAGACGGCTCCTCCATGGATTTCTACAACTTAGAGCTCACCAACACAAATGTGAGTGAGAATGGTTTATAGAACTATAGAAGAATAGTAATTAGTGACTTGCATTGACGACATTGTTTGTTGATGATGTACAGGAGGTGGATCACACGACTCATGATTTCAAGAAGAATAATGGAGTCATCTTCCGATTTGACCCCTGAGATGATACATCGTCCTCCTAGCTCAAATCCTATCAGTGTGCTTCTGTTTTTATTGTATGTATGTAACTACTACTGCCAATACTGTGTACACTGTACACAAATTGGTTATATGCAATAAAATACCGGTTTAAGTTAACCAATCTTGTTCTCAGTACTCTACTTGGTTTAAGTAATTCTTGATTTGGTTTTCAAAAAAAGGAAAGCAAATCTTGAATATATTAAAGAAATTTGGTGACATCATTCGGTGTTTCTAGTAATATGCTCTGTTGCCAGTTACAAAGTATATTTAATTTATTAATTAATTAATTATTAAAACGAATAATACGTGTAATTGTAGCCGTTGGATATGATTACACGTGCAAACATCTTTCGATCGCAAAGAAAGCAAACGAAAGGCTAAAAGAAGCTCGAGAGTCGAAATCGATCCGAATTTGTGGCAAAAAATCTGATTCTCTGGGTACAAAAGTTTTCTCTTCTCTATTATCCAAATTCGTTGTCTTCATAGTATTATATTTGATTTAGCATCCTACTCTGTGAGTGTTCGTCTAATTCTGACTGATTCATGTTTTCAGTCTCATGTGTGTTTCATTATATTTATATAGTTTTTGAGTCATTTGTTGGATTCAATTACAGGTTTCTTATAAGCTATAGAGTAGCAATCATGGAGCGGTTAACATCTCCTCCTCGTCTGATGATTGTCTCGGATCTTGATCATACTATGGTAAAGTCTCCATTTTTACGTCTTTTAACATCTTTTTCTTGCGGAAATGTTTGTTTGATTGTGTGATATGTGTGTGTACACGTTTTTTTGTGTGTAGGTTGATCATCATGATCCTGACAATCTCTCTCTGTTGAGATTCAATTCGTTGTGGGAACATGCTTATCGTCATGACTCTCTTCTTGTGTTCTCTACGGGAAGATCACCAACATTGTATAAAGAATTGAGAAAGGAGAAACCTTTGCTTACCCCTGATATTACCATTATGTCTGTAGGAACTGAGATTACTTATGGTAACTCTATGGTTCCTGATCATGGTTGGGTTGAGACTTTGAATAATAAATGGGATTTGGGTGTTGTCAAAGAAGAAGCTAGCAAGTTCTCTGAGTTAAAGCTTCAGGTACTCATTGGCTCAAATCAAAGTGTTTAGGTCTCACAATCTTGCAGTGGTTTATTGACAAGAGTGTGATTGCTGCTTGTAGGCAGAAACTGAGCAGAGGCCACACAAGGTTAGCTTTTATGTTGACAAGAGTAAGGCCCAGGAAGTGACTAAGGAGCTCTCACAGCGGTTCCTGAAACGTGGGGTAAGTTTGCTTCGATAATGGTTACCGTTTCATTTGAGATATTGTAACTTAATAAAATGGTTTATGCTGGTTGTATCAGTTGGATGTCAAGATAATTTACAGTGGAGGCATGGATTTGGATATTTTACCACAAGGTGCCGGAAAGGGACAAGCGCTTGCATATCTGCTGAAGAAGCTGAAGACTGAAGGGAAACTCCCTGTCAATACTCTTGCTTGTGGCGACTCTGGGAACGATGCTGAACTGTTTAGCATTCCGGATGTTTATGGTGTCATGGTTGGTTTCTCTTCTATCATAGTTCACCATGTCTCTGAATTACATTTCATCGCGATATTGCAATCTGTTAGTTCGTTCTCAGGTAAGCAATGCTCAGGAAGAGCTGTTGAAGTGGCATGCTGAGAATGCAAAAGACAACCCAAAGGTAATCCATGCAAAGGAGAGGTGTGCGGGTGGGATTATACAAGCCATTGGTCACTTCAAGCTTGGTCCAAACCTTTCTCCAAGAGATGTCTCTGACTTTTTAGAGTGCAAGGTGGAGAATGTGAACCCCGGTCACGAGGTTGTGAAGTTTTTCTTGTTCTACGAGAGATGGAGACGGGGTGAGGTTGAGAACTCTGAGGCATACATAGCAAGCCTCAAAGCTTCATCTGTGAGTATGTAACAGAATTTAGATTATGTATTGAAATGGGATAATATACCTGACTCTCTTGTGTCAACCTATTTCAGCACCCCAGTGGTGTGTTTGTCCATCCATCTGGTACTGAAAAATCTCTGAGAGATACCATTGATGAGCTGCGCAAGTACCATGGAGACAAACAAGGGAAGAAGTTTCGGGTTTGGGCAGATCAAGTCCTTGCAACAGACACTACTCCTGGGACATGGATAGTAAAGCTTGATAAATGGGAGCAAGATGGTAAACCTTATTGCCTAAAACTGCATCATATATAACTCAAATCCCATCAGAATGTAACACTACTTTCTCTTGCAGGTGAAGAACGCAGAGGCTGCACAACAACTGTCAAATTCACCGCAAAGGTATGAGATTGTGTTATAAGAGTTAGCTTCTGGAGTTTTATTGATGATCGGTATTGCGGAATGTTTAGGAAGGGGAAGGATTGGTGTGGGAACATGTACAACAAACCTGGTCGGAAGAATCAAAGGTGAAGGATAATAGCAGCTGGATCATCTGAGTCACCTCATCTCTCTACAGATTAAGACGTCTTCTTCTCTTTCTCATCTTATGATCTCTGCCATAAATCATTGGAACTTTGGTATAAACACATGAGATCCAATAAAACATTGCCTTCATAAAACTTCGATCTTATAGCTCATTCTACAATCTATTATCTATATCTCCAAGTTAAGTTGGTTTTCTTTAACTACCCCTTTATACTATATGATATTATCCATTTGGCATTTTTTGAATTGATTAAGTCAATTCATTAGTATTAGTCAATTGTTTCATATAACAAGAGTTATGAAGCAAATAGTACTGGTCCACTTGGGACTTACGAATCAGGGCAATCCCTTATAAAAGAAGATATTCACGTTATAGTAGAAAGATATAGCAAAGTAAAAAAAAAAAAAATCACCGTGAGAGCTTTGAGATCGGACGAACATATATCACAAACCCTAAGCTCAAGTGATTGCTTGTGTGACAAAATTTATTAAATATAGAAGAAACAAGACTCGTGCAACATATCCGAGAGGAATTTTTAGCAACACTATCACTCTGCATCGGATCCAATTTGTGTGTAAATTACCACACTCGATGTAAGTAGTAGACAACCTCAAATCGTTTTAGTTGGTCGATATGTTACGTATTTAAAATTGTTATAAAAAAAAGTCGACAGAAAATTACAAATTCCTACAAAAAGTCCACCTCACATTTATTTCAAAACCTTCCACTTCCACGCCTTTATTTATTTTCTTTTGTTCTTTTTCAAGTTTCAACTCTCTCTGTAACTGTTTCATAAGTTGGGAAAAGAAAAGAGTTATTAACTTCTTCACAATGCTTCCCTTCCTCGAAACTCAGATCATGTCACATTATCTTCTAATCTCTTACATCTCTCACCCAAATTAACAGCAACCAAATCTCAAGAAGATGGAGAGCTCAATTGGGTTCATGACAGTCTTCGTCGTCTCCGGAAGTGTGGTGCTTCTTGCGGCTCAGCTTCACAAACGTCTCCTCTCTGATTATATGGACAAGCTCGAGCCTCAACGTCCTACTAAGGAAAGAAAGAAGAAGAAGAAGGTGAGCTTCGCAGAAGATATGGTGGAGCCGTCAGGGAACAACGAAGAGTATCGCCGGAGTTTTCGCAAATCATCAAAGTTGGAGGATGAAAGAAGCCCACAAAAGAGTCAACTTCTTTAACAAAAAAAAAAAAAAAAAAAAAAAAAAAAAAAAAAAAAAAAGCCCACAAAAGAGTCAACTTCTTTAACAAAGTCAACATTCAACACAAAATTTATATGCAAAATTTTCATATAAATTTTTTTCTATGTAATTGTTTTCCTTATTTGGTAAATATTAATTTCACAAAATTAGGAGCTAGACCGGACCACATACCCCATTCCATGTCTTGTTTTATTATGTCAAGTTGTCTATGGACGTAGTAGATGTGTTGTTAATGTTCTGATTCGCATCGAGTAGCGTATTAATTTGAACCAGCCAAAAATTAATTAGAACGAGCCAAAAATTCAATGTGTATTAGTAACAGTTTTGTTTTTCACAAAACATTTGGGCTTTTGGTATAAGCCCAAGAAGAGTTTTGACTTTTACAAGCCAATCAGGCAATCATACACTACTCACCGTGCCATATAAATCTTTTTTGTCAGTTATCTTATGATTCTTAAATTTTTGAATCGAATTTGGGTCAAACCTCTAAACTCTTAGAAATGGTTCAAACTGACATTTAACAATTTCAAAGATTTTCGGGTAGAGGTATAAGCCAAACATTTTGAAGCTTTCTCATATTTTGGGAGAAAATATTGATTGACATTCTTAGTTAAATTACGGATAATGACTTACGACGATATTAATACAAATCCTGGTCGATTAACATTCTATTAGTCGATCAATCATCACTGCTGCAGACAGTGCCACGGCTGCCGCCTAACATTACCTCTAAAACCATAAATGGATTTCTAGTTAGGTGTCGCCGTGTCGACTGTCGAGTTATTACCTATTGAAAACAATTTAAATTGTGAACTACAACATATCAATATAAACACGTGGATATTTCACATTATATATTGTCCTATCAATCTTTAATTTTGTAAGAATGAAATAATGAATCAATGTAATTTAATTGCAGGGATACTTTAATTAATAATAATGTCATATTACAAGATCTTCATAATATCTCGAATGGCCATGCATCTCGCATCTACCCGAAAGTTTATGTACAATGCATTCCTTTTTCAATTATTTGTCTAATTAGTATTCTTTCTCTAATATAAAAGTCCTTTAAAACCACCAATTGACTTTTCTTTCAAAAAAATGAATCACATATATTGACACCTAATAAAATCTAAAGTAAAATGATTAAGAAAAACTTAATTGTGAAGAATGCGTTCATGTTACGAGTGAGTAGTTCAATGGCCAAATTTAATATCAAGAAAACGAAAAAAAAAATGAATACCAAAGTCTTTTTTTGTTATTGTGAATTGAATAATGTTTTTCTTCTCTATATAATGTTGGTGGGACTGACTGGGAACGGAGCTTCGAATCAAAGAAGAAAGCCAACTACCAAAGACAGTGTCGGTTCGACCGCGATGGCAAATCTAACGGCAGGAGAAACGTCGCCGTTTCAGATCATTTATTAACGACGAAAACGAGATTTATTTTTATATCATCAATCATACGTTACGACTTTTCACACGCTTTTCCACCACACGTACCATTAGCAAATCCTGCTACTCATATTATGACTTTTGCGTAAAAAAGTAAAAACTATGAATATGATCTTCACATTTCCATGAGCCCCTCTTATTTTACATTTGTCTCATAAAACTTGTAACCATATTCATTTATTGATCAATTTAGATTTCCCATCTCGAGATGTATTTATGATATCTCAAAATTTCTAATTAAGTTGTATGTATTGGTCTCAATTAAGTCTTATAAACAAAGATTCTTTAAAAATGACACAATGTTAGATCAAAAGTTTTAATCGATACATTTTGACGAAAGACATCTTACCTTCCTTCACTGATTTTTTTTAACAATGATTCCAAGATGTAGTAAAAATGTGTTCATTGCTATATGAGACTCATTGTTCTAGAAACTAAAAGTCATCTGGAACTGGATTAACTATGGGAACTTTTAGTTTACAATGTAACTTCACTTCATAAATACTTTCAACAATGCTAATTCATTCAACAACAATTCACTTAGTTGTTTTTCTAATCTATAAACTTGATATGTGTTTGGACTGATTCAATTTAAGAACGAATGATTTCAAGCTAGATTAATGATTTTTAGTATCTTGAAAATATTGACAAAAAAAAAAAATTACTAGATGAGAATGACAAAGAGGAAACACATGAACAAAAAATAAAAGCTCACAGAAGATGACGACATGAGAATTATAAACCAATCGATAAATCTTTTCAAAATTTACTAAATAGTTGACAAATCTTTTGGTTTTGGAATAATGAAGCGACCGTCACGTAAATGATTGGATCCACGTACGGTGGTGGACGAGCCTTTAAAAAAGAATTTGATTTATCAATTTTGCTAACAAATCACCTAACGTTTTTGTGTTTTGAGTGGTTGTAAAATAAATAAGGGCAATAAATAAAGTCTCAAGAACTTATTACAAATACAAATCGCCACGAAGAATGGAAATTTTTTGTATCAATGTTTAATTAGTACCATAGTATTTTAAAATTCGAAATGCAAATCAAAATTCAACGCGACAACAGATGTTGTATAATAGCTAATCATAGTAAATAGCACACATCGGTTGTTTCATTGCAGCTAATTATTGTATTTACAATTGTTTGCGTCGTACGTTTAGATTTGCAGCCAAACAATCTGATTTGTTCTCTTTTTAGAATACAAAGATGGAAAGTGTTTACTTCAAGTGAACTTCAGATATGGACCGAGTCAGAACACGACACGAGGCTCGAAGACAGAGACATAGTGCTGAGTTGTTCAACAGAAGCAAGTAAAAACCTTTGTCTGAGAGAGAGGCTCTGAGTTAGGCATAAGCCAAACAATCTGACACGACACATACCTTTGCTTCTCGTGTAGACCCAACTTTTTACCCTTGCCAAAAAAAAAAAAATGAAAACACCCACCCAATAAATAAAATTTTTAATGAAAGAAAGAAGAAACTTCACATCAGCATCAGAATCTCTCTTTCTCTCTCTCTCTCTCCTTCTTCACAAGCAAAAAAACACCAACCCATTTTTCTTTCTTCATTTTGCCGACACTTCTTTATTCTCTCTATCTCTCTCCACCGCCATGGATTCCTCCTATGGCGTCACAAAGCTCCTTCTCCTCCTCTTCCTCACCACCTCCATTGCCACCGCATTACCCGATAACAAACCCGTATCGGGTCAAATAAACTCAAACTCAGTCCTCGTAGCTCTCCTCGACTCTCACTACACAGAGCTAGCTGAACTAGTCGAGAAAGCCCTCCTTCTCCAAACCCTCGAAGAAGCAGTTGGTAAACACAACATCACAATCTTCGCACCACGCAACGATGCCTTGGAACGAAACTTAGACCCACTCTTCAAATCTTTCTTGCTTGAACCAAGAAACCTCAAATCTTTGCAATCTTTATTAATGTTTCACATTCTTCCTAAACGAATCTCTTCTCCTCAATGGCCTTCTCTTTCTCATCACCACCGTACTCTCTCCAACGACCATCTCCACCTCACCGTCGACGTCAACACTTTAAAAGTAGACTCCGCTGAGATTATCCGACCCGATGACGTCATTAGACCCGATGGTATCATTCACGGCATCGAACGTCTTCTCATACCTCGCTCTGTTCAAGAAGATTTCAACCGCCGTCGTAGTCTCCGCTCAATCTCCGCCGTTATACCAGAAGGAGCTCCTGAAGTTGACCCAAGAACTCACCGTCTCAAGAAACCAGCTCCCGCCGTCCCCGCCGGAGCTCCACCGGTTCTTCCAATCTACGACGCTATGTCACCAGGTCCTTCCCTAGCTCCGGCTCCAGCTCCCGGACCCGGTGGTCCACGTGGCCATTTCAACGGCGAGGCTCAAGTCAAGGATTTCATCCACACTCTCTTGCATTACGGTGGCTACAACGAGATGGCTGATATACTCGTCAATTTAACATCTTTAGCCACTGAGATGGGTCGTCTTGTCTCTGAAGGCTACGTTTTAACCGTTCTAGCTCCCAACGACGAAGCCATGGCTAAGCTCACAACGGACCAGCTTAGCGAGCCAGGTGCTCCTGAACAGATTATGTATTACCACATCATACCGGAGTATCAAACAGAGGAGAGTATGTACAACGCTGTTCGGAGATTTGGGAAAGTGAAGTACGATTCATTGAGATTTCCACACAAAGTGTTAGCTCAAGAAGCTGATGGATCTGTCAAATTCGGACACGGTGATGGCTCAGCTTACTTGTTTGATCCTGATATTTACACGGACGGTCGGATTTCGGTTCAGGGTATTGACGGAGTCTTGTTCCCGGCGGAGGAAACTCCGGCGACGGAGATTAAACCGGCGGCTCCGGTCGTTAAGAAAGTTGCTAAATCAAGAAGAGGTAAAAATAAAATTTTATTCTTTATTCTTTTGTTAAGATTATTATTATATTCTAATTTTTCGGTCAATAAATATTTGATATTGACATCTAAACACAAAATTCATCATTGTTTTGTGTCATTGAGTGTCAAAAATTCTTATTCTAAACATTACTACTATACTAGATTAATCACATAGATTAGCAGCCATCAATTTGGTCGTTTAATGAGAGTAGAAGTAAGTAAACATGTGCGATTTGGAATAAAGTAGAGACTTGCAAGAGAGTGGAGACAAAACTCTCTTAACAAATTTTGTTTTTTTATTCCACATATTAACTCACTTTTTATTCTTTTTTATTCTATAACCCACCGACGAATAATCCCATATAATCATTAAATTAAGGAAAAATGTTTTATTTTTTGGTTCTTTATAAAAGACAAGCTGTGATTGAGACACATTGGTCGTTAACGACAGCTTGTCTAAATTTTCACTAAAACCCAAACCAAACCCTTTTTTTTTCTTTCGGTATTCTTTTGGGTTTGTTTTTAATCATATATTCATTTGCACTTAATCATTGATTAAAGTTACTGATGATATGATAATATATGCAGGTAAATTGATGGAGGTAGCTTGTAGAATGATGGGTTCACGGTTTATTCCGTGTCAGTGATTTCACACGTTATCACAAAAGAAAACTCGAGCTTCCAAATTCTTAATTCTGTAAACATCTGGAAAAAAGAAAAGAAAAAGAAAGAGTTGAATATGTAAATGATGTGATTTTTGGGTTCGTTGTTATTTGCATGTTCTATTTGTAATTTTTTTATTATCGTAAAAATATATATATAAATACGTAGATTTTGATGAAGTTTGTTATTTGGAGTGAGTAAAAAAAAGTCGTAGGAGTTAGAGAAAATCAATATGTAATACAAGTTATACAACTATATGGAAATAATAAAGGAAGGATCCATTTGTGTGCATATTCTTTTCAATTCTCTCATATCAATTATTGATATAATTCTGTAAAAATATAAAATGTCTGTCACAGATTTGTTATATTTAAAACGTGTGAATGGACATGGTACTATGGTAGTTGCAATGTACATAATTAATGGTATACATCAATTAACATATCTATATGATAATAAAATGTAATACTGTACATTTACTCACCTGGTCCTAAAGTCAGCGTATTTCTTTATTGTTAATCAAGTGGACATATTACATGTATACAGCTATATCACATGATTAACTAGGATTAATAACACTTAAACTCTTTGGAGAACTATTTGCTTTAAATAAAGCTATAACTAAAATTTAAAAAAAAAATGAAAAACAAAAAAGAACTTTCCTAGTATGTTTTACAGCGAGATTATGAGTGATATTTCATTTTCACAGCCTAGGACACGAATCTTTAATGGTGTTACTATTAAGACGGTGAGAGAAGATTAGGAGAGTAAGTGGGCACAGGCCACGAGGGCAGGTAAGCTGTGTGGGGCTTTTGTCCTCATGTAATAAAAGCCTTGATTCTCTTATAGTCTTTTGCAAATTAATATCACTAAATTCTTTCTCTGGACTTTCACAAAACTTTGTAATAATAAGTTTCTATAGCCACAGTCAAACGTTATGATGTGTTTTAATATGTACATATACATACTAATTAATCCTAACTACATAAGTACAATTCTAAGGAAAATTATTAATCCTCATAAACAATGTTAGAAATAAGAATTGTGAATGTGCTAAGAAGTCACTTAACATTTTGAATCATAAAACCTTGTATGGTTATGGTATGTGAAAAATGAAAAATCTTATGAGTAAGCATTTCTATTTTAGTCAAGATAAATTATTACAAAAGGTAATAGTAATAATCAAGAACTTACAGTTTCTGGAGTATATATATGAATTACCAGTACATTTTTTTTTTCTGCAGATTCAAGTTTGTGAAATGTAGTACATGGATTTAAAACATAATCTCATATTCACCAGAAACATGTTGCAAATACGGAATACCCCCACAAGGATAATTGTAGCTGACCTTAGTAACTTCGGCTGTAAATAAAGACCCCACAAGCCTCTCCTTCGACATTAATATTTGCAAAACTCACCACTGTTCTACTCTTCAGATTCACACATATTCCATCCTCATATAATATATGTATAAGTTTACATTTTTTAGTTCAACACATTAGAGACCATCTTAAGAAGCAATTGAGGCTTAATTTTCCAAAAAAATAAACTGAAGGAATGAAGTAAACTCTTAAAAAAGTAAACGCAATGCGACAACTCTATTCACATTAATGCTTTAAGAAAGAAAGAAAGAAGCAGACATTAGATATCTCTTTGCTTCTGATCAGCCTCCCACTGCAACCTCGCTTGCCATTATCTCAGCCTTCACTTGGATGTTGTTGGAATTCGGTTTCTTCTCTTCGGGTTTCGCAGCCACGGCAGGAGAAGCCTTCTCTTCCTCTCCTCTCTTCTCTACTTCTTCTTTCTTCCCTTCCTTCTTCTTTTCTTTGGCCTTCACTGACTTCTCTTGAGTTTCAAGCTTTGGCTGAGACTTTGTTATGGGTTTCTTCAGTGTAGATGATGATGAGTCTTTTGGTTTCGTCACACGAGGAGCCGCTTCACCTCCTGTTGCATCACTGCTACTCTTTCTGCGTCCTAGCTTTGGAGATTTAGGACGAGTAGTTGGTATCTGCAAAATTTTCATGGACCACAGCTCGATATGAGAAAAACAAGTTTAGGACCAGTTTGATCACATAAGAAGAGCAAAGAAGCAAACCTTCTTCAATTCAACCTTAGGTGGGGGTTCTTTGTAGAAACTAGGCATAGGACCAGCTTTGAATGTCAAGCTCTTCCTCAACCTTTTGATCTCTTCTTCCTGACTCTCCTAAACAAACACAATCCATTTGAACCAATAACGAAAAATTGTCAAGACCAATAAGAATTTTCTTCCATTATAGAAGAAGAGTCTTACAAAGCTAACCTTTGATTTCGCCTGCAAATTGGTCTTCTCTACTTCCTTTGCATGGATCTTCTCTTCTAGTTTCATATAAAACTGAAAGGTAAACCCGACAAAGGAGACACATGTTAGGAGGAAACTAAAGCTTACTTGAAATGTTAATAAGGTTGTAAGAACAGAGAATGAGTATTAGCAGCACCTCCTTTCGTTTTTCAGCCCGTTCTTCCAACCTGAACGAAAATCCAGATGCCGACCCGACGCTGCTTCTCCGCCCACGAGGTGTAGAAGTTCTGTTAAACATCCAAAACATTATTTATAGAGATACATACATTATGTCATTAATAAACAAGGTAAGGACATGAAGAAAATACATACGAAGTGGTAGTTGAACGGGTGTCCTCATCTTCCTTGCTTGCCATTTCAGCTTTCATCGGTTTAGATACTTTATCTGCCACCCTGTAATATTACAGATGCACACTTTTACATATGTTTTACTTCTATAATCTACTGCCACATTTCCACATTTAAAACTAACGGAAATATGTATCCTAAAACAAGGTAAAGAAAGAACTTACACAGCGGTGGTTGATCCGGCCTCCTCAATGTCCTTACCCGCCATTTCATCTTCAATGGATTTAGAACCTTCATCTCCTAATCTGCAAATGCCGCGGGAGAACATTTTAATTGACTATTCAGATTTCAGATCATCACTTTCGCATAGTTTCTTAATCGGCTTATATCATTCCACAGTTACGTATTCGAAATAAAAAATATTTTGACTCACTTGGAAGTAGGGCCTGAAGCTGCATCCCTAGAAATGGGTTTCACCGGCTGACACAGCACAAAGGAGATTGTTAAGTTGTGAACAGGAAAGCTTCAAAGAACTAACAAAACAGATGGTGTTTTAAACAGATTCAGTAGTTACTGTAGTTTGCTTTTTGAGGGGGGCAGATACTAAACCGGTGCGCTTAGTGGAAACACCGCTGCTATAAGATGGAGTGGCTTTTGGTTTGGATCCACCAGCAACGACGGGTTTAAGACTAGTCTTTGATGTTGTTGCATCAATGCTCTTTCTAGTAATATCAGCATGAGCCCCTTTAGTTGGAAATGAAGAGCTCTGAGACATGAATCTCGGGCTGCGAGAAAAGGTCCCTGACTTTCTCTTAACAGGTTTATTATCCTTAGCTGTTTTACTCTTCACTGAAGTACCAGACTCAGGGAGGTCTACTTCCTGCAGAGAATGACACAGAAGAGAGAATGTTAGACTAACAAAACACAGTTCAAAAAACGAGTCTTGTAAGAAGCATTATACCTTTACCGGCTTAGTAACTTCATCTTTTGGACCATTCTCATTGACATTATCAGTTTTCTCGGTAGATAAGTCAAGATTCTCAGGTCTAGTCATGTCCTTGGAATTATCAACAATAACATTCTCTTCCCCTTTCTTTGATTCCGCAAGAACACTCAAATCCTCGGACGCCATTCAGTGCAACAACTCCAAATTCACACAAAGCAAATGTATATCCGACAAAGATGATGAACTCAGCTCAGATCCAAATCCCTTAATCAAACTAAAGATGGACCTTCTTATATTGAGGAGCCACCCATTGTTCCATCTGATCCTAAGAACTAAACATTGTAACATAACAATGCTAATGTCAACAATCATTGAATTCAATAATCTTTGTAACACTCAAAACTCTTTGCCTGAACTTGATAATTGGTTAAAGCATACACATCACACCGAATCTAAATCTTGTTTTAAGCGGTAAAATAATAAAATTCAATTGTATTATTTGCAACAAAACGCTATTATTACGATCACCAACTATCACCATATTCATAAAAACAGACCATGTTTAACCTGAAACTTCAAAATTGGAAAGCTCTGATTTTGAAAACAGATAGAACCAAAACTTTGTTCCTATAGACAAACTAAAGCAAACCCACGAGTCAAAATCTAAATCTGAAACAAGAGAAGAAGAAATCACACAAGTTGAAACTTAAGACAAAGTGAATGAAGAAAAGCAAAATTCCACAAAAAGTACCTTATCAGTCGGATTATGAAAGCGCATATGCTTTTTTTCTCTACTAAAGAAAGCTTCGTAAGATCACTACTGGCAAAAAGAAAGAGAGAAGAAAAAGCGAAGAGCGACGAGTCTTGTTGTATCTCTCTCTGTGTGGGAATGAGAGCAAAGGAAAAGATGGGCTTTTTCAACGTCAAAGGAGAGAAGATGTAGACAAAAACGATAGCCAAATTACGGAAACGCCCCTCTTCTTGTCTTAGGTCTTTGACCTTTTTAAAAGACTCTCTCACTAATTAAATTAAAATTCTAAGACAGCTAATTAGTAGATTTCCCACCCTATAATCACAGATTCTCAAGACACTAAAAGTCTAAATTCCCATTGGTTAGGTGCTGATTTATGTTGCAAATTGCCAATCAACAACATTATCAAAAGATGCCATAAAAAAGAGGTCAATAATGTGGTCAAAAGAGTGAGTGAGAGAGGAGGGGTAGAATGGTAAATAGAGAGCAAATGATTGAGGGAAGAGTGTTTGGAGAACGTGGGAGAGAAGAAGAGAGAGGGGAGGGTCTCCGTTACAGCGAACCATTTAAGCCCCACGACATACCCGCCGTTTGTAGACCCCACTTCTTCGTCCGTTATTGCTGACGTGTCACGACCGTTCCACATGATTGGTTTTCACGTTTGGGCCCCTCCGTTTTCGCCGCCAGCCGCGCGTGAGCTGTCTCGACCAGCGAAATACTGTTCCTCACTTCCTTCCACGTAGGTTTTGTTGTGTCTGAATTCTCCACCGTCAGATCTTTTTGGACCCATCTTTCCAAGTTTTTTATGCTTTCCAATGTGAATATGTATAATGTATTACTAACACGTTGCAATCATTCAGGATTCGTCCAAACATTTTACTATAGGGGTTGTTTTGAGATAACATGCTTAAGATATTGGCTAATAATCATTCTTCTTATTCCTAATATGACCCTCTCAAGGTCAAGGCACAAAGGCAGCAAAGTATTGAAATTTGAAAGCATCAACATCACCTGAGTTTAAGCGTGTCTCCTTATCCTTTCTACTACAACTTCTATATACAACAAAACACAGCTTTCATTTTTTTTTGCTCTAAAACATGATAAACAAAAAAAAAAGAAAACGACCTACACATCAAAATCATTTGACTTTCTTCCATCCATCAACTTACTTTCTTGTGGCCTTTTTTTGTGTCCATCTTCTCCTTGTTCTGCCTCCTCTCTTATATTCATTTGTTGCAGCTCTTTTTGTAGTTTCCTACAGTCTAAAGTATGAAAATATAAAGATTATATATAGATTATGTTTTTGAAATATTGAAATACACTATAGATCTTATCATTATGAGACATTTATAACAACAGCTCTAAGAGACTAAAGTGATCAGTGAATGCATCACATTTACTTACATTCGTCATCATCAGTTTTGAGTACTCATTACACTTCTTCAGACAACAACAATATCTTTCGCGCCAACTTCATTACACTTTTGTCGATGATTCTAAATGATCCTTTGGTTCCTCTGCTTGTATTTGTCTCAGTCTTACAATCGCCTCTATGAATTCCTCGTAGTCTACTGTGTCTTCCAAGTCCACATCCGTCTAAAAGTGATACCAATATGTAAGAAAAACTATGAATCAAACTTTATAATCTGATCCCTAAATCCATATATATTGAGAAAGTACTAGTGTCTGCTTACTGGCATTTGCATAAGACTATTGATGTCAGAGTTGTCAAGATTTGTGTTAAATCTTTCAAGACCGCTTTTGAGTTCTTTATAAGTTACTCGCCCGTTCTTTTCACTGTCTATAATCTTGAAGGTTTCTCTAAGCTCGTGAATCTCTTGTTCGGAAAGCCTTTCTGCAATCACCTGAAAGTAAAACACTAAGAATCAGAGATTCTCTCATCACAACAATCTATAGAAAAACACAAAAGCTTCTTTTTTATTTGTGGTACCCTTAAAGCCATCTTCTTGAGCTTGTCTGTAGCTGAAAACTTCTTCAAGCGACTCAACACAGTCGTGTCAAGCGGTGTATCTGGTGCAGTTCCTTCATCCCTAATCCATGGATGGCCTGAAAAAAGAAAAAAAGATTTTAAGTTTTCTATCTGCTTAAACTATGGAGTTTCATGATTCTAGGGACTAACACAAGACTTGTTGAGCAGTGAGTCTTTGTTTGGGATTTCGTTCGAGCATCTTTCTGATCAAATCTTTTGCGCTTTCAGAAACTTGTGGCCAAGGATCTGATGACAAATCAAGCTCACCGTCCAGAACCTCATTGAAGATTTCTTCTTCCGTCTCTGCTTGAAGCAACAAACAGACATTAGAACACCTCCAAAAACATATATATAGTTTGTGATCAAAGTACAACAATCTTACCTCCCCAAAATGGAGCTGAACCAGACAGTAGCACATAAATCACAACACCGGCGCTCCAAATATCTGCTTCTGGACCGTAATTCTTGTTGAGAACTTCAGGCGCAATGTAGTAGGGACTTCCAACCACATCCGTAAAGTTTTCTCCTGTTAACAACAATGTATACATCTCAGGTACAAACATCTATCTACATATGAGGGTTAAAAAACTCTGTTTTGTAAGAAACATACCAGGCTTGAGGAACATAGATAACCCAAAATCAATAGCCTTAAGAGGCGAATCCTCGTGATCGTTGACAAAGAGAAAGTTCTCAGGTTTAAGATCTCTATGCATCACACCTAAAGAATGACAAGTCTGAACCACACCAAGTATGACTTTAGCCAAATGAGCAGCTTTTCTCTCAGAGTAATGCCCTCGCTCCACTATTCTATCAAACAGCTCACCTCCTCTGCACAGCTCCATCACCATGTGAACAGCCACTGAGTCCTCATAAGCTCCTTTGATGGAGATCACATTTGGTTGCCCCAAGAGATGTTTCATTATCTCAATCTCTCTTCTTACATCCTCCACGTCTTCTTCGTTCTCTAGCTTCCTCTTCGGTATAGACTTGCACGCGTATTCCTCCCCTGTTCCTTTCTCAACACAAACGAACGTCGTCCCAAACTGTCCATGACCTAACTTGCTTCCCAAGTTATAGTATTCCTTCAAATGCCCTGTCTTGGTCTTCAACACTGACTCTGCTTGAAGCCCTGCACTCATCAGTCTCCTTACGTTGTGAGCTTTTCTTTTGCTGTTACCACAAGCAATCGCACGCTTCTTATTCTCTTCTTCACTGCACTTCCTTGTTGTTTCACTCATCCTTCCTTCTTGTTCCTGACTCATTTGCTTCTGTGCAGGTTTCGCCTTCTCCTTAAGTAATTTAGGGTCTCCATGACTGTCATTAAGCTTGGGTTTATCATCATCCTTGTACATTAGCATTGGCTGAGGAGGCTTGTCTTGGAGTTGTGGCTTCAAGGGATGATCCATGATGAGATCTGTGGGACGAACCCATGAATTTGATTTCGTATCCACACAATTGTTGACCATATGAACACATACATTCCCCATTTCTACAATCTAAATCCCAAACAACTTTATGCTATACAATAATCTACACGAGAAACGTATATAGAGAAACGCAAAAAGATAGAGAGGAAAGTTTCTTTCTTCTTTTTTTCTTCCTTTTCACGCAAGAGAAAAAAACCTTAACCTGATCTCATAGAGACAAAGATCTCTCCTATCTAACACCATAACCACTTCCATGAAGAGAGACAGATAAATCTCCCAAAGATGAATTCTGATCTAAGGGAGAAAGATCTCGAGGTCGGCTGAATTATTTAATCAATTCTCACAAAATTCTACGAATCATCTCATTTGGTAAGAAACACACACAATACACAAAATGAAAAACGAAGAATAAGAAAATGGGAATTGAAGGAAGATGATTTGACGAAAAGGAATTGGGTCTCACGTCGTGACTGAATTTTGGGGGATTTATTAGGGTTTTTGGCTTTTCTTAATTAAATTAACTTATTTGAGTCTCTCCTCTAACCAAAATCTAACATATGACTCTGTGAGGTTGTGTTAAAGATTATTTAGTGTCTGTGTGAATACATTGATTAACTGTTCGGTCCCTTCAAACTCCGTAATTGTTAAGAAAAATCTTCAACGCAATCGAAGACTTTTTTCTAAATTACTCCATGCCACAAAATGGTAACCAATCTTTCAAAAAACGTAAGGTTAGATTTTAAATCTTTGATTCCACTTCATAACTCTACTTTGACCATTGTTATTATATTACCAATATAGGTAAGAGATATAATAAAGCAAGGTAAATATCTTTTGGTTGGTATGATTAATGAAAGACACAAACATAACACCATAGTAATATAGTATGAAGATAGATAGTACCCACTATAAAAAACGTGCATGCCGCTAACATTAGACTACAATCCTCACGCTTCTTAGAAAGTCACATTACATTTTTAAGATTATATATGTCAAAGCTAGAACAAGAAGAAGTACACGACCTTTCTCAAACGTCCTTGGCCAAGCCCGAGAGATCAATCTCTCCCGAGGAGTGTGGTCGTGTAGGGGCAGTTTCGTCTTTGCGGTGGTCCTCTACCTTGGGATGGTTTTCAATGGGTATCCCTCCTCTCCTGGTGCTTGGGTGATGGTCTCCCATGATATCAAATAAACTGCTTGTCATCTCTTCAGCGGCATCAAAGAAACTCTTCATTCCGCCCAAGAAATGCCGTTCGATGGCGTCTACATCTCTGCGGAGTCCAGGGAAGTTTAGCGGGTTTTTTTCCTCAAACTGATTCGGAAGAGCAGATCTCCCTACCATCTGGTCAGTGACATCTTCTTCTGTGTGCTCTGTGTTGGATTGAACGACTTGAGAGGGCCTGAACCAGATATAGAACCCATGGAAAATCAATTTAGTGATTGTATAGAGTAAAAGGTACAAACAATCAATGTGCTTGAACATTTTAATGGCGCAATCTCAAAATCACACACGAAAAGCGAGAAAGAAACCAAGAGATGTAATGGTAGGAACTCAAAGAGTTGTCCCCCAAAGGAAAGCAAACAAGAAGCTAGCTGCATATACAGAAACAGTGATGTGATACTCTATGCATCTTCTTCTTATATGAGTACTCCACTTACTTAACCCAAAAAAAGACTTAACAAGCAGTTGCTCCACTTACTTAACCAAAAAAACATGCAAGTTACAAAACTACAAAGATCATAAAATCAAAAGAATTTTACAGAAATCATGGCAACTTAGCTACAAGCTGCTTTTATAATGAAACATTTGTACCATAATGTTTCAGTGATAGAGAGAGTCCTTTCGAAAAAAACAACATCAAACCACAAGAACTAAGCCAGTGCATAAATACTAGTATATATCTGCAATTCATACTTAACATCAGAAACACGAATTTAGAGTCAATCTTGAACTATTGGCTTTAGCTTTTACATAACCAACAAAAGTTCAATTTAACTCAGAGCCAAAAACAACCAAACAAACTCATCTTCGAGAAACTTTCAGCTATTTGATCTAAAAACCCTAGAAATTTCATTTCTAAATGTAATTCAAAAATCTAAACACTTATATTTTGCTTAATTAGGGTTATGATCAAAGCGAGAAAAGATCCGAAACACTCACTTCCCAAAACAGTGGCGGAGGATCTCCTCTGTTTTGTCGCATTTCCTAACGAACTTCCCAGGCTCGACCTCCTCCGTCTTGCACTGCGATCTTACCACCGTGGTCGTGGAGCAATTTTCGGCGGCAGCGGAGGAATCTCCGAGCGGTTTATCGGTGAGATCAGTACCGGCTTTAGAAGCGGATGAATCGTCAATCCAGACCCAACCCATAGCTAAAAATTCGTGATGAGATTCTTCTTCAAGAAAAACTCGAAGCTTCCGATGTGATTTTTATAGTCAGCCTCTTTTTTCGTGAAACCGACTTACCGGCGCGTGAGGATTTTCTTTTTCTTCAAGGGTCGGCAAAAATTCCGAACCAAATCAAACCAAACTAAAATAGTCAAATTTCTCAATCTGAACCGGAAAACCGAATGACCAAGCCTAATTTCAACTAGACTATGAAATCTTAATTTTATCATCCATTCATCCTCACCTACTTAATTTTAGCCGCTGGGGATTGGAGACACAAAAATCGTTTTCAAGTGTATTTTTATTTTATTTTTTTATCTCTTGATCAATCGGTTGATATCTTTTTTACGTCTTCATAAAAGTATTTTTCTCATATCATCATAATCATATATATTGGCTAACGGTATTACCAAATAAGACAAATACACTGTTAAATATCTGCTTTAATTTGTTTGTTTAATTATGCAGTTTGTATAATAAGGACAAAAAAGATTGCTACATAAGTACTTTTTTAATAAACCAACTGAGAAAGATTGTCAGGCTGATGATCAAACGCCTAATTGATTCGACTGATCTATTATTTTAAGTGCCAACTTGTCCTCGAACTCTTTCTTTTTCTTTGACGTCTCAATATTCAAATGATCTGTCAAAGTTCAATACAAGCCAAGAAACATATTTCAAGCCTCTCTCTCGCGTCGACTATATTCAAAACGACTTTATTTATTCTTTCTTGGTACGTATGTAGAGATAAACTCGTTCACATTGCTAAAAGAAAAACTAATCCAACAAAATTGTGAAAGTTTACCCTTAACCTCCTTCCTCTTACAAATCGTCGGCTTCGAAGAATATGTACAGTGATCAGTTAGTGACCAAAATAAATAAATTTACAAGGAATTAAAGAAGAAGAATATGACAAATAGTGTAAGCCGGAGATTAGTTAGATTGAGGCGTTCTTCGGTTATAAAATAAACAAAAAATTAGGACATCCTTGTGGCGGCGACAGAGGAGGCTAAGGGGACAACCTCGGCGAGGGGAGTGGACAGAGGAGTTGGAAGCGGCGAAGTCCGACAGACGGGACACGTGGGATTGAGTCTAAGCCACGTGTCAATACATTTGAGGTGGAAGAGATGATTGCAATCTGGTAGCTGCCGCAGCAGATGTTTTCCCTTGTAGTCTCCTAAACAAATGGCACAACATGACGCCGTTGTTGGTCCCTTTGCTTCCGAGTAGAGGATCTTAGGATAGCTTTGAATGGTGTCTTCGTCAAGACCGGAGACGACGTCAATGATGACATGGTGGTGATGATGATGGATACGTGTCGAATCTTGACTGGTCTGTGAAGGTGAAGAAGAGAGCTGGTTACGTGTGCAATAGTAGGAGGTGAGGGTGATGGTGGTGATGAGGAGGAGGACTCCGATGGAGACTCCGATTCCGTATCGAAATCCTCCTATGTCGTCTGTGCCGAGGAGGCCGTTGTAGTCCGGCATCTCCGGCGGTGGCGGTGGTTGGAAGGTGTTCATGGCGGGTTTGGTTTGATGGGTTTGTTTAATGGGTTTTGGAAGAGGAATAAGAGAAATAATGGTGAGGTTTGGTCAGCCATTTGATATAAGACAATGTAAATTGAAGCATCTTGGGGTTATCAAAAGTCAACGCTAAGAGAGAGAGGGACAAAGGGAGGAAATGCATGTGAATGAGGATAAGAAAGCTTGTCAAAGCAAGAATTGTGTGACTTGTGGATGGTTATAAAAATAATTAATGTATACATTTGCTAATATTGAATTAGTAAATACTAAATAGTATAACGCATATAGATTTGACCCATTAATCCGTTTTTTTCTTTCTCTATGATTATTTTTTGATCCGAACGAGAAAGCTCCTAGATTTTACTCGTATTATAATTCAAACAAATGTAAATAAAAACATTTAGTTGCACAATTGAATTGGATACAGGGCAAATGAATTTAGCATGTGACATGTATTAAGTTTGATTTAGGAATGTATGGAGGGGTCAGTGGCTAAGATCAGAGAAGTTTTACGCTGAATTAGTTTGAAGTCAACGTCGAACGTATATACTAATCTTGTTGTTTATGTACGTTTAATTATCCTCTTTATTCAGGCTTATTTAAGTCCAATCACTTATTTTGTCACCTAAGCAACGTTTAGTTTCCTTCACTTGCTTTTAAAGTCGCAGTGTTATCTTATTTTACTATTAGAAGATTAAAAACTTTGAAATCTCTCCATATTAGAAGATTAATATACAGTTTGTTTTTCTCCTAAAAGTGTCAATACAATAAAAAAAAATTGTAGGTTAATAATTTGTATACTAGTGGAGGGAAATCAAAATTTACCCAATTGAGTCGTGGGCATTAACATTTGTATTAGATAAAATTATATTTTGGCAAAGTAGCTAAAATCATAGATAAAATCTTTCACTTAACGGCCAAGTTACTCTTACACAAGGCATCTTTGATGATGGAAAACAATCTGTTGGACAGTTGTTATTAATGAACAAAATGCGTCATTGCATGCTCGCATGATGGATATTTTAATATACACTATGATAGTATATAAACAGATATACATGTGAATTAAGAATGGAGACAAATTAACATATATTTTGACGTATATCTAGGGGCGGATTCATTTGGTGAAGAATGAATGTATGTACCCAGTGAATTTTAAAGATATTCTAATACACCATTTTTATTTAATGCTTTATTATTGCTGCTCTTCCACTAATTCATTTCTTTCCCCCTTTCAATAGAGTAGAATCGTTGCCAAAAACATATTTTCTTTTTTGAGTAATATAAAAACGGGAAAATTCCCAAAAAAAACCCAAAGTAATTTTTATTTGGACGTTTAATACCCAATTCTTTTAGGTTGGACAAAAAATACCTTATTTAATTATTTATAGTCATAAAATACCTCGTATATAAATTATTGGTGGAATCGAACCCACAAGTTAACAGACGTTAACGGGCGTAACGGAATTATTTAACGGCGTTTAATATCAATCCCACATACCTTAATCTATATATACGATTGTTTAACCTAACATTACGTGAATGTTGTCGTGGTCTAGCGGTACGCTTGGGGTTGTAAAACTCTGCCCATCCCGGTTCGAAACCCTCTCAGATGCGAATTTTTTTTTATTTTTTTTTCGATTTTCGAAGGAGGCACGCACCAGTCTCCATTGATGCAAACTGATTCAACAAAACATCAATATGATAAAGAGATCCAAAAACGTGTATAGCAGCTAAAAAAACTTCCAATCAAAATTGCACACTGTCACAAAACTAAATTTTGGTTTTTAAGACAAAATCCGAATCTGAAACCAATAAATCAAGACACCAAGATCGAATTAAAAGAATGGAAAGATAAACATCAATCGAATCCATAAGAATCGTTCAAAATCAAACGCCAATGTTGAAAACCCTAACTGCAACTTTCAATTATCATGTCATACAAAGTTACAGACGAAGAAGAAGGCTGAGGCGGCGCTAGGATTTCAAGGGTTAGGGTTTTAGTTAAGGAAAAAAAAAAATTGGCATGTTGGGGGGACTCGAACGCAGGTGAAAGGGTCGACATCCCTACAAATAACCGCTAGACCACGACAACATTTACCTTATATTGAGTTAAATAATCGTATATATAGATTATTATATGTGGGATTCAAATTTAACACCGTTAAATGATTCTGTGACGTGCGTTAACGGCTGTTAACTTGCGGGTTCGATTCCACCGATAATTTATATACGAGGTATTTTATGACTATAAATAATTAAATGAGGTATTTTTTGTCCAACCTAAAAGAATTGGGTATTAAACGTCCAAATAAAAATTACTTTGGGTTTTTTTGGGAATTTTCCCATATAAAAACTATGGGCTATGTCATCTAAAACAACATGAATTTAGATCAACAATTTATGGCATTAAACCCATATATTTGGGCCGGATACTCATTACACTCAAACACTAATTGAGCTACTTGGGCCGAATATATAAAACACTTCTTACTACTAGGCATGAAAAGTTTGGAAGTAAGTAGAGAAAAAAATGTTATGAATCTGACATTGTGTTGTAACAGTTAAAGATTTACATGCTTGTTTGATTGTTAACTCACTCTTAGGGCATATGCAACGCCAAAACAGTTGGTGTGATCTTAGTAATTTAAAATTAAGAAATAATGGGAATAGTGCGTTTAGTTCTTGGGTTTAGTTCTTGCTCAAGACCTGTTCCTGGCCTGTTCTTGGCCCTGTTCTTGGGTTTGGGTCTTATTTTATTTTTTTTTATTCTAAGCACACCATTAAGATGATCTTCCGATAATTATGGTCTAAGAATAAGTTGTCCAAGTCTCATAGTTGAGAACTTGAGATATACTGGTGGTGTCACAAATTAGTGCATATCTTCCGACTAATGGTATTTGTCTTGTGTAGATTAGATTTAATCATATGTATGGTTGAAAGTTGAAACTAAATTAGGTTTAAGTCACTCATATCTTGTATAGTGTGACACTCAAAATTCAATACAAATTTTTTTCATTAAGCAAAATAGTGCGTCAGTGCGACTTCAACTTTTAAATTATTTCAAACTTAAATTCATTACGATTTTACGAATGCAACAACTGTCCCTCTCTTGTTTCTCCACGCTTCGCTTTCTCCTTCCATTTTCTTCCAAACTCTCTCCGCTTCGTCCTCTCTGTCACACCGCCGCTATGGCTCCTCACGGTCCTAATTCTCAAGGTGGTCTTCGAGGCGGAGGTTTCTCCCCCGGTCGTGCTGGAGGTCGTCGTGGTGGACGCGGCGGCGGCGGTCGTGGCGGTGGTGGTGGTGGCGGTGGTCGTGGGGAACAGCGATGGTGGGATCCAGTGTGGAGAGCTGAGCGTTTGCGTCAGCAACAAGTTGAGGTAATGCCATTTACATTGTTCGAGTTTTACTCATTACTCCAATTAAGCTCCTCCGCTTGATTCCTAGACTAGTGAACGATTAGAAATCGATACAGAAATTCGAATTGGATGATGAAGTCGTTATTTATTCGTGAATTTATATAAGGCTAATAGGAATCAATTTATTTCAGATGGAAGTTCTTGATGAGAATGAATGGTGGAACAAGATTGAGCAATGGAAGACAGGAGGAGAACAAGAGTTGCTAATTAAGCGTAATTTTAGCCGTGGAGATCAGCAAACACTTTCTGATATGGCTTATCAGATGGGTCTTTACTTGTAAGTCTATCTTCTAGACGACTTCGTTTTAAGTCCATCTTGTTTCTGTGAATTTTTATCTTCTTTAGTTATGTCAATGAATTTGTTTATCCTTTGTGGAATGGAAGCCATGCATACAATAAAGGGAAGGCTCTTGTAGTTAGCAAAGTTCCTTTGCCAGATTATCGAGCGGATCTTGATGAACGACACGGATCCACTCAGAAAGAGGTAATGGAAATGTTACTAGTATGAAAATTTTATACTTATTGGTGGCTGCTGAAACGCTTATATTCTTTTTCTTTTAGATTATAATGTCAACCGAGACTGAGAGAAAACTTGGAAGTCTTTTGAATACAACACAAGAATCAGGGTCTTCTAGTGCCTCTGCTTCAGCATTTAATGATCAACAGGATCGTACTTCAACTCTTGGCTTGAAAAGACCTGATTCTGCTTCCAAATTGCCGGATTCTCTTGAGAAAGAAAAATTCAGTGTTGCACTTAAGGAAAGGCAGGAAAAGCTAAAGGTACATATATCGCTAAAGTAAACTGTGTACATTATGGTATATGTTGATTCTGGACATAACATCAATTTAAAACGGTTTTAACACAGGCAACTGAGAGTGAAAAAGCACTTCATGCTTTCAGAGAAAAGCTACCTGCTTTTAAAATGAAAGAGGAGTTTCTTAACTCTGTTTCAGAAAATCAGGTAATCTTTTAGTGTGTTTTTTCTCCTGTGTCCCATCAGCTATTTTCTCCCCTCTCCAATAATACTGTCAAGCTTTTTCTTTGAGCAGTGTTGATCTTGCACTAATAGTTGTGTCCTGTGTTTATTTTTCAGGTATTGGTAGTTTCAGGAGAGACCGGGTGTGGTAAAACAACACAACTTCCTCAATTTATACTGGAAGAAGAAATATCATCCCTAAGAGGTGCTGATTGCAACATAATTTGCACTCAACCTCGACGTATATCTGCCATATCTGTTGCTTCTCGTATATCTGCTGAAAGAGGTGAATCCATTGGTGAAACTGTGGGTTATCAGATTCGTCTAGAATCAAAGCGTTCGGATCAAACACGATTGCTATTTTGCACTACTGGTGTTTTACTTCGGCGGCTGGTAAGATACAACTATTCTACTACTCATTCACTCATCACATTTTAGTTGAACTATGATATTTTATACTTTGTAATTTTGAAACGCTGATGTGACGAATCAATTGTTGAAATGCAGATTGAGGATCCCAATTTAACTAACGTAAGCCATTTGCTCGTGGATGAGATTCACGAGAGAGGCATGAATGAAGATTTTCTACTAATCATACTACGTGATCTCCTTCCTCGACGCCCGGATTTGCGTCTTATTCTGATGAGTGCTACGATTAACGCTGACATGTTCTCAACATACTTTGGGAACTCTCCCACTATGCACATCCCGGTATATCTAGTTGTAAATCCAGTGTCTTGTTTATGATCTGATAATTGTGACTAATCTCTTTTCAACTTATTGCCAGGGGTTCACATTCCCTGTGGCAGAGTT